CTTCGGTGGGTCCACACTCTCGGTGCATTGGCGTTTGGCAAACACGTTGGTGTTCGGAACCCATGTCATCCCACAAAAATGGGTTGCATGGAAGGCAACCCAAAGGAAGCCAATCTTTCTCAGACTTTCTGGTTCTTTTGGACAATTATTGATATTGACTATAATTGACATGTTCAGCTGATCTAATGTGCTTTCAAAAAGGGAAGGCGTACAGGAACCGGTTTCCATCCACCGGATCTTGCACGTGCAGCGCTTTCGCGAAGAAAAACTAAGGCGATGAAGCGCTGCTTCGCGCGAGTGAGGGGAGTCGGCGTTCTCGCGATCGGTGAGATGAAGATTTGGGCAATTCAGAAATGTGACTTCCACCTTTTAGCTGTTAGTGAGGGTTCAAAAAAAATGAGACCCTCAAGCCTTTGAATTGAAGTGTTTGCATGGAACGTTTTTTTTGTTTGCCATTGTATCCCCATCTGGACAATTCAGCGACTTCCAACTGCACTGTTTGTGAGGCTCCAAGCAGCTGGCTTAATACACATGTGTTTACTTCTTGGTTCCCGGCCATCCGATGTCTTAGGTGTTTAGTTGTTTTTTTTTAGTTTACTTGTGGTTTTCCTTTAACCGAACAAAAGTGTTCGATGTTCGTTGGGGGGGATCAGAAAACGGACAGCCCAGCGCACAGCCTGTGTCTTGAAACGGTTGCAGCTCCGAGCCTTGCAAGTTGGATGCCTCCTTAGGGGGGCAACAGACAGCCGATTCCCTGGGGTGCCTTTGTTTACCTAAGGATTGTCTATCATGTAAATCGGGTCCTTGCCATTCTTTCAAGGGGGGCAAGGAACCCCAGGGTATTGATTGTGAGAACCAGGTCAGGTTGCAGGGCTATGTTTCACGCGACATTGTATGGCAAGTTTTGCCAACTAACGGGTTTTCCGTATTAAACCACAAAAAGTCAAAAACTTTTAGCTGGAGCAGAAAGCAACCGGGTTTTCAGACTGTCAGAAGCAACACTTGGGTTGGACGTTGACGACACTTGGGTCATGTCCAAGCTGAGGCCTAGGCAGTCTGCAAGTTCTGACAGGCGACAAATGGATCCAATCAAAAGTCAGCGGTGACCAGTGTTCCAAATGCAAACTTGCTCTTTTGTTTTATTCTTCTTTTTTTCGGCATGGACATCCAATTGAACATGGGGCTTGAGCATCGACCAACTCTCCTCAAAACCCAAGGAATCCAATTTTTGTTCATGTCCTTTTGGGGAGCTCCGCTGGCCGAAATGAATATATGTTTTGTTGTTCCCCTGTTGCTATTATTGGGGATCTTTCACTGGACACAGTTTCATGTGTTTTCCAAGGTACTTCAGCACATGGAAGGGAACCATTGGCTGTTTTGGACCATACCTACTGGGTATGTATCACCTGTATAAGGTATGCGTTGCATTGTCAGGCAGGTGAAACTTGTCCCTGGGCTTTAGGCTTGGGTCGGAGTAACCCGAAGCAAGGACGCGACGCTTGGCTTTCGGTTGCCGTCTCACCCGGGTGGTGCGCCAAGGGCGCACGGAACGTGGTAGAGTTTTGTTTCCCAATTGAAAGGGTTGAGTTGCACGAGCCTCAATCAACGGGCAGAAGGTTTGGAAGGGAATGTCCTCACCGGACAGAGGAAGTTGTTTGGTCAGTGTTTCACAAATCATACTCCAAAACAAGTGGTTTCGCTCTCTATATGTTTTTTTTTTGGGGGGGGGGTAGGCGAATCGACCTTCTACTTCCCATCCGAAGGGCCCCCTTTTGGCTTCCATGTGGAGTATTTGGGCCATCCAAAGGGAGTTCATTTATGGGTGCCCTGGGCAAGGCAACAATCGTTTTCACATTGTTGCACGAAAAAGATGGACGTGCCGGCGCCATGTTTCTGATTTGACTGGAGTTGCCTTGGGTGTGTGATGCCGTGAAGCATCAGCTCGTGACCCGAGGCACATGTATGTGCAACATAATTCGACCGGATTCGCCAGTGACTTGGGCAACGATGTATTGTTTGGTATAAATCCCCCCTACTCCAAACACACGCATTTTTTAGCGCCAGTTGTTTCATGAATTGCCAGAGCTTTTCTGGTCACGGGTTGCTATCATACCTAAACCAAGTGGAGCTTTGGAGTAGGGGATAAGTGCAGCTTGTTTCTTTGATATCCGTGGCTGATTCCGATGATGTGTCAAAAGCCGGGCTCTCGATTCAAACGATCTGAGGAAACTTAGTAGTATGCTGGAGGGTCCAGAGCTGGTTTTGACACAGCTCATTTGCCCAACGGATCGAATCGACCTGAGCCAAAGGCCTTCCGGTGGTCTTTAGCATGAGGCCTGGGGTGAACTTATTTGTATGTTCAGGTTCACAATGGGCCAAAGTGCAAACTGGTTTTTGCAGGTCAAAAGCTTGGGGGAAACCAGAGATCAGTGTTTCTTGTTTCTGTGCAGGTCCTTTGGGCAAGTGAGGAACTCTTTGGCGTAACCAGGGACTTGTTGGCTGGAGAAACCTCGGCATGACAGTCCCCGGACATTCCGTGTCAACAAGCCCGCGCTCTGAAGGAAAGCCGACCTAGCGCCCCACTTCCTTTTGTTTCAGGGTTGTGGGATCAAGGGGTTTATCCAACCACTTCTGTGATAATTACAAGGGAATCCCCTCTTTTTATCGGGGATTAGTCTTTGGGAGGCCCTTTTTGTTGTATCACAGAAGTGGTCATTTCCCAGGGCCCTGTTTTGTTTGGTGTGGGGGGAATTGTCTTTCCAAACCCCAATGCACTCTCGAAAAAGACAGCCGTTTACGGTATGTCTTCCCAGCTCTTTTTAAGGGTGAATTCCACTTGTTCCCTAGAGCTCCAGCCCCATTAAAACACTGGCACCCAATTTCGACGATGATAATCCTTGGGTAGAGAATGGTGTTTATATTAACCCAACCCCAGGAGATTTTAAGTAGTAAGAATTATGACATGGTAACCAGTGTTTGCATGGTGGGAAGTCAACCCCGGGTATTTGTATTCCCTTTTGTAGTCTTGAATTGCCATGGACCTGTTCACCGATTTGCCTCCAAGCTCTCTGGAGGAAATGGGCGGAAACCTCTCCATAGACCATGGGATGGCAGCTATCAGTAAGCCTGGTTTCATTGCCAGACTTCGCCTCCCAGCTAACATGATTTGGTGCACAGACCCCTGTCGAAAGACTACTTTCCTCTTGGAAAGGGCCTTTTTGCACTTTCATGTAAGTTGGTGGGAGGGGAGCTGACCTGTTTAAAACCTTTTTGCTTTTTGGGATTCCTTCAATTTGGTGTTTAAGGGCGAATCGCCAGGCTGGCGAGTGTGCCGAGCTACATGGAGGGAACCAGTTTTTTGCGGGAGGTCCTTAATTTTGTCCTTTCGCCTTCAAAAAGCTCAACTCTTTGCAGGGGGTCTAAGTCTGGTCAAGGTAAAATGGGCATACAATGTCAACTGCTTTTGCGATTTCATTGGGAACATCCCTGAACTGGTGTTTGATTTCTGGCTTGGACCCCACAACAAGTGCTCGGCTTGTTGGCTCGCAAGAGCTCTCTCAAAGGAGGGAGGAAGATTGCTCGATTCGAATCGATGCACGGAAACACGAAAAAGACGAAACCTACCGCGTTGGGCAACATGCATCCCTGGGAACCACTGTTCAAATTGCTGAAAGGAAGATGGCTAGTTGCCAGCTAGGTTTGCCTGGGATATGCTTTGAACATGGTTCAGGGTTGATCCCAAGATGTGCCTAATCTGTCCCCATGGTTCCCTTAGAAGGGATCCCACTGGGAAGTTGTGCAAAAAGGGGCGAAACACAGGTGGTACACTAGGATTGGCCAGCAGTGCTTGCGGGGCAAGCTTTGGTTCCATGTTCCTTTTCAGAACTGCAACTGACATACTTGTCCCAACAATCATCACGAAGTGGCCGATCGGGAAATCGCTTCCCACCAGAAGGCCAGTTTTTCGAAACCCTCCGAACGTCAGCTTCCATGATTGGTGCGAGGGCCGGTAGTGGTTACCTGAAATCCATTGGGTTACCGAACACGAAGCGGACTTTCGATCCTTTTTGTTTAATGCTCGAAATACCTCTTGTTCATATCGATTCCTTAGCTTCCCTGGCTAAGAACCCACTCCACTTTTCACGAGGTATGCACAAACACCTCTAGGACTTACACTTGCTTGGACGTGTGTTTGTCGAGTTTAGAGGCGTTTAGCACCAAAAGTGCTCGACTTTTACGTTGTTTTTCTTTACCTGGAGTCTCTTGTCATGGCGCCAAAGAACATGGACGTCATGCTGGTCACTGCAGAGGTGTTGCATGAACCATTCGGCTGGTTGAAAGCCTCGGCATCGTGGAACATACCCGCCATGTCGGTCACTGCAGAACGCGAATTTCGGATGTTCCCTCCAAAATGTGTTGAATTATTAGTAATTGATAAGGGGACACCCCCTTGTCATCCAAGGGGACACCCCCTTGTCATGCACAAGGACTTTTGCTAGGACTTTGCTACGGCCTGTCACAACACATCGCAGCACCCCTTCCCTGAAGCCTGAAAGCTGCAAACCATTCCAGGGCCATGAGCAGAAAAAACCCATGGCGTTCAGCTATTTGTGGGGGAAAAGGGCTATCAAAAAAAGGAGCCACCCATTCATCCCAGGTGAGCCACAATCAAAACCCAGGTAGATGAAGGTTAGTAAGGGGCAGTCCCAGCCAGAAATAGTTGCGGCCGCCTTCTTGATTCTTGAAGCATGGTCCTGGGTAGACCATTTCAATACCGGGTTTTGATTGTCGCTCAGGTTGTGACATTTGGCTGTGGCTCATATATATATATATGTACCCAAAATGGCACCTTGGCAAATGGAACCAAAGACTAAAACCTGTGTAACCCTAGGTCTTTGATTTTGAGCCACACCCATTTCTTTTGGAGACACATTTGTTGTAGGAGCAGACAATATGCATATACATATATGCAGCCATCTCGTTTCCCAAGCGGCCTTGAGGAGATTTCCGTCCGTCTGGATCGGCTTGAGACGGAGTGCCTCAAGGCGGACGGCCGGATGTCCGGTTGGGGTGGGGGGTTAACGCTCGGCACTCGGGGAGCCGGAAGCCGGAAAACTGTAAGGCCGCGTAGCACCAGGTGCCCAGAGCCCTTCTCTCCCCTTTTTTGGTTGGGAGGGTTCTCCTTTTGTGGTTTGAACGGGTGGTGGGTAAATGGATTTGGTTTCCCACCGGACCTCCAAGGCAAACCATGTGAGAAGCTGAACGTTGCTGGGGAAACATATGGGGAAGACTACTAGGTGTCCCAGTAGTGCCCTTTTACCCGTTTTTGGGAGAGGGTCCCCCTACTAAAATAGACGTCCTGACAAAAGTTGGTACCCTTCTTCTATCCTCGCTACTGGAGGACCTAGAAACACAAGTGCTTTGTGTTGAGAGAATTCCGTTTCAAGGCAAATGGCTGTGCTCATCTTCGGGGTTCCTGGGCTTTATATGCTTTTTGGGAATACCATGTTGGAAGTGAATCGACAAATCAGACCTTTGGGCTGGACTCAGGAAGCGAGCTCTGGCCTTGTTAGGTCCTATTTCGGCATCTTTTGAGCTGTTCATGGCTGAAGGTTTGCACTTGGAAGCTTCCTACCCACAGGCTCCCGATTGTAGGGCCTTCAATCAACCCGGTTTTGAGACCCCAACCACCTCCGGGGTGTCTAATGGAGGGGTCGGGTCTTCCATTGAAAGCCCCAGGAGCCACTCTGTAACTAAGGTAAGCGTCCGTTGGGAAGCCATGCCCTAGGAGCCCAAGACCCTAAATATAAAGGCTTTCGACCCCCAAAAGCAGTCTTGGGCTCATGCGTCTTGAGGAACCCCCCGGATGTGGCTGTGGTTGTCAAAACCGTTTTGGTTGATCCCATTTTGGGGGGATTGGTGAATTCACCACCCAGTCTAGGCTTCCTATTTTAGTGGTTGGATTGAATCGGATGTTCGCTGGGGCTAACCGATCTGGATTTTGACGCATGGCCATTTGATCAAAGCCCCAACAGGTGATGACCTCTAATTTGCATGTTTTCAGGGCTGTCTCACAATAGGGGACCCTCTGGTTTCCTATTCCACCTTCTTAGTACAGGTCCCAAGAGGTGATCACCATTTATTTTGACCCATAGGCAAGTTCTCTCTCTGAAGCTGCGCCAGGCTCCGAGGAACCTGGAGGAAAGTCGCAATCGCCTGGAGGACATCGAGTTGGGTGATGCGGATGGACGCGCGAAATCCCGATTTCGCCCCACGAATGGAAATTCCATGGGAAAGAAACCATAAGGTTTGGGGAGTCGAATCGGAAACCAGGGTTTCTGAGGTTGCGAAAGTTCCGGGAAGGACCCTATAGTCCGAGCCTTGGATTCATTGCATGCTTTTTGGATCTCTGAACGTGCCCAACCCGGAAGGGCCCGGAAAGATATCTCAAAGAGGGCCAGGCATCCATCCAATCGGTTTCCAGAAAGCACACGGCTTCCTCGGACATTTGCTTCAGTGTTGCTCGGGGACGTAAGCAATCTTTGAAGATGAAGACGCCCTGCTTCTAGATGGTATAGGAAAAGCAAGCGAGGCAATGTCATGTTTTGCAGGTGGCCTTCGCCTTGCATTTCGTCATTCTGGGGCTTGATTCCCCATTATTTTCAACCATCGTTTGTTTTAACAACCGGATCCGTTTCCCCATGGGTTTTGATGCTTTCCTGAAAAGAGGGATCCCTGGAAAGAATGGAATTGGAAGGTACCCCTAGAGTCATCCCCTATGTCGCTGAAAACCTGGAACGCGGGATACAGCGCCCAGGAGCTGTCGATCATGATCAAGACACAGGGCATCACTGTCAGCAAGCAAGACCGCGGCTTAGCTCCGGATCTGAGACGCTTTCAGCTCAGGGAGAACATCCTTTGAGGCCCTAGCCTTATTTGTAATAACCTTTGCAGGGTGTCTGGGCTGGTAGGGACTTTGCCCAAACATGCCAATCCAAGCAAGTTGAGAGATTGCCTTGTGCCATCTGCCTTTTTGGTGTTTCCTCATTTGCCCTGTCACGCAGCAAACACTTTTGTCCATTTCCCCGGCTCTCAGGAAGCGGCGGTGTCTTCGATCCGCGATGATCTGAAGAATGAGCCAGCGGCCCAATCGACGTGCCGCCTCACCACTATAACTAAGAGGCCTTAGACGCTTTTGGAAGCGAAATTGCGAAAGTCCACTAAACCCACACAAGGTCTAAGTACTTGTAGGGGCTTGGAGCACCCCGGTGATTTTTTCGTTCCTCAAGGCTTGCTGTCCCAACTCAGATCCTCATTCTTGGGTCCAGTGTTGTATTTGGCAAACCCCTGTGCTTCGTGCAATTTACATATTATAGTTGCGCGTGCGTTTTGACATAACTTGTGATATACATGTCAATCATTATCCCGAACCATTGATTATCACTGTTCCGTTGCCGGCTGTTATTATACAGCACTTCAAGGGGTTCATAGGTTGGTTTCCGAAGCCATGCAGAACAGCGAGGATGTCACTTCAATGGTTCCCAGTCTGAGGTGTTTGCCCCATGCCCATTACTATGGTCAGGTAAGCCTTAGTTACTGGTTTGGATTGGTGGTTTGAGGATTTGAACATCTGGCTTTTGCAGAGGGTACATGGGGGAATTCTTTTAGCCGCCAAACCACCAATCCAAACCACCAATGAGAGGAAAACGGAATATGGAGGCATCGCAATGGCCGTTGCTTCGGTTCCCTGAAGCGCAGGACCTTTCGCCTCTTGTGCCCTTGTTCCCTTCCGTTTGATTGGAGGTTTCCCTTGAATCACAATTTCCCAAGAAAGGTGCCTGGTGTAAAGACCCCAACCCAAGTGGGTGAAATGGGGCAACGTGAACCGCCCAGGCTCCCCAATTCATATCAAGTTGTAAGAAACTGTTGGGGTCCAAGATCAACTTCTGTCAGCTTTAGTTTTCCTTTGTTTGGGTGTCCATTTTCAGTGGTCCCACAAGGTGATCGCCATTGGGTGTGATCTTGTATTTTTAGGAAACGGACATCCCAAAAATAGTGGTTCTCCTTTAAAACCACCAAACACGGGGTACCAACTCAAAACAAAAGGACACTCACTTAGGCTGTGTTTTTTTTTGGGTTGAACCTCCCAAAAATGGTTGAATCCCTTCTGCTTTCCCTTTAAAGCCAAGCTAAAAGGAAGCCCTCGAAGAAAAGACACACGCCCACTTGTGTTGTTTTTTGGCATGTTTAAAACGAGGCCACCGGGCCCCACCGTAGCATCGGATTCGTACACGCATTCGAGGCAAAGGATCCGGAAGGAGGAGATCCATTCGAAGCCGGGCGGCCTATTCTTTGTGGATGGACCCCAGATGCACAGATTCAAGTTGAACTCTCTTCCCGAGTTCCTGAACTTGAGACACTTTTTGGGTTTGGTTGCCCCTTGGAGTGGCACACCAGCCAATCCAGTCAAGAAGTGAAGGAAATTGTGTGAGCTGCGGCGATTGGACCGCGTTCTAGAGGGGTCGGTGTAGCGCGGGCCCCTCCATTGCTCATCTACTCAACTAACCATCCAGCAAAGGGGTTCCCCCCAAAAACATGGTTCCTCCACAACAAGGTGTTTTGGGTTCCGTAAAAACCCTTTGATAACAATGTGTTTTGGTTTCTTCTAAACTTCCTTTGATAACAATATGTTTTGGGTTCCTCGTAAAAATCTGCAGGGGGTTTTCTTTGGAGACCACCCCGAGACGGCTTCAAGCCCTGAGTCCCGAAAAATTCCATGCGGCGAGGCTGCGGGAGTTGGCGGCCAGGCCGCTCCGGCCGGAGGAGCTTGGGGGGCCCGGCGGCCTGTGGCCCGGAGGCTCCAATTCGATTGAAACGTGGGCCTTAAGCAACCGGAGCTGTTTCCAACGCTGGGCAGGGTTGTGGGATCAAGGCGTTTTTCCCCACTTCTGTGATACAAGGGAACCTCCCCCTTTACATGGGGATTAGTCTTTGATAAGCTCTTTCTGTTGTATCACAGAAGTGGTCATTCCCCACAACCCTGAAGCTGGGTGTTTGATGGTTTCCTGAAATGAAAAGAGGGATCCCGGGAAAGAATGGAAATGGAAGGTAGAGGCTCCCCGTCGATTTAGGGCCTTCAAGCAACCTGGTTTTGAGACCGGGTCCCAACCACCAATTCCCGGGGTGTCCAATGGAGGGTCGTGTCTTCCATTGAAAGCCCCACAACCTCTGGGTGGACAGAACGATTGGCCGGGCGAAGGGGCGCCTAACAAAAACGGGGGAGTGGTCAAAAAAGATAGCGTGGCCCCCTTTTTGGGACCCTGCCGCCATCCTGCCGCCTTTTGAAGGGGGTACCAAAAAGGGGCCTTGATTTTGACACCGCGCGAGTATCTCATGATCATGGCTGAATATTCTGCAGCTGTACATGCGTGCTCAGATGCAGCCAGAAATCCCAGATGTGGACACGTGGTCGATACAGTGCGTTTGCACCTCTCGCTCTTTATAACATCCGATGTGAATCGCCCTCCCAGACCCGCACCCAGTCTGTTCAAGGTAGCGGCATGCCTGCCCGAGTGCTGCCAGCACAAGACCCGTTTGGCAAGATTAAGGGACGTGTTTGGCAGTATCAACGCCTACATGATGCCATTGAGGTCTGCATGGAAGTGGCCAAGTTTGGACCTCAAAGAGTTACTCTGTCTATGCCAGACTTACCCCTGGACTTGCTTCAGCAGTTGGAATTGGCTGGTTGCGATACGCATTCTACGCTTGTAGGGGTCTCCCGCTCCCATTTTTGTTCCTTTCGGATTTTGGATAGTCTGCAGCAACGAATCGTGACGGCTCAGGAACAAGTCCGAGTGGAAGGTGGTCCCCGCCTTCCACGTATGATAGCTCCAGGTCATTTCCCAGCTGCTGGCAAGTATGGAATCACAGGAAAACGATTGGAGCAACTGGTTTGGGCCATGGGTGCCGGACCAAGTCCGGCCAAAACTGCTGACGCAATCGCGCTGATTTCCAAGAAAGTCTTCTCATCTTTCCTTTGTCGCCATTGCGGATCTGCAAATGTCGGGACAAACTTGCTCGACTCGGATGTGGATTTAGTTGTCCATGTGCCGACCAGAGACCCCCAAGCTGTGACACGGCTGCGCGAACGCTTTCTGAGTGTCCAAGATCAAGGTGAACAGTCTCTCCTGAAGGGGTTTGAACTCCTCCACAAGCCGTTCTGTGTAACACTGATTGGCCATGGTCAAGAGATTGACGTCATTCCCGTGTTTCAAACTAAAGATGGTCATTTGGAGCAGTTTGATCCTGTATCCAAGCAATGGCAGATGTATCGCGGCAAAGAACATGCCAAGCAGTTTATGATTGCTATGGAAGGAATTGAAAGATTGCCTGACTTGGTTCGACTTGCCAAGGCTTGGAACAAACGACTCCAGCCGCGCCGTGAGACGGACAAGCCTCTTTTGCCAAGTTTGCTGATCCAACTGTGCTTTACGCAGTTGAAGCTGCCGAAGCCAGCATCTGAATGCACTTTGCCTGAGCAACTGTTTTTCGCTTTCTCTCACTTGCGAGATGAATGGAGGACCCCCCCACCTGAAGAGCGTGACACCCATGCTCGACTGATGGCTAAAGTAGATGGCTTCCAGGAGCACATTGACGAAGCCTTGGAATCTGCTTGCCAGCAGCTACTGAATGTAGTGAAGCTAGAGAAGCTTGAGTGGCAGCAACTTGCTCTGTCGAAGCAGCGCACTGAAACTGCTTGCAAGAAGGATTCGAATATGCCTTTGCCATTCCTACACGTGCAAGAGCCTCGGTTCGACGAGTATTGGTGTGATGAAGCAAGGGAGTACGCAGACGAAGCAACGGCAATACTGAACAGCCTCTTTGGAGATCTTGACCATTACCTGCGGTACTACCCTTCGGCGCGTCTTTGAGATCAGCCTATGATCAGCATAGCGGATTTGGTGATTCGTTTGGAAGTCCACTTCCGCACAGTGGGTTCATCAGGATGTATTATAAAGGCAGGTGAAGAAGACGTTCTTGTTATCGTGAACTAATTGATTATGACCTTGATAACCATGTCGTTATCGCACCATTATTGTTTGTGATTAGTGTTGATTGTGCGGTGGCAGTTGATGAGTAATAATTGCCAAGCACACATACCAATCAACGACATGGGACTTGTTTCGCAGCTTGGGAAACCTTGCTGGGTTCAATAGATTCTATGGGCCCCAAATTGGAGCCAACCCAACAAGCGCTGTCCAAAAATATGTTTTGGTTTTTGTTTTTGTTTTACATGGCAGGTTCGGGAACATCACATGTTTCTTGGGCCAAATGAGGCAGATAATTACTATAATTACTCATATGTGTTTCTTTGAGTAGGGCCTTGCACATGGATCTAAGAAACCAACTACAGGAAGTTCTACCGGAAACTTTTGATTTTGGTGGGAACTTGGCGTGGAATTTCCTGTAGAATGTCCTGCTGGTTTCTATGAATGGTGCAAAAGTAGCGTGCTGGGTCCCCTGACTGGGCCTGCTTGAACCCTGAAGGTGAGGGCACTCATCCTGAATCCCCTAGTCGCATAGCCTGGGCCTGCGCCTAGAGTCTCCATGACCCTAACGGAGCTCTACTTGATAAAGGGTGCTTTACTTGGTGATCGAATTCTTAATTCAGCTTTTGAGCATATAGCAACATTTGCAGATCTTCGGTGCATTTTGCTTGGATAAGTTAGGACTTTAACTTTTTGCCAACTAATGGGTTTTCCATTAAGCCACTAAAAGTTAAACTTTTAGCAGGGGAGCAGAAAGCAACCGAGATGTTGTTTATCTGGAGTCTCCATGACCCCTTAAAAATGGTTGGTCATTACCCAAAGTGGGGTCATGGACCTATTTTTTAACGAGTCATGGAGACTCTAGCTTCGACCTACACGCTCGGATCGGGTTTCTGCCGCACCTCGAAGTCGACTGTCGCTTGTTCAGTTTGCACTTCGCCAAGGGTTATTGGTCCCTGTTGATCTTGGAATGTAGTTGGGATGTTCTTACGAAAGGGGAGGGGTGTGACTCAACTCAAAGGGCACTTCCCCTCCTCATCCGGCTGAGAAGTGGCCTTCGATTTTTGGTTTGGGGTTGCAATCGCAAAATCTGCCCTAAATCCAAGGACCTCCCTCCCATTCCCAACGTAAACCTCTCAAAATCAGCTTCTCAAGATTGATCCTCGATTCTTTTGACCCCTCGATTTTGTAGAAACCTTCCAACTTCCACGGAGCTTTCCGGAGATCTGAAGAATTTGCGCTCGGCTTGAAGCCTTCAGGGCTTGATGCCTGGGTTTTCCGAGGCTGCCCCTTTGAGGCGATTTCGGTGTCTTCTAAGTGCGCAATGCTCGGAAGACCTTGCTTCGGGTTGGCAGTGGTTCCCACCGAATCGTCGGGTTCCTCAGGTGTTTAGTAGCTTTTAGTTGATTTAGTGGTTGGGTTTTCATCTTACCCAGTCAGACCAATGAACAGGTTCCCAAAAGGAACTATGGCCATTGTCTGGAGTGTTGTCCGCATGTGAGCCTCACCTTTTTGTTTTTTTGGTTGATTGACCTTAGCCCCGGTGTTAGTGGTTGACATAAATGTCCATTATTCATGGCTGGGGCAGGGTCACACCTGGGACACCTCTGAGTCCTCTTGGCCGCTGGCTTTCCAGCATCGCCGCTCTGATATTGGCAAGCAATATTTTCGGACTCAGGCGGTGTTCATTGAAAAACATCATTTTGAAGATTTGTGGGTTTATCCATGTTGTGGGTTCCCAAGGGGTTTTAACCGTCCAAATGGGACACCCAAAACGGGGGCTTTTGAATCAAAGCCATCGTCTCTGGAAGGGACACTCAAAAAGCGGCCTTCTAAGATGATACGAACCTGAGAGTGATGGCCATGAACAGTGAGATTTGGGGTCCCCTATGTTAGGAGAGGCGGATTTGCAGTGGCTCGTGGATGATTGCCGAAGGGATCCCCCAAAAATATATTCATTATGTTCCTCAAACACTGCTTATCGCCAATTTCATAGCTTTCTTTTGGTGGGGTGATTGGTGATTGAACACCCAGTACCGATACGCAATACCCATTGTTCGCGGGGGGGGGGAGTGTCGTCACCCTGACAAAAGCATGAAACCTAATTTCTTCAAAGTCTTCCTCAGAGAAGTTGATATTCGAAGCGAGGGAGGGAGTGATGAGAGGTGCCTTCCAAGAGACACACCCCGCCCTCTCCGCCCCTGCCGGCGACGGGGCGCGATGGCTTCCGCTCGATGAAGCCGCGTGATGCGACTGCACTGGACGCTGTGCTTGCTTGCGGTGGAAGCTCAGGACACAAGGGTGTTCCCCGTGTTTTTGGGTCATTAGTTGGAGGGGTTCCCCTTTACCCTTTACTTGGTGGGTGCTCTCTTTCCATGGCCGTTGGGAGTCGGGGGTTCGGAGTCGCTGGACATGATTTTGGATTGTTTCGGCAATTCAACCTGCTCTTCCTCCTACTCTTTAGCGCCCTTGCTCTTTTTTGAAAGGGTCTTGTATTTCGCTTGTATGGCTTTAGATGCAAGCATCACCCTTTGGGCCAGTCTGAAATTAGTTTTCACCCCCAGCCCCGATAGAAAATGGTTGATAGGGAGAGTTCGGCTCGTAAGATTCCATTAATAGGTTCATCGTCCTTGGGCATGACTCGCAGACTCGTACACTTCACGCATGTGTAAGGTGCATGTTCACATGAACCACCTATGCACATCGGAATTTGCAGGGAGTTGATCAAACGGTTTGCATGGGGTAACCATTACGGAAACCACCAGAGAATATGTCTTTCACCACTACATTGGAAAACTGGCCCATGGTGTTGGGGCCGGAACTATTGATCAGCCCCATGTATAGACACATCCTTGCATTTGCTGAAATTGATATGTGTTAGTTTCCCTTGTAGGCTGAAAGGGAATCGATTTCACTACTGGCATAATGTTCGCTCATTTGTTTCCAGGGCGCAACTTGAGCAAATGGAAGCTGCTCTCCCCAATGAAGGTAGAACCACATGAACCGCATAATGACATATGCACATTGCAATTTGCATAGGGAGAAGGAGAGTATTCACCACATGAACCACAAGAACCACGTGGGGAGAGAGAGAGAGAGACACACATCTAATACCAACCGTTTCAAGAAGTTGGAGGACACTACCACTGGCGGCAGGCGTGAGACATTGAACTGGATGCCACAAGCCTTTATCCAAGCGGAACAAGGGACCCAAGCAGATACCGAAACTGATTGAAACTACAAATAGATTAAAACATATGTATGTGCACATTTATAAGAATTAAATGTTATTGTAGGTTGTGGCATTGTATGGTTGAGCCTCAAACCACCGTCACTTTGGACCCAATATTTGTCACACACCCCAACTGCCACGCAGGACCAGCTTTGCTGCTCCTTGGCGGGATCTTGACGGCCTGGTGTGCCTCTCGAGTAGGACTGCATCCACGGCTTGGCCTGAAACAAAATATATATACCTTGACTCTATTGAATCTATTCAATCATGTAGCATCATGGATCAGCAAATAATATATATGGGAAACCATTATCATTTAGCCCTAGGGGTTGGGGCCATTTTCACAAATGGGAAACCACATCCCTCCAGTGCTACCTTCCCCATTCTTTCCAGGGATCCTTCTAGAAAACCTCCCGAAACGCAGGGAAGCGGCCGGTTTTCGAAAAGAACGATGGTTGGAAAGAATGGGGAATCAACCCTTAGACTATTCAATCATTTATCATTCATCACCAAATATGGGACCCAGGACGGCTTCGGCTTTACTTTTGTTTCCCCTGAAAGCCACCGACAAAGGTGTACCGGAGCCACTCTCCCACTTCAGCGTATTCCTGCGGACAACGCCCAGAGGAAATCCTGCCTGACGTATGGGTGTGTCTCCAAATTTGAGAGGCAGGGGACCGCAGGTTTTCGTCTTCCTTCACATTCACCAGGGTTCCATTTCGGGCCCCTATGTTACAGCAACATCTATATCGACAAAGCCGCCCCCCTTGTTTTGGTCTCCGGATTCCGCTGGATGCAAAATAGCCTATGGCAGGAAACCAGAAGGGGATGGGTGTTTGAATTTTCTCAGACCTCTAATTCAACGCGTTTCGCGAAGTTACGGTGGATGCCCTAAATATTGCAAGTCATAGAGCAAGGGAAGCCCCTAGTCTACCGCAATCTTCCATAGTTTTGTGCTTGAGCAAGGTTGGTTTGCCTGCAATATTTGCGGCATCCATCGTAGCATTACTCAACTAAGTCCCCCAGTACTGCCCTTTTACCCTCTTTTTGGGGAGGGCTCCCCTACTAAAATAGACTACCGAAAAAAGGGCACCCTTAATCTAATCTCTCTACTGGAGAACCTAGTCAAGCATGCTCAAGCTCTCTTAGGCTTCTCTGAGAAGGACTTGGATGTGCTGCGCTTGGGAGATGAGCAGGAGCCGCCAGACCCATTGACTCCGATCGATGGAGCTTGGGTCTCCATCCGCCAAGTCGAGCGGTATGGTGGATTGTATATGTTTGACAGCGAACCGAACAAATGAAACCACACATCCCGGGTAGATTCTACTAGATTAATTGGGTTCAACTTGTTCCCTCCTAGAACCCAGTGATCATGTACATGTAAAGGAAACGTGGATGGACGAAATCCATCTCGCACCACTTTGCAACCGTGGGAAACGATTGTTTTCTGGTAGTTACAGGTAATCATCATTCCATACAAGGATAGTAAGCGGATAGTAACCCAGGGTACAACATACCTCTGAGTGAGTTGGGCCGGTGGTAAGTAGGTTATACCCTAGGTGAACCACTTACTAGCTTGGCGACTCGAAAAACCAAGCAGGCAAAGCTTTGGATGGACAGAACCAATGTCGCACCAAGGCTGTCGACCATCCCATGGTTGTTGTTGGCCAACATTTTACATGTTGGCTTATTGTGGTTTAGTGGGAAATCCCAACTTAGCTGTTTTTGTTTTTTCTCCCCTTCCAACGTCAACCAAGATCCATACTGTCCTCAAAAGACTCCAGGTTGCCTGCTATATTCACCTTCGCGGATCTGGGTCAGATGAATCGATCGAAGCGAGCGCACTCGTTTTGCATATTCCTTACTTGTGGCTAAGCAAAAAGTCGGTTTGGTTTTTTAGGGTAACTTGCCCAGATGAATACATACACTCGAAAGTCATTGAGGGTTTGTCCTTGAGAGACATTGTGGAATTTATTTCCGTTATTGAGAGAGAGAGGACGCAGCGACATCTCCCAACCCTCCCGTTCAAAAGTTGCAAGCTCTGGTTGTGTCAAGCTTCCAAGTATCAATCCTTTGGTTCAATGAGTTCTCCTTTGATTGGCGTTCCATCCCCAAAATGGAGCACGTACCCACATGGTTTACACCCGTGTTCATTGTACTGCAAGGGCGAATCTTTTGTAGGCATAGAACCACCCCGAAGAACAACGCATGGCCCTCAAACAGCAACTCGTTGAAGGTCCGGGCGATATTCGTGAGCCTTGCGGTGGTTCCCTTGCAAGCAAGCCAAATAGCTGAAGCCCACTAGCTGCCGTGGTGGTGGTGGTGTGTGGTGATGGTGATGGTGGTGGTAGTGAGTTCACATCCTGCAACCATTCACACACAGTTGACTGCCGGAAAAAAAGTGCAGACCTATTTTGGTTCCATTTGTTTTTCGTTGTGGTTTCCGTTTGCCGGTTTGTCGTTAAACATATGTTTTTCAGCTTGGCCTTTGCGCCGGACTGGGACATTTTGTTGTCTACAGACAACATCGACTTCCCAAAGGCAATCTCGCAACCTCCCGCTTGTGTCCGTGGACATAGTTCCTCAAAACGGCTTTCCCAAGAACCGTCTAAGAACTTTCCTTTAAATCCAAACAATGAAGCACATGAAACACACTGAAAACAACTCAAAACCCTAACTCCCAGGAGAAAAGCTTGGCAGATCCATCTCTAACCGAATACGTTTTTTGTTTTTTTGTTATTTTCGCTTTTGCCCTGGTTCCCGGTGTTGGACTCAAAGCAATGCTGTCTACATATGGAATACGCAGTGAATATCATAAGGATTTTCTGAGGCAATGATGTACAAATGTCCCAGAAGCCTCAACAAGGCTGAACGTACTGCTACTATTAGATATCTATTGGATCATTGTGTTGCATTTGCTTGTGGTGGTGGCATATATATATAGTACCCCCAATACTCAGACCACTTTTGTGTTCTGGTTTACATGCACATGTATAGGATATGTGTCAAACAAATATGTTGTTGTGTATATACAGTATATGTCTTATCTGGTCTATCATCTCTCTCTCTCTCTCTCTGACCTGTCTTTCCATTACCCGTCCTATCCCTTAGGATCTTATGGACGGGGAAAGACAGGGAGAGAGCTGTGAATGGGATGGCTCTCCAAATGTATTGCTTTCATATCGCACCTCATGCTCTCTCTATCTTTCTCCCTCTGTTGCAAATGCATATTTGTAACGTGTAGTACTTTACGTGTAATACATATTTGTATCTATTTAAAAAGAACAAATGTTTATACATATATATATATATACATATATATATATATACACATGGTACCCCCCAAAAACACAAAACAACACCCAATATATATATATATATATATGGTACCCCCCCCCCCAAAAAAAAAAAACACCTAATATATATATATATATACACATATGTATATATGTATATATATATATATACGGTCGGAGCTGTTGAAAAGCGGTCACCAGGAGCCGGTGGTGGTGGTGCGGAACTTCCTGTGCCCCGGGGTGCTGCGGGAGCTGCTGGATTTATTGCAACACACCGCCGCCTTCGAAGAGGCTGACGTGGCGGTGCTGGGCTCTCCAGTTCCTTAGGCTTGGCTTTGGCTCCCTCCCCCTGAACACCTGAACAATGGAACCAGTCAGCTGGACCCTCTTTAGGGAAATCCTGGGGGTCTGGGTGGGACTTGGATGAGTTTCAATTTGATTTAGTAGTGCTGGAGCTTCCCAGTACTTACTTTAGCATAGCCAATTCTACTTTAATATTGCAAGGCTGGCTCTCAGATTCCCAGTACTTGCTTTAGTATTGCCAATTCTACTTTAGTATTGCCAAGGACCGTTTTTTCAGCAACCCCCGAAACCAGTTGGACACTAAAGAGGACCCCAAAACAGTCAGACTAAAGAGGATCAGGGGCTCTTGTGGGCACCCCCCATTATTATTTAGGTCAGTTTTAGTTGTTTTTAGGTGGCTTTTAGGTTGTTTTTAGTTGTTTTTAGGTTGTTGTTTGTTGTTTTTAGTTGTTTTTTAGTTGTCTTTAGTTGTTGTCAGGTAGTTTTTGTTGGTGTTAGTTGTGGTTTGGTTGTTGTTAGGTGTTTTTAGTTGTTTTAGTTGTGTTAGGTTGTTTTTAGGTGTTGTTAGTTGTTTTTAGGTGTTGTTAGTTGTTTTAGTTGGTTTTAGTTGTGTTTTAGGTTGTGTGTTTAGGGTGTGTTTAGTTTGTTCTTAAGCGTTTTTAGGCGGTTTTAGGTTGGCTTAGTGGTTGGGTTTTTTGTTTCATTCGCATTTTGTCCGGAAGGCAAGGACCTGTGGATGTTCGATTCGCCAAGTTCGAAAGGTTAGCCACTTGGGGCTTTTCACGCAAATAACCAGGTTCACCCCAATGAACCGGGGGAGTCATCAGTGGGTTATATGCGACCCCTGTTAAACTATTACAGCAATGAGGGAATCAATCTACCAAGTCAGCGCCCGAAACCGATTCACATTTCAGGCCACCAAAGTGGTGTTTCGGTTGCGTGGACCTGGTAGAATAGGGTTAAATAGGGATAGGGCTCACTTGCAATCAAAGTGACCTTGTGGTTTCCCTGATTTGGCAACCATTTTTAGTAATGGCCCTAATAGGTGATCACTGTTTGTGTCTGAATCCTTTGGGCAACGGAGCTTTTTGAAGCGTGCTTCACCCTTGTCGCAGGGTCGTTGTTTCCTTAAAGTTAAACGCGAAAAGACAAAACACCATCGCCAATGATGGCTGGTATTTGGTGTGATCTTTAGCCTTGGAGTTGCTGGAAGCAAATTCACCACTCCCTGAGTTCCTGGACTTTATACTTGTTGCGGAGGCGATTTTAGTGGCAAGCAACGAGTTTGGACTGTTTGTTTCCCAATGCACTCAGGAAGTGAGGAAGAATGACTTCTCCATTCAAACTACAAAGCGAAGGAGGTGTCTCCATGTTACTTCCCCTTTTCCCTGATGGGAAACCACACCCTACTCGACCTACACGCTTGGATGGAGAATATCCTCGAAAGACTGATTTGTCATTCCAATGGCAAAGACCTCGAAATTGGGTTCTGGGTGATTACTGGGAGGAACTGATTGCAGGATCGTTTGGGCCTGTGGGTGGGTGTTCGATCAAAAAGGATCCAACAATGTTTGGTTTTTCCGTTTGTTTTCCTTTTAAACGAAGCCAAACTAAGCCCAGGCTTATTCCCAACAGCAACCCCCTTTGCAGCCTTCCAGAACCCTAACCGCTCCAGAGCCTACTGCCTACCCCAAACCTTTCAGCTGGGGAAGAGAGGGGTGCCCTAACCAAAGCACAGGCGTATTCGCCAGACCAAGGGAGAAGGCATACAGCGGCATACCCAAGTCTTATGGTTGTTAGCAGCCCCCCGAACCAGCTCCAGAAGCTGATTTCCTAACCCTGAGAATCCATGTAGGCAAATATGGCGTACATTGCAATGTAGCCATTTTTGGGGTACATTGGCAATGTAGCAAAAAAACGACAACATTCGTCGGATCCCTGTCGGATTGTCGAAATATAGCCAAAGACATGATACATTCGCCGAATCCCCGTCGAATGTCGAAATGTGGCCTGGCAAATGATGAGATTTGACGAAGCTCGTGTCCGATAGTCAAATTTCAACCCGAATGTGGCGGAGTTTATTGAGCATATTTGTTTTGCATGGGTCCAATGATCATGCTTGCTAACATTAATTTTCACTTGCGTCAGCAAATGTAAACACCGCGTTACTGACATGGACATTTGATGACGTTTGTAGCTAGCGATGGCTGAGAGCTCGCCATCAGACTCTTGCAAGTGTTTTTTCCGCATGAGCAGGCTACGCCAAACAAACAAATCAACAATTGCAGGAAAAATTCTGTTCGTGCACTTGGGCCGTTCTTATGGGACTGTGTGTACGTGCAGCATTGGTGCACTCTTGTGAGAAAGCCGCTCTAAGTATTGAGTACGCAGATTGTTCAACCGTGCAACGCAAAGCCACCCTCGAGCTCTATTGCCCAAGTAAACGTGCTTTGATCTTGGATTATACGTATTTGAAATGATAAGCTTACAAATTCAACATGCTCTGCGCCAAAGGCACGGACTTGCCGACCTTGAGCCGCATTGGAAAGCACAGCCAGCTATCAACTGCCAGGGATTCATTTTACAACAGTACAGCCTACACGCGAGTGCAAGTATGGACATGTTTCTGGCTGTGCCGAATGATTGAGATGAGGAGCGCCAAGCCAAATTGGCCTGCCGAGCCGACTCCCAACTGCCACCCAGTAACTGTTGGCCATTCAAGTGTGCTCAATCTACGCAGCAAGATGTCCAAGCATACCAAAAAGAAACTCCAAATTTATCTTACCAAAAAGCGTTTGCCGCTAAGCGAAACATAGACATACACATGTTACGCAGGTGCAAATTTATGTATATGCACATGTACAAGACTTTATGTACACATGCAGATGATGAATATCTAAGCTCAGAACATAAAGCATTGTTCTTATTTGTAGGTTTAGGTCAATGACTGCATTGCGATTAGGCAGACCTGGCGTTTTGCCGATTGAGCATGGGATATATGATGCTGCACGCGCAATCTGTATGTCAACTATTAGCTTGGCAATACTTATTGCTATGTAAACTCGGATAAGGAGCCACCAAGCTTAGCATGCATGTCTTCAGTGATCTTCAGTTTTCATTGGCGTGCTGGAGACTCGGCATCCGGATTGTCTACTCGCATCAGCTCTGGGATCGCATCAACCATGCGATAAGCTCAGTCTTGCCTATTCAAAGCTTGGTCTACTAAAGGCCCAACAGGTGCCTATTGTTGCTACCCAAAAGCAGTTCAGCAAAGGTCCGTTTATTCCCCCTGGCTGACCAAAGTATGTCCCTACCATGTTCTTCACACCTGCATGCCCAAAATTAGCAAGTGATTTGGAGCAAATGACCCGCCAAATTTCGATGTTTTTGCGTGACTTCTTCTCGGATTGTGTTCCTGTCCTTTGCTTGTGCAAACGGCAAACCGTAATTTGGCGTGATTTGGCGTGAAAAGTTGTCGGATTGTCTTCTTATTTTTGCTTACGTTAACGGAAAACCGTGAAATAGCGTGAAATAGCGTGAATTTTCGCCGGACTGTGTTCATGTGTTGACACGTCGGACGAGGCTCGATTTTTGTTTGCACCATGAGTTGGAAGTTGGAAGTGATGTGGCTTGAATGATTGTGTCACCTGGCAAGCCAGCCTAGAACTTATCAGCGGAGAAGCGTTTGTCGGACAAATGGAATACTAGCGCGCATGCCCCAAAACATTCGGAGAGAAGCTGACGAGGACATGTTTAATCAAGGAGAGCATTAGACAAACATGTTACTCGTGCCCTTTTTTGTTGGGTTTCATCGATAAACCAAGTCCTTGCAAAACAAACATATGGGGCTTGGACTGCGTCATATCCGTTCTCCTCAAGACCGCCGCTTGAGCCCTTCCCAGCACATCTCGTTTGACAAAGCTGTTTTTGGTTAAGTCTGTGACTTTTGCATTGCGGCATGGGGCATGGCAGGATTAGAGCCTTAATTTCTATCTGACCAGTGAAATTTCGCGTGGCAAGCAGTTGCCGCTCGAATGGTGCTTGGGAACTGCTAGCAGGCTAGCATGCTTTCAAAGTGAGCCTCCTGGAAACAAATGAAACACCTGCTTTGAACAACAAGGGCTTTTTAAGACGGCCTGCGCTCTGGACGGGGTTGCGGCACGGCGTTAAGCAAGTATTTGGTTGGAGATGTGATTTTTGGAAATTAGACCCCTTACCTTCGGTCGACGGCTTATGGCCCGCGAACAAGCTTGTCATGATGATCCATCGCCCCTGCGTGGGCACGCATCAAACATAATAGAAACTTAGCTCGCAAAGCCAGAGGTTGCAGCTTGCAAGCAATCAGGAAGCAACACATTTAAGCTACGCACGGGCAAGTTGACGAAATTGTGCAACTGTGGACAACAACGATGTAGCATCATTCTGCTTTACCTTTTTGGTTGGGGGGGGTATCAACACCCATCAGCGTTTGGATAGGTTTTGTTGAGAGTGACTGCTGGCAGGATCTCCTGCTGCGAGGTGTTTTGCAAGGAGTTGTTGTCCTCCATGCGCAATAATCATGTTTGTTGAGTGATCTTTGCTAACCCGCGTTGCCTTAGTGTGACCCAGTGCTGGAAACGTGCTTCACGGTGTGGCCTGAAAAGTTTGAACTATCGCACACGTGCTTCGTCGCCACACTGTTTTGTCAAGCCAGCCAGCCCGTCAAAATGGTTAACGTTACAATCGGAAGTCCTCAGCAGGATCTGCTACACTATGCTAGTCGATTCCTTCTGTTGCATGCCAGGCAACCAACATTTTTTGGCTCGAATCATTATGTGCCCTGTTTGTGCCCTGTAGTTGTTGCAGTCATTCGCAGTTTAAGTTTTGTCCGTACATCAATTTGCGGCGTGCCTTTGTATTTTCCTGCATTGTGAGTTAAGTTAGCGGTCGGAAAGGCATTGGAAAAGGCTGGTTGGAGGGCGTCGTCTTATAGAGTCGCCGAAATTGAGGCGAGCTTGTTGTCGGAAGGCTTGTCGGAACCCTTGTCGGAAGTTGTCGGTTTGAATGTCCCCAAAAATTGGCTACATTCAGGTTTATCGGTCAATGTAGTTGAAAAACGCGGGCGTCGGCCAATGTAGGCGATATATGCATACATTGGATTGTCAGGGTAAGATCATAGACTGTTTTGGCTTTCCGGGAACGTCGTGTTAGCGGCAAACAACAAGTTGAGAATTCTGCTGGGCCCATCGACGAAGTGGGAAAGCTCAAACAAAATCCTTTTTCTGACCAACCGAAGCAATGAATTCCCAAGCACAGCACTAGGGTTCAACCCCCATAAACAGAATGGCAAGGACCCAAGTTTGATGATAATAATCCCTAGGTAAACGTTAAAGTTATGGTGGTTATATTAAGCCGACCATGGTTTTGATTTTGAACCCCAGGGCCGCCATGGCCCATTGTTTTTGGGGTCCCCACGCCTAAATGAGTTTTTACACCTTGCCTAAATGAGCTGCTCGCATGTTCTTTAGCTTCGTTTAGTTGTGACTATAGTGGCAAGCGCAGGGACAGACCGGTCCTTTGCCAGGGCAAGCACTGGGAAGACCCCGGCTTCGCCTTTCCGGGCCCACAGTTCTGGATGTCTATGCCTCAGATCTCCGAAGGGAGCGCTGAGCGCCGTCATGGGGAAGACCGCGTCGCTGTTGTTGGCATGTCTTTGGTTGTTTTAGTCTCTGTCCATTTTTTTAATCATGGGCTTCATGTGTGTTTGTTTTTTTTTTTGTGTTTGTATGCTGTTCATTGTTTGGAGGGGGGCTGCAAAAAAGAAAGCGTGTCTTTGGTTGTTTTGTTCTGTTCATGTTTAGCAAGGGGTCGCGTGTGTGTGTGTGTGTGTGTTTTTTTTTTGTATGCTGTTCATTTATTGTAGGGAAGCTGCAACAACAAAGAAAGCGTTTCGCAAGCCCATACCAAGGGTTGTAAGGAGCCTCTATTCCAAATGGGGTATCTTTTTTAGGGTGCCCCCCACCAAATGGTGGTTTTCCTTGTGGTTTCCCTTTAAACCCACAACATCCAGGGCACCCTCAAACAAAGAAGCACCCATGTACCGCCTTTTCCCCTTTTTTGTTTCGGAGGGGGGGGTGTACCAGAGGGGGTGGGGGTATTTGTTGGACAACCTGGTTGACATCATAGCCTACCATACCCTGAACAAATGGGTATTGGGTGTAGGGCGTATAAGGGGCGTCGTAACTAAAATGAGAGGTTGGGGCTTACCTTGACAAACTCCATCATGGTTTAGGTCTTTAAGGCCATGTTCATACGGTAAATCATGCGTGTAATAGTTCCCCCCATTTTGTTTTATCACTCCTAGGGTTTCTTTGCGGGAGGTTTTGCCATGACACCCATCTCTTTTTGTGTGGGGTTTTCTTTTGGGCCGACTAGGCCAACAGAGCCAGTGGTCTCAGGCAAGGGAACAGCCCTGGCTACCCGCCATTCCCCCCCCCCATGCACCCATGCAGGGCAAAACTACTTTAAAACAAGCGGGAATTTGGAGTAGAGGGTTGCGGAACCTCGGATGAGTAAACCCGTCCCGCTAGGGCAGTGGCCCCTCCAAGAGTGAAGGATTCTCACTATAAGGGAATCAACCCAGGGTTTACTAATGTTTATCAGCCTTGGGTTCCCAACTCAGTTTGGCATCCCCCAATTTGGAACGCAGAGCAAGCGGGGTTCCCTCTTGGGTTTCCCGTTAGTTACAACAACCTCGCGGTTCCAAATTGGAAAGTATTCCCCAAGCGAAGGACCCCCTAGATCAATTTTGCCAACAACAAGACGGCCTCCGAATCGGACGGCGAGCTGACCTGGGGGCCCACAACCAATTCTTCATGGTTTTGCAAGTCTTTGCGGATCCCAGCCGTCCCCTTATTTTTTTAAAAAATGGTTTTTAGGGTTTAGTGGGGGTGTCCATGTTTGCCCGCTAACAGTGACTTATGGCAGGGGGCCAAATGGCTTTGGCACAGTTCGAACATTTCTTTAGGGTCTGTCAAGAGGCGGCGCGTCATTCTCCAGCTCCAACGACCCTCTTTAGCACGGCCCCTCCAGTTGGTTTAAGAGTTTGATTCCGATTTCTTGAGCGCAGGATCCCTGAAGACTGAGTCTCCATGATCCCTTGGAAACAGGGTCATTTTACACCCAAAAGGGTCACGGGCTCATTTGGAAGGGTCAGAAGGAGACCACTTACCCTCCTGTCCACCAATATGGAAAGTCCTGAAGACGCTTTTCCCTTAACAGGGGACGTTTGGTGGGTTCCACGCTGTTTATGGAGGCAAATTTCACGGACGCCCTAAATATCGCAAGTAAACCAATGGTTGACATGGTTGAATTTATAGGTTTCCACTTGTTCCCTATAGTTTCCTGAATATTTCGGGCATCCGTGGCTCCGACGACCCACTTCCCATCTTGAAATCTCCCTGCCAGATGGTTCCTTGAAGGTTCCGCTGAAAAGCTTTCCAGTTCCTTGGGTTCTTTTTGAAGGGAACTCCCCCCCCCTTCGGTTCCTTGGGTTCTTTACATGGAACCCAGGCCCCCCCCACCCCTTCGCGGACCCCCCAGAAAACTCGGATCCATTTCTCACACGCAGGCGGCGGCACTTCCAGCTGCCCAGCTTCTGGCGTCGCCTGCTGCAGGAGCGGCCCCTGTCCCCGCGCATGGCGCCGCTGCTCTACGCACCTTGGACAGACCGCTCAGGGGGTTGGTTTAATTCACGGTGTGGCTCGTCTTTTTGGGTGGGCACCTGGCGCCTTTTGGGTGGTTTGAAAGAGAGAACCTAAAGGAAAACTGAAGCCGTTTTGGAAGGGACCCGAAAAAGAGACCGACCCATAGTACAAAATGAGTGGGTTTTAGAGTTTTTGAGGGGATGGGTTGGCTTTTGTCGGGAGGCCAAAGCACCCCAACCGTTACTATCCTTTGGGTGTCAAGAGAGGTCTGCACCAAAGTTGCAGGCACATGTTTTGCCGTATCCTCTCGTTGACATCATTTAGGGAATTCCAACCATTTGGAGGGTATTCCCCTAAAAATTCAGAGCCATCCCCGAAACCTACCCCAAACCACCCCAGCTCATGTCGCCGGTAAACCCCGATCCATTATCTTTTTTGAGTAAATCACCAATTCGAATTGCCCGGTGACCCAAATTCCGACTGTTCTATGGCTCTGAGAGCTCCGACATTCGCAAGGAGAAAAACTGTGGAGACTGCCAGGTTCCTTTTCTTCCATTGGCTTCATGTGTTGCTTATTTTCCGTTGGTTTTAAAGGGCATCTATCACTCTTCCGTTGCTTTTTTGAGGGTCTTTTATAATGTTGACCCCGCAAGAATAAACCCCTGGATGATTTTGATCGGGGGGTGTCCCCTTTTAGTGGGGATTCGAAAGGGAACACACCCCTAATAGTGGGACGGGTTTATTAATCCTGGGTCAACATTAAGCAACTGGAGGTGTTGGGTTTGTGTGGTCCGTGTGCCCGACCTTGGGAGCAAGTTCTTGTTGTGGCTGGCTCGTCTTGTCTTAAAAGCCCGCACAAGAACATGGCATTGGTTTTGCCTTCAGTTTCCATGTAAAAAAACACATACAAAAAGGTACCAACTAATAAAGACAAGACAAGTTTGTGTTTTCCTTGGGGTTTTAAGTTTTCCCTGAGTTAAAACCCGCGAAAGACAGGGGACTTTCAGGTTCAAAGGGTTGGGTTATAGGAAATGCTACAGGAAAACATATCATTTAGGGTCTTTTGGGCAAGTTCCTGTAGCCATTTGAAACCTAAAAACGACGCGCCAGCCAAGTCGTTTCTTGGCTAAGGACCTATCAATCCTCGACGCCTGTGCCTCGGCCTTTTGTGTTTGGCGACCGGTTGCATGAGCTTCTCCGTGGTGAGGAGAGCTGGACCCTCAAACTATCCTGTGAAAAGGGCAGTCACCCACCAGATCTTTAGAGGCAAGAGCCTGTTTTCACGGATGTTTTGAGGGTCCGGGTAGCCCTTCACCCTTGAATTCCTTTGCGGCCCATGCAAATACTGGCCTTGGGACCCAAGCTCGGTCAGGGTTTTCACGGTTCTGTCCTACACGCTTCTTCACGTTTCCGGCGTGTTTTTTTCCACATTTGGGGAAATACCGGTCAGTTACCATATAGGCAAGCGGAAGCTATCGGAAGGGTATATGCCCCAATTTCTCCTTGAAGACTTAGGGGTATCTTCGGTTTGGGGGGTAGTGGACACCATCTTAGGCCTGGCCAACTTCACGCAGAAAGCGGCATCGAAGCTCTGGGGCTCGATGACTCCTTGGCTGGAGCCGTGCGGCGCGCAAGTCCTGCGGCCCAGCTGCGCGGAGGCCAACATGTGCCTAGCCCTGGGTCCCAGACCTCCGATTCCCCAGGTCTTTTGAGTTTTTTTTTGGGGGGTTGGTTCAGTGGTAGCTTTCATTTAACCAGCAAGTTTGTCAACCTTTGGAGGGCAGACTGGCGGGTTGTTCGGTTTATTATGGCAAGCGGGGGTGGTCCAGGATGGGTGGGTTGGCTGCCCAACATATCTAAGGAAGCCTAAGGTTCCCAGCTATGCACCCACCCTTGCACCAACTGAGCGATTCCTTTTGGTTCCCCTTTTATCTAATCTGAAAGGGGTCTTCTCCGTTGGCTTGCCAATTTCTGACTGTCTCGCCCAATATGTGTTTTGGGCTGGACTAAATACGTAACAGAACCATGAACGCTATGTTTCACCCTATTAATCAACCAGGATATGTTTCATCCGAGGTTCCGTTTGAAAATTTGTTAGGTGGTTCCATTGCTGGCGTCACGGGGTTCTGGTAAAGCTTATACAAATCAGTAAAGCAGTAGCTGGTTATGGTTTCATGGGGTTCTGACAAGCCTAAACAAACTAGTCAGCTATCCGGAGAGTTGCAACGGATGTCACCTGGTGAGTTGACCCAAAAGTGTGTGCCGCCCGATTTCATGGGGATGCTAAGATGTTAATGTCAGAGGTTAATGTCAAGGAGCTTGTGCTGTCTGTCTTGTTTGGAGGGTACCAGTGCTTTTGGTTGGTTTTCAAGGAACAACACAAGGAACACCGCCTTTTGGTGCTGCCCGACGAAAGACGCACCCATCACCGCTGCAAGGATCCGTTTTAGCACCTATGCCCGGGAGATGGAGAACACCATCGTCCATCTTGACACCTTCGGGGGTGAAGGTGGGTACGTGGACCTTCAACATTCCCTTAAACTTGGCGATTGCCCGAAAATGATGGGGTGAATTCCCTTTTTCTATGGGTAGTTTGAGCGTGCAGGCAATCCTCACATTTTGGAGGGGCCCCCACCCCATGTTTATAAGCTGGGGTTGACGAATCTGGGATCAACATTAATCCTTAGTTCATGGTTTGATCAGTAGAGGGTAAATGAAAAACCACTCATCCAAACCATGAAAGTGAGACTGAATAAGGTCTTAGCCTCCTTGCGGGTAGCCATGTTGAACTCGTGGGCATTTCGATTCGCTCCCTGAATTCCGCTTCGGACTTTAGCGACCTTGTTTTGGGAAGACAGTTTGAGTGTTAAGCAAACAGTTTGGCTACCCTTTTTTGGCCAATCCACTCAGAAAGTGAGTGGCGGGGACGTTCAAACCTGTTTGATTGTTTGCACAGCTCCTTCTCCAAGTTGTTGGGCTTAAAAGCGGGCCTTTTCTTTGTCAACGCATATTTTCAATCTTTTTGCTACGGCGTGGGTGGCTAGAGTGGGACTGCCGTGTGAGACGACGTTCTCAGAATTTGTCGCATTTCTCGTTGAGGTCTCAACGCTTTTTCCGTCAACACTGCCGTACGAGCATCATAATTGGGTAGTAGGACTGGCCAGTAGTCTTACATACCATAATGAACACACGCTCAGCCATGTGGTCGTTTGTTTAAGGTGTGCACGCTGGATGGCCACTGCACAACCACTGTATACCCTTTTCGAACCGCTAGTTTCGGGGTATGTCCATTTTGGCGTATGTAGGGTCACAAGAAGTAGGCAGTGGGTTCTTCAGCTTGACCATGTTGGCGCAGGCACTTGGACGAACTTCGTGTTCAACCTGCCGCCCGGCTATTTGTGTCTTTTTCCTCATGGGACCTCAAAACGCACCCTTAGAGGAACCTTCTGTTGGGACCACCTTTTTCGGTTCCTCCCGTTGATTTGCAGGGGCGGAATTGAAGGGGATTGTACCGGGCCCAGAGCACCAAACCAACGTTCGGGCCTCTGGAAGGGCTAGAAACTGTCGACATATTGCCTTTAATCAAAAGGGCCACTGGTGGGAGGGTATCCTTTATCAACAGCTGTTTCAAGGCACATGCGGGTTTGGCTTTCGGAAAACAATGGGACCTCCTTGAGGGATTCCTTAGTTTTTTGGGGGACCTGTAGTTTCACAAAGAAAAGAAAGAAACAAGCCTGTTCGCTTCTTGGCTAAGACACTTCCCCAAGATCTGTTTCCAACGACCCTTTCACAGTTTGGCTGCGGCTTTTGTGGATTCACTCCAGAATGATATTCAGCAAGTACCAAAAGAGTGCTCTCAGGCTCGGTGTACAGGTGGAAATCACCATGCAGCTGCGAGGTGGGTTGTAAGAGTCGCTGGTCATGTTGGTGTATGCGTTTGCTCTTTATTGAATCATTGGCCAAACTGTCAGGGTTCCACTGTTTATTGCCCCAAGGTAGATTTACACCCAGAAGTTGTTGATTTCCCGCAAAAGGAAACAACCATCTGCTGAAACTGTTTTTGTTGTTGGGGGTGCCAAGAGGTGGAACCCTCCAAGCAGTTGTATTTTTCTCTGGCCAGCCAGTAAACGTGTGCCACCTTTTTCACCACTCGGGGTCTGGGGTTGTCATTTTCTTGCCAGTATGCTGCAGTTGGTACCGTCGCGTCTCCCTTCAGCTTCTCCACATGACACCCAGATTTGCTGATTCTCAGGAAATCAACCGGGGTTTGGCGAATTTGTCTCAATGGATCCCCTAAAGGAATCTATCGCCATGGTTTTTGTTGGGGTCCTTCCCTCAGGGACCCTACTTCGGTGTTCGTTACCAAGTTAGTAAGTTGTTGGCAACCCATGTTATAAGCCAGCTACAAGTTCCCCTGTGTGGGGTTGACCTTATAAAAAAAAGGTGATACTTCGAGTGGCCAGCCGCTCGATCTAGTACCGAGAACCAGCAGGTGAGGGAAGTAAAGGCTTGAGCCGATGCCAGCTCAGGCACCTCTCCGACGAGTTCGATGACACAGGCTCGTCACGCGGCGATGTTCATCAGAGACAGCGACCCTCACTTCTAAGAAACCCATCGATCAGAACCCTTTCTAAGAACCTGGACCGTCATACTACCAATTAAAAAGGGGAATCCCTCCATGATTTTGGGGCAATAACCAATTTCTAACCTTCTTGGGGGTGGGCGTAGGTTTTTGTCCCAAGTCGCAAACCGGGCAAGGCGTTTCCATGGCATTGGCCAAGGGACCCGTACAAGTGTGGAAACCGTGGGGGGTGGGGGGGGGGGGAGCGGGAATTTGCTTGGAATCTTCATGCCCCAATATCGTGGGTATCAGCTGGGGTTACCACGTAATTAAGAGGCATAGTAATCCAAGCAGGTCTTTTGATTCCTCTTTAGTACAACCGACATGAGCGAGTTACTTTTAGGAGAGGGCCAGTTTGACCTGCTCAGGCCTTCCTTTTTGAAACTTTACAAGCATCTCCGTTGTTGGAATCCACAATTAATTACCCCGGCACGAGACCCCAAACAGTGATAGGCGGCGGTCACACGCTGCAGAGTATTGTGCGGGCTGCGCCGCAAAACGGCGGTTGTTGTCAGGAAGCTGCAACATCATTTTGCGGTATTTGCGCGCACATTCACAAAGACAAGGACACGGCCTGGAACAGACACGCGCAAGAGAATGCAGCAGACACGTGTCGAAGCCAGCGCCATGGTCGTGTGTGCGTGTGTTTGTGCGTGTGTGTGTGTGTGCCTACTGACTAAGAAAAAAGGTGGCAATTCCTATTGGCAAAGCCAAGAAGCATTTGGCCAATGGGGAGATACGAGGACGGCTAGCGTTTGTACAGACACCTCTACCTGGTTTTACGCCTAACTCCCTTAAAAAGTAAATCTGAGGTATGAACCTATGCGACTATATCCTAGGCTCCCCCTATGCAAAATGTAGAATTTTTTTGGGTTCAAAACAAGGTGCCTGTTGACCGCTGCAGGGGGCTTGCAAAATCAAATAACTCGCAGAAATTTGCGAATATACCCAGCACTGGTTCACACCTGCGCATCCGGAGAGTTCTGTGTCTGTTACTGTTCAGGGGTGATAATACACTCTACCTGGAAAAAACATTACATAGCCCTCTCGTGGAGGTATGCATGTGTGTGTCTACTACAGAGTATTTTCTAATAATTTTTTCTTGAGAATTTAGACGTTTTTCTCGACACCTTATCGAGGAGCGCGTGTGTGTGTGTGTGTGTGTGTGTAAGCATCACTACAAAAGGCAATATCTGTGTGTTTGTTTCACCAGGGTGCCTGAGTTAGTGAGTTAGCTAGCTAGGTAGCTTCTTCCTTTGTTCTCGATTGTGGCGCTGTTGCTGTTGCTGTTGCTGTTTTTGGGTGTTGTTGTTCAGAGTACCATCGAGACGCCGTCGCAGCACAGAAGCACCATCCAAGCATGCCCAAAGAAAGGGAAACAAGCTCGCGCGGACAGGGCGGGAATCGAGCCCGGGACCTTTCGCCAACGCACTTCGACATCAAGCAAGAGCACGAATCTGCGGTAAATACCACGCAAAACGCTCGCGGACAGAAGTCGCCAACTCACTTTGTGCGAGCCTGCGCAGTCGAAACGCATTTCAACATCAAGCAAAAGCACGAAGCTGCGGAAAATACCACGCAAAACGCTCGCGGACAGAAGTCGCCAACTCACTTTGTGCGAGCCTGCGCAGTCGAAACGCACTTCAACATCAAGCAAGAGCACGAAGCTGCGGAAAATACCACGCAAAACGCTCGCGGCCAGAGCGGGTACCTCAATCTGGCACCAAGGCCTTTTCTCTTACCGTAAGAACCCCTTAGTGTAGACACACTGTTTGGGGAAATATCCACAGTCGAAATCCAGTTACTTTCCGAGTCAGGGTTATTGAAAGTACCCTTTTTGCGCTGTTTTTGTCAAGGAATGTCACAGAAAACCACTCGCATTTCTGGGTTGATCAACGTTCCTGGCCTAGGTAACTTTTCCCATGTGGGATATATCATCGTTTTGGTGGCTTTCCCTAATAATCATCCCATGTAAAGGACCTTTTGATGAACCCCTGTCAGAAACACCCATGTGACTCCACCGTGATTCCTGAGGCACTGCCTTCTGGAAAGCTCACGGCCTGCCCGTCACAGCACGCCCGCGCACTGGGGAGGCCGAGCACGAGCGCCTGGGAATCTCGAAGGCCCCTTTCTTGAGGGGCCTTTTTTGTTTTTGTTTGGAAGGAAACCTTTGGTGCATTTTGCTTGGCTGCTAGGACTTTAACTTTTTTGCCAACTAATGGGTTTTCCACTAAACCACTACAAGTTAAACCTTTAGCAGGAGAGCAGAAAGCAACCGAGAAACGTTTGGGCACTGCTCCCAACTCCCTTGAGTTGTGTCTTTGAGTGCCCTTTCATGAAAGGCGTCCAGAGACATTCCTGAGCACGTGTAAAGGAAGGCGCGCGATGACCCAATCCATTTGCCATGCGGAGGGGGGGTAGCGGGTTCGAGCCCCACCGTTCTGCGCCTTTCGGAGGTTGAAGGGTGTGCGAAGTTGATTGAAGGCTTGGTGGTTGGGGGTTGACTGTTGCGAGAAGGCGACACCCAGCGTCACATCCAGTGAGCTTTACGGCGCCGTGTGGGGGTGAGCTTTTATTTCATGTCTTTGCGCAAACCAACTCGCGCCGCCCAAAGCAAGATCATTTGAACCTGGCAACCGCAAGGCCAAGGGAATATGCCAAGGGACCCCGGAGAAGTCCCTTTGAAGACCTCACTCCCTGAGTTCCTGGACTTTCTACTTTTTGGGAAGACATCGGAAGACATTCTATTCTAGTGGTAATACAGACTTCTACTTTTTTGGACCAATCCACTCAGGAAGTGAGTTGAAGAGGATGTGCTGTGCTGTGAAGCAATCATTTCTTACGGCTGGATCCAAGGAATGATTTCCAGCAGCAGGTGCAGAGGATGCAGGAGCCTGGCGCAATTCCAGGTGTTGAGTCCGAGCCTATTCTTTTCAACCATCGTATTTTTTTTAAAGACACCAGCCGTTTTCCCTCGGTTTTTGAAGGTTCTCTAGAAAGAAGGATTCCTGGAAAGAATGGTTGGAAGGTACCCATCGAGCAATGGGTGCTTCGTCATTCCAACTTCTTGACTCCTTTGCCATCACTCGCTGGCCCCAGAGGTTCCCTGAGAGGTCCACGGGAATGATCAGTGTTGGGAATCCGGGAATGATGGGTTAAGGTAGCTCGCCTTTTCTTCCCCAGAATTAGCTCCCCCTTTTTCCTTGTTTGCTTTTTTGGTTGGTCCCTTTGTTTTCCACTCACCAGGCAAAAATATATATATGCTTTGCTGGGGTCCCAATTCCTTCCAGCCTTGTTCTTACACTCCCGACGTAGCCTTCGGGCCGCAGGGCCGCGAGAAGCAACCAGCCTTTGGACCTGGGCCATTTTGGGGCCATCCGAAGTTGGCTGGGTGTCTTTGTCTTGCTGCGATTCGCTAGGGAATGACAAGAAGTCAGGGATTCGAACCGTTTTGGGATTCCCTTAAAGTTATCAAAGGGAACCATAGGCGATGGGTTATAGGGGGCATTCCATTTCTCATTCCCTGCTGAGAACCCGCAAGTTTTTCAAGGTAGCTGACCTTGCTTCTAGCTGACCTTGCTTCCACACCTTTTCGCCTGGGGTCTCCCTTAAAAAGAGTGTCACTTTTGGAAAAGGGTTGTTCATCAGTCTGGTCAAGTGTGGCAAACCTAGAGAGAAACCTCCGAAGAGGGAGTTGTTTTTAATCGTCAGGCTGGGTTCATGAGATCAAACGACAAGAATTCGGGGTGACGGCTCTAAATGTTCCAATACCTGCCATATTTTCTCACCGTGGCGGATGATTCTCTGGGAACACTATTAAACACTCCGTCGGTTTGGCCATCGAACGGTTTTTGGGGTGGAGTGTTGTTTGCAACATTGTTTTGACCCATGCTTCCAGCTGAGATGTACTAGCTGGCCTTCAGTTCAACTTTTGCGTTTGCTTCAGGTGTGCTACAGTGGTATTCTGGTGAAACAAGACGTACGCTCGGCAACCATGTTCATGATTTCAATTGGTTGGGTTGCAGGAAATTCTACAGGAAAACAGCTTATTTACGGTGTTTTGGGGCCATTTCCTGTAGTTTTTTTTGCAACCAAACCCTTTGATGGTTGAATGGGCACGGGTGTACATGAATGAACTTGATAACCATGCGACATTAGCCGCCTGCACCGGCGGCTGTGCAGCAGAAGACAAACACGTTGTTTGGCGGTTGGACTGTGCAGGTCGGATTGTGTGGGTGGAATGTATGCACCAGCTTGATTACGTAACACGCAGTTAGATGCTGTAAATCCGACATCTATGCGCCTCAGCATTGTTTGCTTTCGATACATACGAATGTCCAGCGCGCAAAGTATGTGCACATGTGTGTACATAAGTATAATATATATATATATATACATACACATGAATATCATCAGCATACATGCGCAAGCGTGCAGGTGTATCTATCATTAACTATGAATGGATGCACATATAGTACATGCATATACTCCCCGACAAATTGACAGGGAGCCCAAACGTGCATTCCATGTCAATATGTATGTATATATATATACACACACACCTGTGTAATTGTCATATCTCTGTTTGTGCATATATAGAGTCATGTTTCGGCGTTTTCTGGCCAATCCGCTCGATTGGAAGTGAGGAGAGAGGCTTAAGTCAGTCTCAGCGGTTCTTTCCGCTAGGAGATGCTGAATGCAGGGCGTGAGCAGATGCTAGCCTGGCAACAGCATGCTGAGTACCATGGTCGAAATGAGTCTGGTGCATGGGTTTGACATACTTCCATTTGCTTCAGAATATGTGTTTTTCCTTGTTGGTCTTGAAAGGAATCTAGCATATTGCAAGGGAAGAAGTCGGTATTTGGGGGCCAACTGAAGTTCCCGCTACGACGCTATGTCCGGGTCTGTTCTCTGGATATGCCACTGTCCCGCAGTAGCCTCCACTCAACCAATGAAGATGTACCAGTTTAAACTTAAACTCAGTTGTTCAGTGGCTCCCTTTTTCCCTTTTTTGTTTGGTCCAAGCCCCAAAAAGGGTTCCCTTTTTTTTCCAGGGTCACTGAACAACTGAGTAAACCAGAGTATCCTCTTTTGAGGCCACCTTTCCTATGGGGGGTCACACCAGGGGTGGACCAGGTTTCGAAAGAACAAATGCAACCGACCATTCGACGCGGGTCCCCTCATTTTGGGACAAAGTGAACCCCCCAAATGGTCGGTTTCCCTTAGTTTCCCTTTAGCAACACAAAAAGGCATCCTACCACACAGGCACACTGAGACACACGCACACACGCACAGTCGTGCGATGGATGCCCTAAATATTGCCAGTCGACCAGCCACACTCATCCACAAATTAGGGATTAGTTCCTGGGCTTTAGTCACTTATTGGGAAGACTATTTTAGTGGCAAACACAAAGTTTGGACTTTGCTTGGCCAGTTTGAACCCCCCAAGGTATCCAGGCGTGAATGTGCTCAACGACACGGCCGCTTGGCAGCGTGGCAGCGCAACGAATGGGTGTAGATTGGAATGCCGACACACAGCGCACACAGCTTCCAAATCAGTGGCTGAATTTATTGGGGTGTCCCCTCGATATGTTGTTTGTTACCTCGGCGAAGCGCCTTTCCAGCCTCTATTGGCTAGATTTGTGATGCTTGCTTTTGTCCCTGTGTTTGCTGCTTGAATCACCTCAAGGGCTTTAGAGGTTCCAGACAAAGACAATGGTCAACATTATGGTTTGTTGTACGGAATCTCAAATTATCCAACAGATTGGATTGCCCTTCTGCTACTGTATTTGTTGAAGACGGGTGGATCCACAGATTCGCATTCCGCATCTTCAGTGTATATAATATAAACCCAGGTGACTGGCAATGTTGGTTGAGTCACCCTGAAGCAAAAGGGAAGTTCTTGTGGCAAGCCCTGCTCAGCAAATGTTCCCAGCTGTGCCAACTGTTTTTGTTTTGTTTCTTCTCCTTTGCTCAACCATTGTTCTTTCCGAAGAGCTGCAAATGACTTTATCCTTTGAGGGACATGGACAAGAAAGATCCCTCAAGGATGGAGAAGTTGGCCCTTCGTTCGGACAACCGGTTTTAGTCATTACAAAGAAAACACACGCTGACTGTCTTTTCTTGAAGCAGTTCCTTCGGTCACGTGAGCTGAAGAGTTGGAAAGCTATTCTAAACGTGGCAAGTCCTCTACTCGTGAGTTGGTTCTGCTATTGCCAGCGGAACTGGACAGAGACTGCCAACACCTTGGGTCCTGTTATCATATGGGTGCGTCTTGTTTTAGTAGACACCCCACAAGGTTGGGCGTTCCTGTTGGTTTTCCTTTGAGCCACAAAGACAGGCTACTTCAAGAAAAACACACCCATATTATTTTGTTCTTCTCTGAAGTGATTCAGAGTCCACTCACAAGGGCAGACATTGCAGCAACTCATAGTGACTGTCGCTGATGAGTAAAAGTCGGGGCGGAAACAACACCTTGGTGGCTCCCAGCCATCCGGCGCCTTAGCTTTTTTAGCTTTTTAGTTGGTTTCGTGTTTGACCCAATACAGCGTTGAGCTTAGCAGTTTTTTTGTTTTTTTTGTATTTATCCCAATTTACAAGTGATTCACTTTTGTCAGATGAGAAAACGGGGCCAGCCCTGGTAGGGGCCAGGAAGGATGGGGTCCGATCCTGAGGATCCAACTGGACGCCTGCATCTTGGTTCAAGGGCCAGAGTCCAGCTTTCGGCCTTGGCGCTCATGCACCAACACCTGGCTGTGAGGCTGCCAGTCTCTGTGATAGAAAAGCGGCCCTTAAAAGTGGCGTCGTATCACAAGGGATAGAAAGGGTCAATTCCCTGAACCACTCACTTTCTGAGTTCATGGACATTAGTCACTGGGTTTGGTTGCCATTTGAGTGGCATTCGGAACAGATTGGTTACTTTTGTGGCACATCCATGGTTCTTATTGGGAAACATTTTTCATGTTTGCTTATTGTGGTTTAGTGGGAAATCCCACTTAACTGCTAAGAAATATTGTTTTGCTCCCCTTCCAACGTCAACCAAGCATCGATGTCAGGGATTTTCGAACCATGTCGAACTTGGCCATTGAATGTCAACGGAGCCTTGCGAAGCTCAGCACCACAGCCCTTTGAACCCCGCTGGCGGCCCAAACAAATCGACAATTTGCCCTTCAAAAAGAGGATGGGTCCATGTGGGTCTGTCTTTTTTGTGGGTCTCCTTTTTGGTAGTTTCAAAGGAAAACGAAGAGAAAAGCTGAATCCGTGTGTGGGGGTCCAAAAAAAGATACACCCCCCCATGTGGGTGAGCACTTTCTTTTTCCTTGGGACCATTCATGTGCCCATTGTTGGGGTTTCGGTCTCTCAAGCAAACCCCGACAGGTTGTCCAATGCTGTCAAACCCTGGTTTTTGCTCATTGCACTCATCGCAAAGTAGTTAAGTAGGATGCCAAGGCATACCTGCACCGTCAAACTTCCCATAAAAAGGTTGGAATTCACCGCATAAGTCTGGGTTGCAATCACGCGTTTGTAAGTTGGAATTACAGGGATTGAGGAATAGGTGTTTGAAATGATTTATTTCCCAAGGGAATTTGCTGCTTAAAAACGATGAAATAGTCATAGGAATGGCAATCAACCACATTGGTATCAGCAACATCTTTTCGTTCACAGTCATGGGCGTAAGTGAACTTAAGGTCAAGGTCGTAACATGGCCTGGTTAACATTTTGGGTTTTCCTAAGGCGAGCAGGGTCCAGTGGTTTAAGCTTTTGAACACAAATCGTATCCCCGGCTAATGTAGCCCTTGGAATGGCCCCAGTGTATGCGCACACCACGGTGGCTTTTCAGCCCGAATATGTTGAAATGTTTTACCTTTCATGCTAGCTGCCTCTCTGCGTTTTTTTTGGGGGTTGGCTAACAAAGAAACCAAAACACAAAAAGTCAGGAACCGCCCCCTAAATGCATGGGTGTTTGGAGTATATGAATTGCCAACGTCCTGCGTCTCTAGAATTTTTCTCCTATCTTCGCCGTAGCCTCACACATCATGTGTGTGAGAGTGTGTTCTGAGGCTACCTTGTAAACTTGGTTTATAGGGAAGCGAACGCGACAGCCACCACACTTTTGGGTACCCCCTCCCATTTTGACACATACCCTTAGCTCTAGAGGAATGCTGTTGAGATCGCAGCAAGGGTAGCCACAAGATAGCCACGCTATAGGCAGCAAAAATCATGGCTGGTCTTGTGACCAGATCGCCCCTGACACCTGTTGTAAAAACACAATGTGCTTAGATTGATTGACTTGGTTTCCAGGCATTCCTATAAACCCATGAAACCAGGCCTTATAACCACTTGGCCCATTGACCGTTGCTTTTCCAGTATGCCTGTACTAAAAGCTCCAACAACCTTTACTTAGGGTGGCTTGGGACCCCTAGAAAATTGCAACATGAAAGGGTCAAGCCAAGGGTCTATAGAGGGGGAATGCTTTGAGCGGGCAATTCGTCGAAACGGGGACTCAATTGTCAAAGGCAACTCCTTGGCTACGTGCCCTTTCGCTTGAACACGGCGGTGATCTGGCGCAGCTTGGAGAAAGGTAAGTGACTAGGGAGGGAGTGAAATTATGTAGTTATGTGTATGTGTATATATATATATATATATACATATTAAGAAAGAGACGGGGAGAGAGATAGGGACGGAAGCTGGAATGACATAAGGAAAGAAAAGACGGAAAGCAAGGAAGGAAGGAAGGGAGGGAGGAAGGGAGGAAGGAAGAAGGCAAGGAAGCAAGGAAGCTAGGAAGCAAGGAAGCTAGGAAGCAAGGAAGCAAGGAAGTAGGGAAGATAAAGGAAGATAAAGGAAGATAAAGGAAGATAAAGGAAGGTAGGAAACCAACAAATATCTTCATGGCAAAGTAATAATTCACTGAACAAGACAAGACTGAGAGCCATAGAGATAGCCCCTGTGGCTTGTTTAAGGGTATACTAAATAGGAAACGCCATATCTTCTGTGGCAGGCTGTTGTAGTCACGGGTTGTCATCATACTCTGAAACAAGTTGGATACTTGGACTATGGGGAAGGAGGTCAGAAAGAAGCAGACAACTCACACAAAGGCATCCGTGAACTGCTTTGCGACGAGTCAAGAATGCAGCCAGATGAAATTATCTTGTCAACAGCGCATTGTTCTGTCCATTTAGTGGCGTGGTCATTCTTGTTCTAAGTCGCCTGCTTGTGGCCTGACTGAAGCCATCCGGATTCAGCACCCATTGGTAAGCCTTGGTTGTGTTCCTTCGCAACTTGCGCCTGCTGATTTGATTATCATTCCTCCCAAAAAGGCACCTGTGGGAGGGTACCTGGAAGATCAGTTTTGTCTTGGGGGGACCCCTTGTTAGGTGATATGTGTGAGTGGGAGAGAGGGCATCCTTCCATTGACTAGATCCCCCAGTAGTGCCCTTTTACCCTTTTTTGGGGGAGGGTTTCCCTACTAAAATAGACTACAGAAAAACAAGGGTGGTACCCTTATTCTAACCTCTCTACTGGAGACCTAGCTGAGTTGAACTGGTGGCAGGCATGTCATTGTTCAGTGGCACCATGGGATTTAAGACCCCGACCTTCTCCCTTACTTCAGGTTTTGGAATTCATTGATCTGATGTTTGGATGCCCAAGATCGGGTCTTGTAAAAAGGACATTTATCAAATGGAAGCGTCTTTTTTTGAGAATTTGGGTTTCAAGTGAACCCAAAAAGAAAAGCAACCGAAGCCATGTTGGGGGTCCCCCTAGAACCGGACGGACATACCCAAAAACACACCTAGATAGTTCAACACTCGGGGTCATTACTCAACATTAAGGGGTATGACTCGGTATGACGTCATACCCCGTTTTTCTAGGGCTCATGGCGACTCTAGGTATACCTTTTTGGGTGCCTTGCTTTCCATTTAAACAAAACAAAAAGGGCAACGGGCCATTTGGCGGGGGCGGATGTGCAGATCCTGCCGAGGATCGGATCTTCTTCACTCTCCCGCCCTTACGGTCGCTGCGCAGAAGCGGCTCAGCGCTGACTTTCTGCGCTCGCGCACGCTGCTGCAGGCGAGTGGGCGGAAGGCTTCAACCCTTTGCTTGGATAACCACCCTCTAATATTGCTTAGTTTCTGGAGGATGACCACCCTCAATAGTGTTCAGTTCCTGAATTCTAAGACTTTTTGGCCTCTTGGAAATTGCTATTTTAGTGGTAAGTAAATGATACAACAGTTTGGACCTTTCTTTTGGCCAATCCCACAAAAGTGAGCCAGTAAGTGGGGAGGGGTTCCCCTCCCGAAGTGCGTTCTTGGGGCCAAGTCCCTGCAGCAACCAGATCTACCTTCGGACCTTTTTGGGTTTGGAGTCGTGGTCTAAATTTGAGTCCAGGTCTTAAAGGCAAAACTTGTTCCTAAAAAGAGAAAGAACATGCGGGGTCCTTTAAACCAACTGAGAAGGCAATCCTGGAACATGAAATGAGAACGCGGAGAAACTTGATACTTGAGCTGCGACATCCGCATGCAGATAGATGTTGGGTATCGTGGAGAGCCCCGGGTTCTCCATAGGTTGGAAAGACCTGCCTATTAGGGTTGTAGGGACAGTCAGAAGACCCTTGGAGCCGAAAATGGCAATCGTTCCTTTTTGCGATTTGGGAATGAGCCTGGGGAATCTCTTGTTCTTTCCACAAGTTTGATGATTTTGTATCGGGATCATTCCGGTGTTTCTTCTGAGAAGAATCAGCAAGTTTAGGGATGATTGCAACCACTGAAAAGGGGTCTCAGGGACCAGGTTGGGCTTTGGGTCGTCCATTTCATATCGACTTGTGCTAATACGGAGGTATCGTTTAGGGTTTTTGTGGTTTTAAAGGGAAACCAAAAGGGAAACCAAAGCAAAACTCCACGCCAGTATATTGTGTGTTTTGTATGATCGCGAATGGATCCGCACTGGGCAAATCACACCGAGTCCACCGGTTTTGAAAGAGCTCGCCTAGGATGCAGGACCTTCACTGGGAAATGTGTGTTCCCCAATTTGTAATTTGTTGGGTAATGTCGACCCCAGAGTAATAAACCCCGCCCTGTTATTTAAGAGGGGTCTTCCCCTCCCAAGATGATGATTCCCCACCACACCCAGGGACCCCCGTAATAATTGACTGGGGTTGATTAATCCGGGGTTCCCATTATATAAACTTATTGAAGTGTTGTTGTTCATCATCGACTGCCACTAGGCTGGAAGGGCAGAAAGGTTTTGGCCAAGGTACAGGATGAAAGTACATGACAGAATTCAGTTTCACCTGAGCCACAATCAAAACCCGGGTAGATGAAGGTTAGTAAGGGACAATCCCAACCATAAATAGCTGCGGCCGCCTTCTTGATTCTTCACATGGTTTTGGGTAGACTAATTTAATGCCGGGTTTTGATTGTGACTCACCTCATTTTGGTCACTCGTCATTCCCTTCACTTACACCCACATCTACCTTGAATCCTCATTTTGGTGAAGTCATCCCCTTTACTTACCTGCATCTACCTGAACCCTCAAAATTCTCTAAAATTGGTTCGTGCCCCAAAATTATGGGATCGATTTATTTTTGCACGGTAATTGGAGGGTCGAGGTACCGGGAATTGTGTCACTCGGGAATCTGTGTAGATCCTTTGGGCACTCCGCGCGAGGCTTTTCTGGGCACTCACCCGCTACGGCGCCGCAACTCGCAAGAGCGCCTTGGCGTTCGGAAGGGCGAAGACGACCTCTGGTGACCGCGTTGGGGTGGGGGGGGGGATCGCCCCTAACGCCTGGCAAGAGTTTAAAAAGGGCTCATTCGTCCAAAACAAATCGACCTGAACTGCTCTCAGCCTTTGGCTTTTTCCATTCTGGCCTATGGTTAGTCTTCTGCTTCCAAAGGTGGTCACCTTTATTATAAGGCCCAAGCTGAGCAACCGGAAGGAGTCCCCATCTTTCCCCAAAGTATCCGAGCCCGACGCTGCCTGGAATGAGAGCGACCTTTGGAGCAAGACTTCTTTTTTTGGGATGAGCTTTGAATGCTTCCATTTGCTTACGAATATTGTTTATTTTCCCCTGTTGGTTTTAAAGGGAATCGATTTCACTACTGGATTTTGTTTTCCAGGGGTCTTAACCAAATGGAAGAATAACAACAAAGCCCCCTAGAGCAAACCGGGATTTCTCGCTTGCAACGAATTAACGATCACGTTTTAGAGAAGACACATGGCTGCCACAAGGCCTAGTCTGGCTGCAACATGGCTTATTTCCCCTACTCGAAACAATGGTGCCTGAGAGCCTGAAAAACTACGCCACCAGGGTCAGTGTTGCAGTTGGATCCGACGTGCGCAACACCGAGTGCATCTCACGCACCTTTGCAAAGGTGTATTGTTTGATACCCAAAGCTGGCGCAGATACCCAGGGTGGTTTCCCCAAAAGAGAAACTGCGGGGGGAGGGTACTGGCGTCCACCTTGGTACTCAAAACAACTATGCCCATGATGAATGTCCTGAAAGTTTGGGGATCCCTTTCGGGCTTTGGAATTCTAGCGTTTGCTACAGTGGACGGGACAAATGCAGTTCGCACCATGAAAAGAAACCATTGTTGAGGCCCCTTTGTTTGTTGGTATTTACACGGGGAATCTTCATTCCGCGTGTCTTAGGTGGTGCAGGTATACTGTCCATCCACAGTATGGTGGGCTATAAGTGGGTTCCAGGTGACAGAAAAGCTACAAGGAATACGGCTCATTGGCTCGTTGCCTACTACAGTGGCTTGCCTGGGTTTTTCAGGGAACCATTTTGTAGGGCCCTCATCTTGGAGGTTTGGCTGGGTGAGTGCACACCACCATCCACAAAGACTATCAGGACCATTTTGTACTGGGATTTGGCTGTCATGGTTTGTAGGAACTCTGGTATGAACCACTTGATTGGCTGTGTTCTGCGGGAAAGCCCTCAAGGGGTTGGTTCAATGTCTGTTCTCAAACAGACCTGATTAGTGTCATACCCAGGGGAATGAACTGGAAGGGGATCTTGAAGGAAGTCAAAGCTTTGGTCTCCAAAACTATCAACAAAAATCAGGAACTAGTTTATGTGCGCGGCGTGATTCGAGGCCTCATTTTATTATGGAACCAGCCCTTGGTATGTAGGACCCTCGATATTTCTGAACTCCATGGCCCATTCAAGGTGAGGGTCCCTTGGTGATGTTAGGTGGATGACGCCCTGCAAACCGTGCTTCTGGTTTCCTGCGAAATGATTGGTCCATTCCCCATGCATCATGTGGCCAAAAGTATTCGTTCAACTAATGTTTTTTTTTTTTCCCCGGAGACCCAACAAATGACGGTTCCCTTTAGTATCCCTTTAAAACCAACCCAAAAAGGTTCGCCTAAAAACAAAAAGAAGAAGCAGAGCCCAACTGTTCTGGGCTCAGGTTTGTCTAGCTGGAAAGCTTCCATGTGTCCCAGTGCTTGCAGTTACCACTGTAGTTGGTAACCAGCGGAGACCATGCTGTACCCTTTTTGGGGTGTTGTTTTTTGCCCGGAAACCAAAAAGAAGTTTTCATTTGGGTGTCTTGTCTTTTTAGGGGAGCCCCAATTTTCCTTCAACACCACCCCAAAGGGTCCCCTCAAAAATAGACATCCCCATTGAATAACACCCCCAAACCAAGATTAAGGCGTACTCTAGTGGAAGCACTGGGTGTGTTTCCAGGATGATTCAGTTACTTCAGCGATTTTTTGCTTTTGTGCACCCCCAGCCAACCACCCCAAACCCCACCCCCCCCAACCCCGCCCCCCCCAGGCCCCAACCCCACCCCCCAGGCCGTTGAGCTGGCGCCTAGCTCGGGACGCCGAGCCCCCCGAACCGTCGGAGCCGTCGCAGCGCCGGCCCGCACACGAGGCGACCGGTGCGGGGGAAGGGGGGGGCTGGTTAGGGGGGGAGGGGTGGTTAGGGGGGGGTGGTTGGGAGGGGGGAGTTGAGGGAGGTAGTCCCCTAGCTAGGTGCCCTTCTCTCCCCTTTTTTTGGTTGGGAGGGTTTTGCTACTAAAACAGACGTCCTGAAAAAAGGGGCAGCCACTGGAGGATCTAGATGGGCGCCTCCCTGACTTCTGTTGAGGACTCGGACTTGCTCGTCACTTTTGGGGTTTTGGACGATTTTTGCCGAAAACCCCCCGGAATTCAGAAGGGAATTGGAGGGTCCGGATAAACTCTTTTTGGCCGATCCACTCGGGCAGGTATAGGTTTGACTCGGACCCTCTAAATTTGCAACCAAAATTAGGTACCTTTGAAAGCCACACAATGTATTTTGAATAGGCCGGTTCCTCCTGGGCTATTCTTCTTTGTCAATGGTGGACATCATGAAGGGCTTTTGCGCGAAGAACCCGGGAAAGGATCGCTTTAAAGTAAGCCATCGGGGATGGTGTATGGGGGGTCATTTCCTCATTCCCTCTCTGAGAACCACCTGCAATGCAAAAGACACGCAGGTATTAGGTATTGAGTGTGCCCCTGCTTCAAATACGTGCTTTTCTGGGGCTATATCCTGCAGAACCTGTTGTTTATACCTCCTGTTTTGGTCAGGGGCTGGCATCATAGCATACTTCCATATTCGCAAGAGTCATGCTTTGTCTGGGTTTTAAAGGGAATCTATCACTGCTCAACAAACATATTTGCTCTGTTTTTCTCCACAGAACTTTGTTTCCCCCAAAAAAAAACAGTAAATAGGATAAATACGTCCAAAAGCTACATATTTGCATCAACATACTTGACAAATACGTCCAACGAGGACATGTTTGCAGCAACATATTTGCTATCACTGGACATATTTGCTCTTTTTTGCAAATGGACGCCTACATGACTCCTTAAACTTGGGGTCATCACCCAAAATCATGGGGTCATGACCCCATTTTTCAAGGGTCACCGAGACTCCAGGTATCCAAAAAGGCGGCGATTCGGTGCCGGGACCGAGGGGCGAGCGAGCCAGAGGCCGCAGCTCTGGCCGCCGCGCGCGGCAGAGGATCTCCGAAGCTGATGGCGGGCCTGGCGGCTCGGCGAGAGACATCGGCTGCATTTGGGGGGAGGTAGGTTTTGGGGTTGCGCAGAGGTAGGTTTTAGGTGTTGGTTGTTTTTTTTAGGTTTGGGGGAGGTAGGTTTTGGGGTTTTCGGTTTTAGGGAGGTAGCTTTTTTTTTGAGGTGGGTTTTGGGGTTTTTGATCACTCACTCCCGTAGGTTTTGGGGCAGACACGATGCCTTCTCCAACAAGATCACTTCCTGAGATGGACTTTACTCACGTTTTGGGTTAGCACATTTTTGGTGGTTAAAAATAAGTTCAGACTTTTGCTGGCGCATCCACTCGATCGGAAGTGAGAACAAATACGGGGTCCTTCTGGTTTCTCCTTGTAAGCAAAAGCCAGCTGCTTTATCGGTGGTTCTATTGCCCATGGTACAAAACCAAGGCAATCGGGATCTACTGTGGATGGGTTGGCATATCATTCCAGAGGGTTTCTTTCATCCACAGTATTAATGGTAATCAGGTTGTTTCCAAGCACGGCACCAAGTGACATAGGTGTGTCATTTTGTGAGGGTACCCTTGTTTCGTTTGGCTTTACAGGGAATCCAAATTAAAACAACAAGTTTGTGGGATTCCCAAACAAAAGAGGCTATATCACCATATATGAGCGCTTAAGAAATCGGACCCCCAAAATGGCTTCGGGTTTCGTTTTGTTTAAGGGACTTCTCGGAAACCATGGAAATCCTAAAAGAATGGGGGTAATGGACCGTACAAATCAGGATGAAAATTCAAGAGTGGTTGGTTGACAGACATCTCCACTTAGATAAACGATCCCCTATTATAACTGTTGGCCATATACCCTTAAAGACAGCAGGTTGTTCCCCATGAAAGCCACGTTCTTTTTTCCCCATGAAAGCTCGGTGTCCCGTGAAAGCTGTCACTTTACATTGATACCTAAATTCATACCAGCATGAAAACAACCGTTTCGGGGAGTCCCCGAGAAGAAAACAAAAACTGAATTCACACCAGCATTGCTCACACCAGTTTTGGGGACTTTGGGGGGGAAAAACAAAAGCCGCCCAGGAGGTATCCGCGGTTGAGCCCCGGACTTTGCAACCCTTCCTGAAAGCTGCCCCAACCGGAGCCTATCTGGGCAGAGATCCCATGGCTTTCAGCTGTTGGGGAAAACACGCACAAATGGCCATGAACTTTAATAGGGGACCACCCAAAAAGGGTGGACATGAATCCCCACTGAATTCGATGTCCACCAAAGGGCCCCTGAGAAAATTCATTCCCGTCTGATTCCACAGTTTCGGCTTCCAGGATTTCAGCAGGCGCCGCCACGAAAAGTCTCCATGACCCTTTAAAAATGGGGTCAGTACGCTAAATCATGGGGTCATGGACCTATTTTTCAAGGGTCATGGGGACTCCAGGCAGAAAGATCTCTCTTCTTTTTGTTCCGTTCCTCCTTTCCTCTTTTCGAACCTGCTTTTTCTCTGGGCCCTTATTGAAAAGCTTCCAAATGGATTTCAGCAAGCGCCGCCCTCCGACTCTCTCAACGCCGGATTCGCCGAGGTGGGCCTGCTGGGGCTCAGCGTCTTCTGCTGCCTGGGCGCGGTGCGTGTGGTCTTGGCGTGAGAAAACCGCCCGCCTGGCTGCAGCGCAGAGCTGTCCGGTTCATTGGGTTTTTACGGGTTTTTAGGCTCAACTGTGTGGTCTCAGCTGTTCAGTGGCAACTTGTTTTTGTTTCTTCATTTTTTTGGTGACTGCCCCACTAAAAATGGTCCAAGCCCCAAAAAGGGTTCCCTTTTTTTCCATGGTCACTGAACAACTGAGTGGTAGTTCCCACACTTTATGTTTGTTTTCTTTGCCACTCAGATGTCCAATCTACTAGACATATATTGTTTCTTCTCGGGGACTTTAGCCGATGGAACCCAACAGACTTTTGAAAAGGATGGCATTGGGCATCAACCACTAGAGATCAGCCCAACGGAGTATTCCCATCCCCTGTCGGTTTCCTTCACAACCAACCTGAAAAGGTGCCCTCAAAAAGAAAGGCCATCTATTTTCAACCAAACTAGCCAAAGAGGATACCGATGTCGGAAATCACGATTTGTCCCACCTGCAACGAATGAACAACCAACTAGGTCCCCAGTAGTGCCCTTCCCTCCCCTTTTTTGGGGGAGGAACCCCCCTACCAAAAAGACAAAACCGAAAGAAATGGTACCCCAACCTCTAACCTCTCAAATCTGGAGGACCTGGACAACTTCTTTGGGTAGGCGATAGCCATCCAGTGACCTTTTTGCCTGAGGAGCAGAGCGTCACGGAGCTGCGGCAGAGCGTCATCTCGCTGCGCCCGGGGCCCAAGTGGAAGAAATCGACAGACAGAAGGTGATTGACCAAGTGGGTCTAGCGAAACTTACATTATCTTACCATGTAATCACCCACCCGAGTTTAAGAGGGTCATTATGTCAACCATTGACTAACAAAGGGGGTGTTTATTGTGAGAAACCTGATTTTTCAAGACCTGCCTCGGAAAAGGATGGTATCGACCTTTCCGGAAAAATGGGAGGGTGTTGCTGCCTATTCAATTCGGAAGGCCCTCATTCTATGAGGCGTTTGGACGATTCCCATGCCGCTGTCGAAAGACTCCTTGGCTTGGGGCTTGGGCTGGCGGATGTGTCCTGTTTAGGGCGTCCCTCCAAAGTGATGGTGTTCCTTTTCGCCCCCCCTTAACACCAACCAAAAGCGGGGTCCCTAAAAAAGACGCACCCTGGTCATAGCCCATAAATAGGGTTTCAGAAAGTCATTGTCACCTGGAGTCTTCTTCTGACCCCTAAAAAGTTGGGACTGTTTCCCAAAAGGAAGGGCATGGAATTCCTCCATCTTTGATTTGGGTCATTTTGTGGGTAAAGGTTCCTACTGCGATGGAATCAGAACCACGACCGACGGCAGTTTCGAACGTGAGAATTGTCCACCTGCGGGATGTCCTGTGTCAGGATGAGTCCACCAAACCCGAGCTTGATCAACAATTCAAAGCGTGGGCGCCCCATTTTGCAGGGGAACCTACACTGTTCTGGAAAGCACTCCTAATTCTCCACTATATTTATTTGGGGTCGACATTGTTACGTAATTTGCCCGGACCCGATTGCCATGCGCAGAATGTGCAATAAGAAAGCCTTGTTTCCGGAACAATGGCTCCCCAAGTCTGCCTAAACCAACTCTTTGAGCAGGTCTTTCAGGGGGAAAATTGTACATTCCACTGAGCCGACATATGTGAGACTGATCCTGGGCTGAGTTGCTTTGAATGAACCTTCAAGAATGGGATTTTCCATGACCCCTTTCTTATGGGTAGCCATTTCTGAAGGGTCAAGAGGAGACTCCAGGGAGGTTAGAAGAAAATATTCACCAGTAACCTCGTTGCGTGGCTGACGCTTAATCTGGTCCATGTTCGGTCTGGAAACCACATCTGAACAAGTTTGATGCCAGAACTCACCAGTTTGGCTATCCCCATAAATGGAATTGTGGGAGGGGGTGACTGGAATTCCATGTATAGTTCATTTGCTCTGTCTCTGTGGCGCATACTAGTGAAATGGTTGATTGGGGGACCACCCTCCCCTTGAGGCACCTCCTACACCCAATACCCACTTTTTCAGGGTATGGTAGGGTATGATGTCAACAGACGAGGTATCTACCCTGCAAAACCAGGTTTTCCAACACACCCTGAAAGAACAGCGCGTATTTAGAGTAGGTTTTGCTTGCTTCAAAAGTAATAGTTTACATGGGGGAAAAAAAGGAAGAAAAAACGGGTTTTCCCCAAAACACCCTAAAAACACACACACACACACACACACACACACACACACACACACACACACACACACACACACACACACACACACACACACACACACACACACACACACACACACACACACACACACACACACACACACACACACACACACCACAACACACCCTAAACACACCCTAAAAACACACACACACACACACCCTAAACACACCCTAAAAACACCTTTGGAGAAAAAAACAACGCCTAAAAAAACGAGTTTTCCACAAAACACAACCCCCCCCCAAAAAAAAAATGAAGAATCAAGAAAACATTTCCCCACACAACAGCCCAAAAAGGGGAATGGTCTTTGGCGTCGATGTTTGGGTCTCGACAACCTTCGAGGAGACGACTGCAGCAAGCTGCGTGCCGAGTGCCGGAGGCTTTCCAGCGAGGCGGGGATCGGCTTTTGCGACGGAGGGCGAGGGGCGGGGCGTTGCGTGGAGCACCGTTCTTGTTGTTGTGCTTTGGGGGCTGATTTCCCATATTTCAGCCGCAACCAACGGTGAATTCACCTAAAAAGGTAGGATTCATACCAGGGGTTCATACATGGACGTATCTTTGGTGCATTTTGCCAAGGGCTGTTGGGACTGAATAACTTTTTGCCGACTAATGGGTTTTCCGTACTAAACCACTAAAAGTTAGTCACTTTTAGCAGGGGAGCAGAAAGCAACCGAGTGTGGATGGTTGCGAACCATTTCACACCACTTTGATACCACGGGAATCATTCCAGGGGTGCAGAAGTTCGTGCATCCACAGAAGCACTCGAGTTGTTTCTGCAGCAAAAGGCATCTTTCGCCCCCCCGAAGGTCAATCAGGGCGAATGGCTTGGCTTTCGTGCGAACGCACCTCACAACATATGCGCAATCCCGCAAGCGAGCCTGTTTGCCGGACATTTGCTTAAGTATTTATGTACTTCTGTTGGTTGTAAAGGGAATCTATTTGCTTCAATGATTGATTTCCCTGGTTGGTTTGACAGAGAATCGGAATCGATCTCACCACCAGAAATGGTTGCTCAGTGTTGTCCAGAGAACTTAAAGCAAGTGGAGCTTTGTAAGCTCTGGAGGATTCTCTTCGAGGTTCGACTATGGTGGCGGACAGACAATCTGTCGTTGGAGCGATTGTTGCGACACGATATCACAGAAAGGCCCATTTTCCGGAATCATGCGAGAACCTTGACCTAAGCACTGGCTAATATGCCTCATCATTGGCTGTAGTCGAGGGAATGACAGAGGGTACACTCACAGACTGCGACCACAAAGAAGTTCAGGTTGCGGACATCCAATGGCATGGGGGGGGACATCATAGATATTGACCATGGCTGGTTCAAATGCCAAAAGCCAACTGATTGAAGTTTGAACTTGTGATTTGGTAAGTGAGCTGAATGTTGAAGCCTGCTGGGCTCATGGTGTCTCATCTGTAAAACAAGATTTAGCCGTGCCAATGGATGTTTATTATAACAAGCTAGCAATTTATAACAAGCTCGCCTGGGAGCAAAACGAGCTTAAACGAGCATACCCATGGCGAAGAAAGGTCCTTTACTGGGGCGGGGTCCGATTTCCAGGGGAATTATAGTATGCCCAGCGTACTATAAAGTAAGCAAGCCAGGTGCAAAGTATGGTTCGTTGCAGGGGTCCTGCATGCAAATATTGGTCCCCTGTAAATACGCTCAATACCAAGCAGTATGCTAGACATGGTGGATATGCAAGGAAGACATTAAGGGAGTCTTTGGGGTGATTGTCTCCTTGCTTCTTTAACGTGGATAACGGCTTGCTGGACACTGGTGTGTTGGTACTGCGGCTTGGGGCCAGTGTTTGCGGATATTGAGACAAACCATGATACGGAGCACCCCAAGACTTGCCTTCGGGTCAGACTATAGTCATTTCGGGAGGCCACATTGTCGGTAGGTTGCGGCAAATGTCGAGGCCGTTCCTTGTTTATTTTGCAACAACTAGCAATCAGTAAGCATGTCTAGGTATGGCGTGCGGAGGTATGGGGGTTATGTGTTACTATAAGAGGGATATAAGGTGGTATTTGGATTGAGGTGGTATACAAGTACTTTTTCCTGTATTGGATAGGAGGTATAGGGGTTACGTGTTACTATAAGAGGGATATAAGGTGGATTGAGGTGGTATCTGGATTGAGGTGGTATACAAGTGATTTATGCTATATTGGATAGGATACCTCCCCAACTCCCAGTAGTATATACTGCCTAACTTTGGTTGCCGACATAGAAGGCATAGCTCCAAGCACCCACGTACAATCTTCCCCAAAACAAAGACCCTGGCGCAAAGCACGCAGGGGTTTGCCCCTTTGCCTGTTTTTGGTCTTGTTCTACAGGCACCCAGACCTCTTCAAGGGACATGAGCAGCGCGAGCAGCCTCATGAGCCATAAAATTGGTTCTCCTTGGTTCAAGGAGTTGCAGAAAGGCTATTTTTTGGTTATGTGTCAAAAAAATCGGGGACCGGGACCCCAACATGAGCGGTTCCCTTGGAATCGGGAAAACACAAAACGATAAACTGCTGCAAAGCCGGTTTCTTCCGGGCTTCGAAAGTGTCGAGCGGATTCTACTGAGCATTGCACAGATGACGCCATTTGAGCCATCAACATTCTTTACATGGTTTTGGGTTCACCATTTTAGGACTTTGATATTAGGCCAAGTTAGTAAATGGTTAGCCATTTGGGGCATACCCCTTTATATCAATTGGTTAACCCCCAAAATCACGGGGGACTTACATATTTGTTTGCTATGTATCAATTGGTGAGCAACAACTTGCTCACTCCCAAGCAGGTTTTGATCACCTCCATGGGGCGTCCGATCTTTGTTTCAGGTGGTGGCTCGGGATAGCGAGGTGCTCACGCGAGTGGCCCGGATGCCACGGATGCCACTGAGGGAAGGGGCCAGCGGTCACAGCGGTTATAGGTCACAGGGGACCATCAAACTACCAATCAAAAGGAGGACCCTCTGGGTATCCCTTGTCACACTCCCTGAGTTCCGTTTCGGACACTTGAGTCACTTTTTGGGCAGTTTAGTTGGCTTCGCGCGAAAAGTGTGGTTACTTGTTTTGGCCAATGTTGATCGGAAGTGAGTTATGGGGCTTGGAGGTGAGATGTGTCACATGCTCATTTGGGGTAGGATGAGAAAGAGCAGTGCCAGGGTCTCGGTTGGGTCCTCATCCTTCCTGAGGACTCTTATCAAAGTTTGTCCCGAAGGGGGAAGCGTGTTTAAGCCCGTAGCCATAGTCAAAAGACCCGAACAAATTAGACTTGGAGGTTGTTGCGGAGGGTCGTTGCTGAAAGCTTGAACATGCAGCCAGGAGGGTCTGTCCCAAATTTGTTTGGGATGTGTTGAAGGGAAAGCAAAAGAAAACCGCCTGGAGGGGTCCAACATGTCCAACGTATTTTGAGCAAAAGAACACTCAGTGTAGATGTGAGTTTCGGGAGCTACCCAGGTTCATAGCTCCCTCCAAATACCCCCTGATAGCTCTATTGTGAAAAATACCTGTTTGTGTTGGCTAGATTGAATTGCCGAGTTTTCTATGGTATTGTTCCTTCGTATACTGATGCATTGACATAACCTGGGTATTGGGTGACGCGGGTATCACACAGTGGGCACCCAGTGGGTTACTGTTTGAATGGCATGTGCGCAGATTGCTCGGCATGGGTTGCATGATGTCAACCTCTGACTGAAACAAAAGGACAAATATCATGGAAGACCTGGCTTTCCAAATATACCAGCTGTGGAAAATACAATGTTTTTGTTTTTTTCCACTGAGCAACTTGTTGCACCCTAAGTGTCTATGGGGATTGTCCGAACCGCCGAGTTGCGGCAGCTCAGTGATATGCGCAACCTGCTGGACGGCGGCACGCTGGAGGAGGCCTGTTGGCTTGTCCAAGGAAGGTAGGGGGCACAAAAGGCGGTGGACTTTGCTCTGCTCACAAGACTGAATGTGCCTGTTGCCAAGGCGTGTGTTTGGCTTGCAATATCATTATGGGGGTGTCTTGTCTTGATGGTACCCCTTAACACCCGCCAGTTTGGGAGTTCCCCTAAAAGACGACACACCCATTTGGGTGGTTTGCGGTCGGTTGTTTGCTTGTTGTTGTTTCTTGGCCGGTGATCTTGGCAAATTGGGGCTGAGGAAACACATTTCGGGGCTGTTTTGAAGGGAAGCCTTTTAGTGGCAAGCAACAAGGTTTAGCTTTTGTTGGCTAATCCACTCGATCGGAAGTGAGAATGTGTTTCAACCAGACCTCATTCTTCTTTATGGCTATTTGGTTGGAGCTTTCAACTTTAACCTTTTGGATTTTTCGATTTGGACCCACGAAAGTTTGTGTTTTTTCCTTTTCTTCCGGAGGGGTCGCTACCGCAGCCAGCCTTAAGACCCAAAGAAAAGCCGCCGGCTGCGGCCAGGTGGCGCAGGCTGCGCAGCTTGCGCCGCTTGCGCCCGAGCCAAACCGCCGGGCTCTCAGGTCCGCCCAAAAGACGAGCCGCCGAAAGACGAGCCATGGGGTGCGGTAGTCTCTGTCGAAATTTCAGGAATCTTTGTGATCCGAATTTCAGGAAACCGTCAATCAACCCCTAAAGCATGACTCTGCAGGGTTGTGGTTGATCACTCGGGGTTTCTCCAACCACTTCTGTGATATCTTAAGGGAATCTCCCCCTTTTTCTGGCAGGTCTTTCTCCCTCTCTCTCTCTCTCTCGCTCTCTCGCTCTCTCGCTCTCTCGCTCTCTCTCTCTCCCTCTCGCTCTCTCTCTCTGTGAGTTCCGTTTCGGACTAAAGCTCACTTTTTGGGGCGCGTTGAGGCCATTTTGTTGGTTCACGAAAAGCGGAGGTTCTTTTGGCCCATCCACTCGATCGATTGAAAATGTTAGAGTGGGGCTGGTAGGGTAGTATCAGACCAACACATACTCATGAACGATAGCATAGGACATACATGTGTTGTTTTGTTGTTTATCCCTTTTGGCGTTTCTCCAAACAGGAAGCGGTCCCTAAAATTGTTTGTTTCCTTGTGGTTTTCCCTTACATACCAACCATGGGTCCACTATGCTAGAAACCATAGTGTTGCGCTATTGTCCTAGCGAAACAAAAGGGGATGATCATATTTCTATTTGTTGCCAGACCCAATATTTCCCAGCATTGTTTGACTCTTGAGGATTGAATTCCGGCCGGGCAGTGTTGGCCCTTTTTTAGCTTGTGAGGGGCATTCCCTTTAGAATCGATCAAGCAGAGGTGCCTTTTTGACCATAGGCGGAGGTGGGGATGGCCGATCTAGATCGGAGGATGCAGGGGTTGGTACAAACGTGGCAGGTTCCTTTCTGAACCCTGCCGCCGTTTGAGCCCGCCCTTTTCAGTCGGATACCAACAAGAGCCCCCCCCTCCCCCCATTTTTCATCAACCCGCTCCCCCCCCCACCCCCGCTTGGTGATTTCGCAGGAGGGTTTGCAGTATATATTTGTGCGCAAAACGCATGTTCGGTGCACCTCCACGCATGCTATAGGTGGAGGGCACTTGGATTGAGCAACGCACACTATCCTGTGTGCTTGATGCGTGAATATCGTTGTTTGTTTTTGCTCTGTTATGTGTATACCTGAACCCTCCAAAAGTACTGAAATTTCCGTACATGCAGAAAAAAAGTGTCAATGTACACTTTTGAGGAAATTTGACGGAAATCACTTTTAGCAGGCTGTGAGCGTTTGTGGTGCACTTGGATGCACATGAGCACAGTTTGCAATTTACACGGCCCGTCATACTTAATTCCGTTTCAGGTCTTTCGTCTCCAATTGCTGTGGGGCAATGTGTGACAGCTTCCTTGCCGCTTTTGCGAGTTTGCAGTTTTCTCAGCCAACATGCAGAAACCGCAAATGCACGGAAATCGGCGGGAAATGCACGGAAATCGGCGGGAAAAGTACGGAAATCTGCGGAAAATGCACGGAAATCAGCGGAACATTTTCTTGAGGAAATGGGCACCTTTTGTCCTTGGTGAATTGCACACCTTCAAATGGTATGAGCATGACAATCTCCAGTGCCATGGCCGGAGCTGAAAGTGAGATTCTTGTAGAAAAAAGGTACCAAAATGCTCGTGTGTCTTATGTTGAGCCTACAAGAAAAGTACAGTTTTTGCTCAAATGTATGGATTTGAAGGAAATGCACGGATTTTTGCAGAGAGTCGCAAAAAAAGTGCCCTTGGTTGGTCCAGGTATATATATATATGTATATATAAACGGTTTGGGCGGTCCTTCTCCAATCGGTTTGTGGTCGTCATCTTGTCAGGTATGTCATTTCAAAACCGTTTGCGGATGATGGAAGGAGATGATCCACCAGTCCCATGTGAGTTGGGAGCACGACGAATACAGATTGTGGCTCATATCAACGTTTACCTGGAAGAGGTCCGTGGTTGCGGACAATCGGACTTGGGAGTCATTTCTGTGATCTAAGCGAATCTAGCACTACTGGAATTTGTTTCATTTTTTTCCTCACAGGGACTTGAGCTAAATGGAGGGTTAGTATATTCTGAAGATCCGGGTTTTCCATGGTAAACACCACGCTTTTCCTGGTGGTTGCCAAGCATTCTCTCAGTTTTTTTTGGGGGCGTTTAGTGGGTGGTTTCCATGTAACCCACTGAACGTTATTTTTTAGCAGGCGATCTGAGGAGTTCTTTCTAGTTCAAGGGTGCACGCATCATGCCCTAGCCTTCCAGCTGGGTATTCAGCGGGGCTGCCTGCGTCATAAGGTCGGACAGCGCGTGGCAAACCTGCAGGCCCCGAACTCGTGGCCGAATCGAAAGACTTTATTATGGAAATGAGTTTGTAAAAAAATGGGGATACTTGAAACCTCCCTTTGTGCCGGCAAAAATGGATGGGCAGTACCGAAAAGAAAGGGGTCATGGAATTCTCCCATGTGCTGGAGGGTCATTTTGTAACTCCAGGAACCCCAAAAGGGTGTTTTTGTTGTTTGATTTCCCTTCAAACCACACCAAAAGAGGGTTCTTGACAGACTTTACGTCGGAAATCCAGGTTTCATCCATTTCGCACACTTTGAATCCACCTAGAGTCTCCATGACCCCTTAAAAATGAGGTCATTACTCAAAATTTTGGGGTCATGACCCCACTTTTCAAGTGTCCTTAGGGAGACTCCAAGATGGTTGAAGTCACAAGCTGTGTGTTGGTATTTACGTTGGGGAATCGAATCCGAAACCGTTGGGCCTCGAGCAGTGCATGATTCTGTCTATCCACAGTATCGCTGGCTTGGGGTGGACTGGATTAGGGTATCTCGGACAACAAACTTACGTAGGGTAAAGCAGCTATTGGCTTTTTTTTGGAAATCAACTACCAAAGAAGGGCAGCTTGTTTCCATGCCAACTGGAGGTCTGAGTTTTGCTTGAATGAATTTGAGTGTTGCTTTGAATATGTTTCGTTCAAAATTGTCATTTCCATGCTTCCCAGCCGCTTCGTCCGCCAGATTGGAACATGTTGTGCCAGTAGAAAATGCGGGTGGGGGGGTTCTACATCCCACGAGGGTCATGCTCGAAAGCTGGCCTAAAAGAGCTGCCTACCTTGAAAAGAGGTACTAAATACTGATGGACACAGCCTATTCCGCACCAGTTGCTAGGATGTGTATCCCATTATTCGCAGAATTTCCTGTAGCTGATGCAAGAGTTGTTTTCTATCCACGTGGTTAGGAGCTACTTATTTCGCTTGGAGGGATCATCTTCGGCCACTCCCCGCTCTCAGTTTGTCGAGGCGACAGCGCACGGGACAGCGCGCGCAATGGAGACAGTGCTCGCATGCGTCAGGGCCACAGAGGTGCCCAAACCATCCGAAGGCTTTCAGGCATCCCTGGGTTGCTTCCATGTTCTTTTCTTTTTGGATTGTTTGTTTCATTTTTAACTAAAATATATATATATATATATCCCTAAGGCTCTTTGGTATGTGCATTGGAAGGGTCGGGATGTGCATTGAAAGGGTCCGGCCTAAATACCCTGCTGACGACGTTCCGGGGCTCTGGCAGTTCACAGTTCGACGCCCCGGGGGCCCAGACCCGTTTTGAGCGCACGCGACAAGGTCTGAAACCCAACTGGCCACTGGCCGCAACGACACCCCTGCGCAGAACAAAAATCCGTTTTTCAGATAATTGTAAAAAAAGGCCAGGCGCTATGGGTGAAGGCTGGGCGGCTTGAGTCCACAGTGTTATCGCTAACGCGTTACCTGTTGTTTCGGATGTACTTGTGGGCTGGTGATGTGTCTTCACTTGCTTGGTATTTCACAGCTTCTTGGCAGGAGTCCCGTGTTATCCCGTGTTTGCCAAAAGGTTGCTGACTTTGCTTGTTTGTGCGTGTGTCTGACAGGCCCATGAGCCCTGCAAAATTGCTTTGGTTACGCGCTGTCGCTGCTATTGGCTTGCAATGGCGTAAAGTCACAGTTTGTATTTATGGGCCAGTTGAGTGCCGATTAGAACGGCACGCGTCAAGGTCTGGCGTCGGAAACACGTCGGGAAGCTAACGCTTGGGCCCTCAAAACTAGGCAAACCGAGGGCCCGCGAGGGCCCGAGCGTCGGAAAGCCGTCGGAAACGTCGGGAAGCCGTCGGAAACGAAACGTCGGGAAGCCGTCGGAAAGATCAGGAAGCCGTCGGAAACGTCGGGAAGCCATCGGAAACGTCGGGAAGCCGTCGGAAAGATCAGGGAGCCGTCGGAAACGTCGGGAAGCCGTCGGAAACGTCGGGAAGCCGTCGGAAACGTCAGGAAGACGTCGGGAAGCCGTCGGAAGCGTCGGGAAGCCATCAGAAACGCCGGGAAGCCGTCGGAAAGCCGTCGGACAGTTTTCAGAAACCGCGGAATGCCAGCATGAGTGAGAACGCCGTCGGAAAGCAGATGTCGGAAAGCCGTCCGAGATCTGTGTTTGCCAGGACATGCTTGGGCTTACCGACTTGTCCGTGGCAACTGAATCTTTTGTTTGCCGGCCAGGACGGTGTGCGGGCCAATAAAAGCGATTGTTATTGAATGATCGATAGTGGTTGCAGACCCGGAGCAGCCGGGGCCCTCGCTACGAGGGGTCGTGTTTCTATGGCCCCTCGCCATTCTGTCCCTGAGGGCCCGATGCAAAACGACGCCCCGAAAAGAGTTGGGATCCTTAGGGATATATACTATTTTCCCGTGTTGGTTTTAAAAGGAATCTATCACTGATGGAAAGTGTTTTGTTTTTTTCACGGGTCTTCGCCAAATGGAAGGTTGGTGGTTTGGATTGTCGGTTTGGATTTGGATTGAAAAGACGCTGACACTTGTACAAAGCGTTTTTATTTTGTTAAAAAAAGGGGGGGGAAAAAAAACGACAACAATCTGACCGGAACCAGTATACTTCCCTGAAAGGTAATGAGGTAGTGGTTTGGGATCGAGGATCCAATGTAGGTTCGGGAACAGGCACTTTGGGCCCTCAATGACCCCCTCAACACGGAGTCAGGCGGCTGGATGTTGTGGGACAGGGGTTTCTCGTAGGTCAGTTTGCTCCTCAATTGCGGTTGGCCAGTTGCAGACACCTGTACCCACGCTCGGGCGAACATCATTTTGTATGTGCCGTTTGATATTAGGTTTGCCTGTTGTGGCAGAACGTCATGTTTGTGTGCGTCAATTAGCGTGGACACCCTCAGGAAGATGTTCCATCGCACATTTGCTGAAAGTGTTTTGTTCCTTTCCGTCGCGGGTTTTGTATGGAAAAGGCCATGGTCTTGTTTGTTGTTCATTGAAGGTTTATTTTCTCCCCTATTGTACACTTGGAGGTTTATGAACCTGTTCTTGCTGTGAGCACCCCCCTCCCCTCATGTCCTGTGTAAATTCATACGTCGCCGTCAAGACTGCATATGGGCCGTCTTGGCGGACATCAATCAGGTGGGGATTTGTGCACCAACCACTTTTGATATGGTGTGCCTGGAAAATGCACAGCCACATACAGCCACATTCGTATGGGTGTGCCTTTTTTTGAGGATACATGTTTTTACGGTTTAAAAGGAGCCCAAAAAGAACAACATTATGGGGTCCCCTTAAACATTACACCCGTATATAATCATATATATATATATATATATATGTATGTATATATATATATATGTAAATAAGGTAAATGGATAGATATAATATGTATGTATGTATACATTGTTTCCTACACATATGTGTACATATATTCATATATCAATGTATATGTCATTGTGTACATATATATATATATACATGTATATATATATATACATGTAGATAGAATTGTACCGTTTGCACGTGCATGCGGAGCCAAAGGCACTAGCCCTGGCCGTGAGCGAGCTGCCCGGGCCCCGGCCGGTGCGGTGGACATGTCCCGGTTTGCCACACTTGGGGCAGTGTACTTAGTAAGTGGTTAGTAAGTCTGGGTAGAACCATGGCTTTATGGTGGTCTAGTAAGTCTGGTAATAGTCTGGTTACTTAGTGTACTTGTGAGACTTATAGCCATGGCTTTTGTGGGTTATAACACTGACTAAGTACAATGTGTTTTTGGGTATTGCAAGTGAACCAACCCCCTTAAACATGAACTTGGATAAGGGGTGAAGGGGTTGAAGGGGGTTGGTGCGGTGGCCCCGCGAAATTCCAATTGCGGTTCCATCTTCCGTTTTATAGGGAAGACTAGATAAACAGCTCCCCTTAAGGTAATGGGGATAAACCATGGTGACTTGGTGGTTCCCAGTCATCCTCTTAGGTTTTTAGGTTGTTAGGGTTTAACGGTTTAGTGGGGGTGTCCACTTAACCCGCCAAATGTAAACTTCTGGGTACTCGGCCAAGTTAGGAATTGGTTAGTTACGTTACGTAGGTTGGGACGCTTGCAAGTAGGCCTTGGGCGAGCACCCAAGTATTCCAATGGACGGCTCGTGACGCATCGGAAGACATGGCTTCAAAAAAAGCGTACCCTCCCACCCGCCAACACGTAGTTTGACGGTGGCTTCGACAAGTGGGTTCCACTTTGGGAGGGTAGTTACCGGCTAGGATTTCTTAAGAAACCACACGCAGTTTCGTTCAGCAAGGCAGCAAAGGGGCATTCTTGGTAAACACGCGACACGAATCTCTGCATTGATCTTAGGACTGATCAGGTTGGAGTGAAGGCAACCTTTTCGACCCCTTCTGTCCTTCCGGTGCTATGGTGCTATGGTCTCATACAGCTGCACTCACGGCCGAATGGACTGGATGTGAAGCCAATTGGGGCGGCGCAGCCTGTGCAGGACGGAACCCAAAGGTGTTGCCAGGTTGACAGGGAAGCCCAAGTTTTTGGATTTCAATGATCGCAACGTCACCTTTGGGTTGCCAGGTGAACAGGGAATCCCCAGGTTTTTTGATGACCGCGTATTGATCGCATTTATCTCTTGTGATTTGCAGAAACACATTTTCTTCTCTCTACCTCGACGAAGGGATACTGCGGCCCGTCATCAGGGTTGCTAGGAACCTCACAACAATAGCCAGACCGCTTCCTTACTTGCTGGACTTTATACTTCTTGGAAAGACAAGTTTAGTGAAACACGAACTGTAAACATCGTTTGGCCATTCCGGCCGATCGGAAGTGAGTAGAGCATTTTTAGAAGGGGTCATCTGGATTTTCTTGCCCAACTTTCTATCCGTGGCCAATAAATCCCAATACCCTGCTCAAGGCACCCTTGAAACTTGTGGTGTCTTCACCCTTCAATGTGTGGAAGGGACGGATTTTTCGGACCTTGCCCCCAAAACTCGCTGAAGGGTTCCTCTCGCCTTTTCCTCAAAGAGTTTCAAGAGTTTAGCGGAAACACTGTAACCATCAATACTGTGGATGGACGAACTTCTGCACCACCTAAGAAACCCTGGAAGGCTGGTTTCCCTTTAAATAGCAACAAACTACTGGTTTCCCATGGTTTCAAAGTGGTGCAGGATTTTGTCCACCCACAGTATGTTCCACTTTTTTCCGGCCTTTCCCTTGGTTTTGGGCTGGAAAGAAGGATCCCTCCAAACTGATGGCCCCCCCACCCCACCTTAGGGGATTCAGAAGCGCGCTAGGTGGTGCGGCCCATGCTGGAGGCTTAGCTACAAGCTGTTCGGAGCATCGAAATGTCGATCCCCTGGCCCCTCGTTGATGACTTTTTTGGGTAGAAATCCCGCAGTAAGCCATCTTAAGTTTCTTTCCTCAGTCGCCCAAAGCGAATCGACCTTTTGAGCTTGTAGATTGTCCCCTTGTTGGTCTGTTTGTTCTGCCAACCGATGAACCTTTTACTCCAGATTAAGGCAGCCCTGGTTGTTTAACGGGGGGGTGTCTATTTTCAGTGGGGATTCATCAACCATGCATTTCTAGGTCCTTTTTGCAACTGAGTATTACGACACCGATGGTTTGCAAAATGGTTTTGGACTCAACTGAAGTTGAAGCCCTGCACCCGAACCTTCCCAAAACCCAGCGTCTTTTGCGGGCTCGCTACTAACTTTTTGGAATCGAGTTCTCCAGAAAGACTCCTTTTTAGCTACCAGTTGTATTTACTTGATCCGGCATGTCGAGTTGGGTGTGTCTTAACATAGGGGACCCCCTCAAAAGAAATTAATATGGTTTTCCTTCTGGTTTCCCTGAACCCCCAACAGGATACCCTGAAAAAAGGGGTACCCTCTAGCTCCCTTTCTGTTTTGGCTCGCAACTAAAATTTGGGAATCGAGTCTGCGGAAGGACTTCCTTTCCCTACCAGTTGTTTTGAATTGATGAGCCAGAACAGGCCCAGTTTGAGCAGGGCTCCTTAACAGATACATGTTGCAACCATTTGAAACATGTTGCTTTTTCAACACCAAAAAAAAAGGGAAACCACCATTTACAAGTTGCAATGTTCAGGTGTATAATGCATCCGGATCCCTGTGAGAGTGCAGCCTAAATCTCAGGTCCAGCTCCGTCTCAGCCCGGAAGATCCATCAGAGCCCCAAGCGCGAGAAGGCAGGTTCTCTTGGTTGCTGGGGTCATTTCCCCAAACGACCTCTCAAGTCTCCAGATGTCATTTTTAGAATGGGGACTTTTTGGATTGATCCGGGAACACTCTCGCAGCCAAAATTTCGAGGAGATGGTTCTCTTGGTTGTTGTTGGCAAACATGTTTCCCATTTTTTCTTATTGTGGTTTAGTGGGAAATTTTCACTTGACTGCTAAACTTATTTTTGTTTGCTCCCCAAACCCAACGTCAACCAAGTTCTGGCTTTGATTCGCATCCTCAACATTTGTTCTTGGGATTCTCACCCCTGGTTTATTTCGATCGTTGGAGGGGTGTCCTTTTGGGGATTCAGACTTAACTTTTGGAGGGGTGTTTCCCCCCTTAGTAGAGCGGATGAATAGGAAGCCGGTTTCATCCGCGCTCAACAGAGGCGTGGGGTCCATTCAAGCCTCCCCAAACCTCCAGCAACGGACACTATAGGTTATTGGAACCCAGTTGATCGAAATTTGAGGGGGTTTAGTTTCAACCCCCCTCCAATGGAAGTGAATAGTTGTCTCGATCCCTGAGTGAGTTCCGCTTCGCACTTTGGTGACTTTTGCGGTTGGATCATTTAGTCAGTGGAAAAAACAAGTTTGGGAGCCTTTTTGGCCAATCCGCTCAGGAAGTGGTTGTTCTTCTCCACTGTTGAGTTTTTAAAGGGAATCGAATTGGATATGTTTGCTCATTTGTGCCAGGGCACGAAACGCGCAAATGGAGGATCCCCAGCAAGCGGCTTCATGTCAAGTACCACCCGGAGAGCGCAGAAAAGGGGCGGCAAAGAAACGTGCGTGGCTTGGTGGTGCCCACTCATCCTCTTAGGTTTGTAGGTTTTTGGGCTCTTAGGTTTTTTGGGAAAGTTAGACTTTTAGCAGGAGATCTGGGAACAGCCCGGGGAGTGGCCAGCCCCAACCCAAACAGCACTTCCACAAATTGCGGCCGATTGATCCGGAAGATCTATCACTAGCGGAAATATGTTTTTCCAGGTGCTGGAAGCAAATGGATAAACACGTAAACCCCGAAAGCAAGGTGAGGGCTCGGTTTCCACTTGCCACTTGGTGATATCCCCTAGGTACTCCTTGTTGAAAGTCTTTGTTAGGAGCCTTACCATTGCATTGCTAGGTACGTTTCGAGTGTTGCTTTTGTGGATTCCTTCCCCGCTTGCAAAGAATCCAACCAAGATGACTTCTGTTTGCGGAAACCGCCAAAACAAAAACACAACAGCGCATCCGTGTACCCTTTTCAAGAGCAAACCCCTGTGCCCGGAATGCCCACTTTGTTGGTTCTTTTGGCAGAACAACCAGCGAGAGTATCAACAGGCTTTGCAGGACTGAAGCTGCAGACTGGGCTGGGGTCTCCTCCAAGATCATGTTATATTTTCAGGGTAGATGATAAATAGAAGCCGCATTTTGTTGGGTGTGTGGTGCACCGAGGACCTGCGCCCAGGAAGAATTCAAGCTTCAATAATTAAAATGTTTCTTTCAAGAAATCCGGATCGGTTACCACTTTAGCCGCTATAATGTGGATCCCAGATGAATCAACCCTCGTTTTCTAGGGGGCGTCCTTGATTTTAGCGCCGGTTCATCGCTTTTGGATGGGAACTCGGAACCCCCAAACTGTGGATGGGTCCTCGAACTCCGTTTCGCACCACTTTCAAAGAACGGGAAGCCATTGTTAGTTGGTATTTGCAGAGGACTCATGATTCCAGGGTTTCTTTGGAGGAGGATTTCGTCCATGCACAGTTTGGGACATGATCAAAGCTAACGGGACCTTTGGATGAAGACACCCCCTGTCTTAGAGGCTCCTAAAACTTTCAATGAACGACCCGACCCCCCCATTCGACACCCCGGAGGTCTTTGGTCTCGAAACTCGGCTGTTTGAGGGTCCTAAATCGATCAGGAGCGTTTGGGTGTATGAATCAGCAGGGGGTTTCTTGATCCGTGGTCCCCCGGCCGGGCCCCACGTTGTTGTTTTTTTTTTTTTGCGAAGTTAATGCGTGGGGCCAGGCTCGCGCGGCCGGCGCTGTGCTCGGAGATGGGATGGAAAAGTTTGTGTCATTTCTTGGTAAGGCAGACTTAGACCCGGGCGCTTTCACCCAAAAGCGGAGCCGCTGAGTTGTCTTTGGAGTCAAGTTGATCTTGCCGTTTGTGGGGAGATGGCTCACTCGTTGAAATTCTGGATTCGTTCCTTTTTTGGAAGACCGATTTTGTGGTATACGACTTTTTGCGGGTTCGTCCACTCAAGAAGTGAGAGAAAAGTCCCTACTTCCGTTTTGTGGTAAACAGTATTTAGACTGTTTCTGATCAATCGGACATGAGAGTCAGTCTCCCAAAAGTCTCAGAAAAAGCCGGCTAGTTTTTGGAGAAGCTCCTAGTGAAACCGGTTGGTTTTTGGATCATGGATCCGTCTCTGGGGATGCTTTCCAACTAACATAGCACCAGAAATGGGGTCCCTTGAAGAGGAAGCCAATCTTCCAGGTACCCTCCGAGGGCTGCCATGTGAGTGGAAAGGAGCTTGACTGCTATTGGGTTGGATCTTTAGACTTTAACTTTTTGGAAAATCAACTGGGTTTTCCACTAACCCTCCAAAAAGTTAAAACAAAAATGCAGGGGGGTCAACAGCAACCAAGTCATCCCCTGACTTTGCGGATCCACACCCGGTATTTTGAGGGTCGTTTGAGGGTCGTTTTAAAAATCCGACTGGCACACTTCTTGCACAAAAAGTCTCAGCTTTCCAGGGCAACCCATTTTACCAGGGCAACCGATCTTACCAGGACCCTAATTTTGACCCACAGCCAACTGAGTCTCAGCTCTCCATCGAAGATTTTCGCAGAGCCGAGGCCCAGAGGCAGACGAGAAGGCGTGGCATCTCACACGAGTCTGGTGGTTAAGGTTCCTGTCCGTTTTTTTTTTTTAGTTCATTTGCTCAAGAATATTTGTTGGTATTTAAAGGGAGTTTCTCAGTACTGGACAGATCTTTTTATTTTTTTCCAGGTTGCTTAAAAACAAATGGGCTGAAAAAAATACCCCGCGCCTTTTCGTTATGTAAGGGGCCGTCCCTTAACTTGTTTCGCAGGCCAAAACCATTGTAAACCGATACAGAGGAAAAAAACCGATACCCCCAGAAGCCATGAAGACACACATCAGGTCCTAGTTGTTTTCGCAAGCCAAGATTGCGGAATCATAAATTTGCAGGGCCCAAACCGATACCCAAACCGATACCCAACCGATACCCAACTCATTGGCCGCCATGCCGAATCCAAACAGCTGCCCTGCAGCCTTCTCTGGAGCTGCCAACATGTACTTTGTGTACTACATTTGTACTGAAAAGTTGCGACTGCCGCTGTGGAGCTGCCAAAATGTACTTCGTATACTACACCATACTACACTTGCTTGCACTGAAAAGCTGCGACTTTCGAGCCGGAGCTGCCAAAGCGTCCTGCGCATACTACTGAAAAGTTGCTACTTTCCAGCTGGAGCTGCCAAAATGTACTTTGTGTACTACACTTGCACTGAAAGTTGCGATTTCCAGCTGGGGCTGGGAGCTGGCAGAGTGTACTTCGCATACTACACTTGTACGGAAAAGTCGCGACTTTCGAGCCAGAGCTGCCAAAACACTGCAAACCGATGCAGAGGGCAAAAAACCGATACTGACCGATACTGAGGCATAAGGATACAAGGGTTGTCCACGGTTTTTTTTTCAACCCAAATGGGATGTTTATGGGGCCTGAACAATACGTGGGGATTCCCTGAGGAACCCTAAGGAACACCAGGGAACGGGGTGGGCCCTTGCACCTACCCTGAAGGCTATTGGACGACAACCTAGGTTACAACGCACTTCCTAACTTGGCCGAGCACCCAAGTACCGATGGCACCGCGCAACACGGGTATGGTGACGCTTTGACCCGTTGCACCTTGAGCAGGGTTGCTGCCCAAGGCATGCAACATAGCCAGAGCACACTGGCGATGTTCCTTTTGGTTTCCCTTTAAACAGGGTGCCTGGAGTCTCCATGACCCTTTGAACATGGGGCCATGAGTCCTTGCCTTTGGGCAATGATCCTTGTTTGACATGGTCCTGGAGACGTCCACGCACAATTGCTGTCCTCTGTTCTTAGAGCGACTGCCCGTTTGGCCACAGCGGCGTGCCAGAGGAACAACAAAGCCGGCCTTTGGCTCGAGAAAATGTATCCCAATGAAGCGGACTACGTTCGATGAAGCAGCTCACTCTGAGACGTATTTACTCTGCTGTTTTGGCGCACAAGTCTTTGAGATACTTTGATTTACAAGAGAGTGCCTCGAGTCTCCATGACCCTTTAAAATAGGTCCATGGCCCCAGTATTTAGGGTAATGAGCCCATTTTTAAAGGGTCATGGAGGCTCTAGGTGGAAATTACCTGTGCCGCACCCACACACAATGCAACCTTCCAGCTGACCAAACACCAGGGCCAGCGATCTGCACAGCCCGAAGTGGGCAACAGTTGCGTGCGCTTAACCTGGGCGTTTGTGCTTAAGAGTATTTGTCATTTTCCTCTGTTGGAGTCAAAGGGAGTCTGTCACTATAGTCTGTTGTTTTTTTAGAAAGCAGAGGGGAGAAGCAAATGGAGGCTTAGGGGTCTGAGGATGGCTGGAAGACTCCCTGACACTCCGTGGCATTTGGCTTTTCTCCGCGAGTCGAGCAGCAAGTCGACTCAGTCCGACTCGTTCAGCAGGCGGCCCAAAGCGAATCAACTTGAAGTGACCCGTTGGTTTTCCAGCTTTGGCTTCGCATTTGCTTGCATTGGCTAAAATGAATATGGTTGATTTTCCCATTTTGATTTGCTTTGGAATCTATCACTATTGGTTATATGTGCATTTTTGTCCAGGGGGCTTAAGCAGATGGAAGTTTCGTCAAGGTCTCAAAGGGTTGACCATCCCATCCGGAGCCACAGAGGGTCTGTTTGATTCCCCGGCAAAAGGCCAACATGGGGATCCTTTTCCACTGCACTCACAAATTGTAGACCTCGAGGGTGGGATTGGAAGGGGGGCTGTCACCTATTTCCCAAGGAGGCCCTGTGGACCAGGCCGTTTGTCGGTATTTTCCGCTTTCTTAGGTGGTGCGAAATGGATTTTGTTAAGGGCTCGTCCAGGGATAGCCCCCGCCCAAACCGCCCTTCAAGGTCCATTGTGCATTTTCCAAATTCTGCCGCTCGCCGCAGAATTTGGGCCGGCGAGATGTGGACAACATGGCATTGATCTCAAGCACCACGTCCGCCCCACATCTCACGCATGGGTTGAGCCGTTTGAGTTTGCCTCTACCCAAACTTCTTTTTTTTCTGGTAGACGCAACCCTAAAAGGGTCCCTTACAAAGTACACATCCGTTTCGCGATTGGGGGAGCTGCACCCAAGGTTGCATCGACACCAACCCTGTCAAGAAGCCATGCCATCGAAGAGCAACACACTAAAAGCCTTGCCCAGCTGCCATCACGAAGTGACTGGTGCGGCTTTTCAAAGCCCGGAGCTTAGCAATTTGAGGCAGCTAAGTCATCGCAGACTTTTTGATGTGCCTGTATCTATATATATATATATATATATGTATATATATGTATATGGTTCCGGTCGGCGAGCGGCCACCCCCCCCCCGCCCCAATCCCAATAATATACCCCCCCCCACTTGGGGGGGGGGTGGCCGCTCGCCGGCCGGGGTACGACAAGCCTTGGCCCGAACCGGAACCCACCAGCGGGCCCACAGGGGGGGAGAGGCCTTTTGCAAGATGACCATAACCGCACACCCAGCGGGCCCACAGGGGGAGCGCGCGCCGGGGTACGACTCGAAGCCTTGGCCCTAACTGGAACCCACCAACACCCCCACAGAGAAAAGAGGCCTTTTGCAAGATGACCATAACCTGCAAGCCCAGCGGGCCCACAGGGGGAGCGCACACCGGGGTACGACTCGAAGCCTTGGCCCTAACCGGAACCCACCAGCGGGCCCACAGGGGGGGAGAGGCCTTTTGCAAGATGACCGTAAACCCAGCGGGCCCACAGGGGGAGCGCACACCGGGGTACGACTCGAAGCCTTGGCCTTAACCGGAACCCACCAGCGGGCCCACAGGGGGGCCTTTTGCAAACCCAGCGGGCCCACAGGGGGAGCGCACACCGGGGTACGACTCGAAGCCTTGGCCCTAACCGGAACCCAGCAACGGGCCCACAGGGGGGGAGAGGCCTTTTGCAAGATGACCATAACCTGCAAACCCAGCGGGCCCACAGGGGGAGCGCGCACCGGGGTACGACTCGAAGCCTTGGCCCTAACCGGAACCCACCAGCGGGCCCACAGGGGGGGAGAGGCCTTTTGCAAGATGACCATAACCTGCAAAACCAGCGGGCCCACAATAAAAGCACACACCGGGGTACGACTCGAAGCCTTGGCCCTAACCGGAACCCACCAGCGGGCCCACAGGGGAGAGGCCTTTTGCAAGATGACCATAACCTGCAAACCCTGCGGGCCCACAGGGGAAGGAGGGGCTATTTAAGGCTACCGTGACCATGGCAAGGGGGGGGCGGAGGGGTGCCCTCCACCATATATGTATCTCTTTCTATTTCTGTCTCTATATTTATATATATATATATATATATGTGGAGGTGTCTTTCTTTATCCCAACAATGGGAAGCTTCCCCTTGGTACCCCTTGAACACCACAGAAAATGGGCTTCAACAAAAGCCACGCTCGTATGAGTGACGATGTTCTGCACAACATCATGAAGCCCGTCAAGCTTTGAATTTTAGGAGTTGCTGGAGACCTCACGCAGACGTTCCCTTTGTTTGTGAGAGCGATTGCTTTGTGATGTGTTGTGTGTTTGTGTGTATGAGTATTTTTTTTTTATGATTGTGTGACTGTGGTGCATATTATATCTATATACATACATATGTAGTTGTGTGTGTGTCTCCAAAGTTCGCAACACTGTTAGACACGAAGTCTTCTTGCGGGCTGAGCGGAGCCTATGTTGGCTCGTGTGGCCAGGTGTTGCTTTTGCTTAAGTACATTGCCCGAGCCCCCGGTTGTTGTCCGCGACCGAAAATTCCGCTTGCTGAGGTAGGCAGAAGGGATGACCTCGCTGGCAGCAGCCTTGGTGAGAGGAGGGACTGCCAGATTGCTTATCAACATAGCTGTATCCCTCACTCCTTGAGGAAGACCGTTTTAGTAGTACTTGACAAACAGTGTTGACGTGTTTTTTGCCCATTAGCTCAGGAAGTGAGCGCCCCAACTGGACATCATGAGGGCCTTCCTTGTTACTTTCCGCTTACCCGTTTTATAGATCAATACACTTCGCGACTTTCCATCAGCAGATCCATGGAAAGAAAAGGAGGGGAGGTTGTCGCATTCTGTTGGCCAGGGAAATCAATCCTTATGTAAAGCTTCTGGAGACCTTGAGAGCCTTGTGAGCAACAGTAACATCTCTTTAAATCAGCTTCCATTTGCTGACATAGTTAGGTTTTATTTCCTCCTGTTGGTTTTAAAGGGAATCGATTTCACTACTGGATATTATAATATATATATATATATATATATTCGTCCATTGGGATTAAGCAAGTGGAGGTCAGGGTCAGGCTTTAAAACAAGAAAGTTCGAACCTGGAGTGGTTGGACAAAGGGCCTGTAATTAAAGCTCGCAGTAGAGAAGTTGTATTTGGGTGTGCGCTCGGGTAGCCTTTTCGGGTTTGCTTGGGCAACCCGAAGGAAAGCCACTGCGTTGGGTTCCCGATTTTGACACGTACCCATTTGGTTGATTTGGTGTTTGTTTTGGCCGTTCTCGAGTGCGAAATGATTCAGGGGTCGAATGGGATGAACAAACTGTTTACCAGACCGCCAGTGGGTTTCTTCCCCTTTTTCCTTTTTTGGAGGGGTTGCCCTAGATTCATTTGGACTGGTTGTGGGCAAGTCAGAAAGTTGGGGTGTTTTGCTGGCAAAATCTTGGCCCCTCCCATATGTTCCCTTCAACCAACAAGACCTTTCCCCACGAAAATCCTCCGGGCTTGTCTTGGTACGTTAAGCGTGCCCCGATGCTTTCTCGCTGAACTACTCACTCCTTTGCTTAGTGATGGCAACCCTTGACCAAAAGCCGACGCAGAGACTATTTCTTCTAAATACACCCATAAAACATGCAGGTAGTTATATGAAGTGCCCCAAACAACGTGCAGTATACCTGGGATCTCTTTTGAATTTATGGGACATGGTTCCAAGTGGTGCAGGATTAGACATGATTTGACATGATTAGACATGATTCGCCATAGTTTCAAAGCGGTGCAGGATTTGTCCATCCACACTATCCACCAGCAAAAACCACATGTTGATTCTGGCCGATAAATTATTTAGTGGAACCTTCCAATGGTTGAAACCATTGTTTGTTGGTATTTACAGGTGAATCGTATCCTTCCAGGGTTTCTGAACGTCTGAACGGTGCGAGAAGCGGATGTCGCAACCACTACCTTTGGAAGGAACTTGGGCGAGCCGTTGATTCTTGCCCGGCTCATCTTCGGCTGAGTCACTGAGGACGAGACGCTGGTCGAGAATCGAGACCTGAGACATGAGAACGAGGCAAGGGACGTTGTCACTGGGTCAAATCTTTGGTGCATTTAAAGGGGACCTTTCCCTTTTGAGTTCCCTTCAAAACTAAAACGGGGTACCCTCAAAAGAAAACACCACCGTATTACTGTTCAAGAGACTTCCCTTTTTCCAACAAACATGGCGCTGGATGATCAGTTGCCTCTTCAAGGGACCCCCTGTCAGGTGCCATGTTAGTGGGAGGGAGGGTACCACTTACCCTTTTTCCAGCAATTGTGGAAGTGTAGATTGGAAGACTGCCATCCTTCTTGAATAATGGCATGGAGTAACGGTGAGTTGCTCGGACAATAGAAGACCTGGTCGCACCACCCAAGTTGGGCGGGTTCAATCCCCAGACCGCTCAAGCCATCCCGTGGTGAACCTCAGAACCGTGCAGGTGGCATCCCAACAGCTCCGGGGTCCTCCAGAACCCTCCTTTTGAACCCTCCCTGAAGTCTGAGAGCCTAGCTGGGCCTATCGACCACATGGTTTTTAACCGTTGGGGACAAAACAAGACAAGGCCTCGCACTACTTTACAAATCCTGGGCTGTTCAAAGGCGAGGAGAGTTCAATCCCACTTGCCATGCTCCCAACCCGATTTGGCAATCCATCTCCATGATTACCCTTCCTCCAACTAACATGGCACCTGTGCGGAGGTACCTGGAAGGTTCATCTCGTTTTGAAGAGTGCCCCTGTCAGTTGCCACTCTAGTTGGAGGGAGGGTAGTAGAACAACGGTACCGAATCACTTTCAACAGCCTGACAGTGTGCAAGTAGATGGTTGCAGAAAAATGAATATGCTTGGCTCGTCTTTTTTGGAGTTGGTGTTGTGTGGGTTGGTTAAAGGGACATTTTAGGTGTTCCCCTGTGTTGAGAAAGCCCCGCAATATCGCTGGAAATAATACGTGCGCATTTTTCCGGAAGAAAACAAATAGAGGTATTGAAGAGCCATGACACCGAAACCCAGTGAACCAGGCGGATAATTTCCTAACTTTTCAAGGCTTTTGCCAGCGCCTTGAAAACAGGGCTACTAGGAGGGCCCCTTGTCCCATTCAGGGAAAACAAACCACAAACCCTGCATTCTGAGGGGTTGAGCATAGGGCAAATAAGCCAACCGAAGCTTTCTGGTAACAGAGTCCCTCCAAGTACAACCTACTGTGGTTAACATAGTGCACCCCTTAAGAAACCCCAGTAAATACTAACAATGGTTTCGCTTCAAAGTGCAGGATTTTGTCCATCCACAGTATGGCGTGTCGATCGGCCATGAGGCCTTGTGTTCCTAAACTCAGTTCGGAGCAGCTCCTTTCGCTTTTTCCTTTTAAGGGTTCAAGTGGGTGGCTGGGCCTTTTGGTTGTTGGTACCCGGAAGCCAAAAGGTGAGCTACCATAGTGCTGGTCCCCTATGTTAAGAGACGCCCAAATCGAATCATTGGAAGCAGACGTGTTGCAAAAGTCCAAAACTGGACCCGCCTCTGGCACGGAGAAGAGGGGGGTGATTTGGTGCAGGCGTTGGAAGTGCTGATGGAAGAGGCGGGCGCCTGCAAGACTCAAGACACACCTGAATGTTTGTCAACCCTGGTTTACCTGGTGGTTTAACAATGGTATGGTCAGTATAACCACCATGACGTTTACCTGGATATTGTCATCATCTAAGTTGGGTCCCGAGGCCATTCTTTTTGTGGGTCCTTGGGGCAACTGAGGGTCGCTTTGGTTCGCGTTCCCCACGAAAAACAGGGTCAACCAAAATGTGGGTCCCTTTCCTCAGTTGTTCAGTGGCACACGAATCCTTTTTCTTTGGGTGGCTGCCTCACTACAAATGGTCGTACGGTAAGTATACTCTTGGTGGTTTGGATTCGTCCCACCACCAAACCACCGGGACAAAGGGCACCGCCTCGCCTGAAACAGGGCGGTCCTTTTGCGCATTCTGCAGTGTACCGTATGGTTGGGTATAAGCGGGCTGTAACCGAACGGTTAACAGTACAACTTGCGGTCACTTGGCGCATCGACACCCCAGGAACGGCTTAAACGGTTTTAGACTTTTTGGAAAAGCCTTGAAAACCATGGGAATACACAACATCTGCCTGGGTTCCCGAAAAAGGATGAAAAAGGTGGTGTTTGAAACCATAGTTTGGGAAATCAGGTGGCGTACCTTACTATTCACTAATGTTGAACCTCACGGGGGAAGATCCTGACGTTCCAGGACGCCTCTCCAGCTGAGGTGCACAGCTTGTTGGAGCAGTGGCGGAGGGCCTGGGCCCATGCGCTGGGGGGCCCAAGCAGAACTCCTACGGTAACCTGGGAAAACCAGGCCGTAAGATCTGAAGGAAAGAAATTCTGGATATGGGTGGCTCGTCTTTTTTCGTGGTACTCCCTTTTCTGTTTTTGAAGGACAGCCAACAGGGCAGCCACCATTTTGGGGTCCCCAACAAAAGACACACACCCCATACCCACTAGAGTTGCCTGCCATAGTAGCTTGCAGCTTTCCTGGATCCCAATGCATCCTTCGGCTCAGTTCTGCTTCTGATTAAACAAATCGCAGTTCCAGAACCCTAGAACTCCCCAACTGCATGCATGGTTGTTGTTGGGAAACATTTTCCCATTTTTGGCTTCTTGTGGTTCAGTGGTTGAAATCCAAATCCACTTAACTGCCAAAATTGAAAAAATGTTCCCCTAACCCAACGTCAACCAAGCATGGCTGGATGACTTGCGCAGCAGCGCAGCTAGTGGTAAGCACCCCCATTCAGCACTTTTTCACTCCCGGAGTCCCTGGAAGCCAAGATGCACCAAGGCGCTCTTCTTGTTTTGGTGGCTCACTTTGTGGTTGCTGTGGTCACGCCTGGGCCGGGCCATAACCCGCACACACAAGAGGTGCTGGACTTTATGCTTCCCCAGTACTAAATCAACAGTTCATATATATATATATATACAAAAGTGAGAGTCACCAAAGTACTACGCGCTGACAATGGACTTAACTGGGGATGCTACCCAATGGCCATTGGCCATCTGCTTCAGAATATGTATTATTTCCCCCTGTTGGCTTTAAAAGGAATGTGTCACTACTGGAAATATGTTTGTTTACTATTTGTTCAACGGGACTCTACTCCAAGACCAGCGCCACCAGTGAGCAGCGGCGAGCGAAAACAATCCACATGGGCGGCTCGTCATTTTCATGTTGGCCCCCCCCTCCCCAAAATGGATCAAGCCGTATTGTTTTGCTTTTGGTTCCCTTTAACTTGGTGATTCCCAGCCATCCCATTAGGTTTTCGGAAGGGGAAGTCGAATGATCGACCCGCGGGTCCGACTTTGACTGTCGCCCGGCTGGTGCTTCGACGTGTCCCCGAGCTGAGCAAGATGGAGAAGGGCCGAGGGAAGGTTGACTATTCCCGGTACCTTGATAATCTGTACCAGAGAGCAGCAGGTGCCGGCATGTCCAGTTTGACGGTTTCCTTCACTGCCAGGCTTGCTAGGTTTTTAGTCTTAGGGCTTTCCTGGTTTCCATTTAACCCAGGAGATCTGAGAACAGCCCAGTTTGGAAACGGCACAAACAAGGGTACCCCCAAGAAAAGTCACCCCAACATCAACATGAAGGGTTGGGGGCCTGGGTCCCCGGACTGCTGAGTTTTGGCGCCGCCAAGCATCTGGCTCTGTCCAACCCTCACACTTTCAAACACCCACTCAACTTCATTTCGACATGGACATTCATTTCAAGAGGGAAACCACCTCAACAGTGCTTGGTGGGCATGAATCTCACCAACATGATGTCCAATACTGGTCTATAAGTAAAACATATATACCCATATGCCAAAGAAGGAGAACTCCCAAACAGTGAGCATGGCGTTTGGTGTTCCTTTTGGTTTTTGTTTCGAGAGGACGGTGATTCGACTTCACTCCGTGCTGAGGAAGGCGCAGGGCGAGTCCGCCAACGAGGAATTGAAGGCTCACCCTGGTCGATCAGTGGTCTCCACCCCCTGAAAACCGAGGCCAACAAAACCCCTGGTGATCTCTTGGTGGCTCCCAGCCATCCCCTTAGCTTTTTGGCATTTTTCGGCCTTTTAGGGCTTAGTGGTAGTTTCCATTTAACTCACGAAAAGTTGTGCACTTTTAGCGGGGGATCTGAGGGAGTGTGAAGGGTACCTATCCCTTCCCTATGGGTCCGATTCGCCCCCATTAAAAAAGAAAGGCCCAAGGGGACGGTAAACAATGGTGGTTATATGAGCCCAACCATTGTTTCAATGGTGGGTTGAATCCCAGGGTATGCTTTGTGGTTCCCAGCCATCCGGTTGTGGTGTTGAGGTGGTTTTAGTAAGTTCAGTGGTGGGAGTTCCTTCTTCACCCACCATTTTGTCACTTTTAGCAGGGGATCAGAAAACTGACAGCCCAGTGTCAGTGCTGGAAATATGTGTTTTTGTCCGGGGGAAGATCAGAGGGGGGGGCTTCTGTTGCCCCCAAACAAAGCGGAGGGCGTGTAATGCCAGAGACGATGTTTCTTGTGGGCACGAGAAAGGCAGACAAGAGTAAACGAGAGTGCTTTTGTAAGACCCGAGGGGAAAAGTCGGGTTATGCTGGTTGTGCTACAGACACAAATTGAAGTAGTCCTGAGGATGCAAGCGCAACCTATTTGTGTTTGTGTGTGTGTGTGTTTTGGGAGTCGCTTGGGACTGAATTGTCTCAGCAGAACAGGGGTTCACGTGAGAGGCATTTATGCCGCAGGTCCTTTCTGGGTTCAAAATCAATCATTTTCCCCAATGCCAGATGGTAGTTGTGTCCATTGTTGTGGTGTCCCACTATGGATCACAGATCAGGGGAACCTGTAAATCCCCACATGTTAAAATCATGTGGACGGCATTGGGGTATGCCTTTTGGAGTTTGGTATCTCTTTTAATGTTTGCAGGAGACACCAACTGGGAAACCAATATGGGGACTCCCCCACTTGCATGCCAAAAGAAGGCACCTGATTGGTCGGTCAAACTGACTAACACTTGACCTGAAGGGACTCAAGCTGAAAGACTGGTTGAACAGGGTTAAACATTTCTGTGTATCCCCTGATTCAAAATCCATAGTGGAAGCATGCCGTCCGTTCATTGAACTTCGTGGACCTCTGACCACCCGTCCAAAAACAAACAAAAAAAACGGCACAGCACAAAACATAACATGATACATGTGTTTTTTGGCAACGCGCCTTCCGTGTTTTCCTGGTTTCGGGGTGCGTCGTTGGGCAGTTGGTTTCGCCCCTCTGGGCCAGGAGCTACGTCGTCAGCGCGTGGAGCTGTCGCAGCGCCTCGAGGCGCTCAACGCCAAAGCAGAGCCGACTCCGTCGAAGGAGGCGGCGGGTGACGCCCGCGTCCCGGACAAAAGCTGCCCCGACCCGCCGTGGCCTCGGAGAAGAAGAGGGGGTGTTGGTTTTCATATGTTTGTGTTTTTTTGGTGTGTGTGTGTGTTTTGTTTGTGTGTGCGCGTGTTTTTTTTTGTTTTTTGGTTGCGTTTTGGATCACTTCCTCAGTTCACGGACTTGCTCGTCACCTCTTTCGGGGTTGGTACTTGGCTGCTCGATTCGCCAAATTACTCAGTTGGTAACTTGGGTCATAACCCATGTAGAAGTCTCCTTAAGTGGAGTGAACCTTGATACTAGTGGGTTCGAACACGGGTTACTAACCACTTGCTAGCTAGGCCGGGTCATTTTTTAAATGGTGCCCTTTTTTATGGTTTGGAAGGGAACCCTAGAAATCCAACATTTTGCGGCCCCCTCAGAAAAGACAGAATGTGAACTTCTGAGGAAGAAAATGCGAGGTGGTCAAGGGGGCATTCCAGGTTGGGGGGGGGTTGCCATGGAAGACCAGGAATATACGCCAGTGCATCCTCGTGTAGTGGATAACCTTTGGAGAAAAGTTGTTGCTTCCGAGAAGTCTTTCCAGTGGATTTCTCTCCACGCAAGTTATTTGGGATCGGATTTGGTTTCTTTAGAGGCGAACCAGTCTTTTCTGCCTGGAGTCTCCTTGACCCCTTACAGATGGGGTCATTACCCAAAATAATGGGGTCATGACCCCATTATTCAAGGGTCACGGAGACTGGTGGTTTTATTCCGGGTTGCCTTGGCCTCGGGAAATGGAAGTTCCAGAAAGCCCAACGGGGAAGCCGAGGATCCTCAAGGGTAAGGGGAAGAAAAGGATTCCCGAACCAAAAATCGAGGCGATTTTCGTTCGCCAAGCTATCGAGAGTATTTTCCTTACCAACAGAAACTAAGGATTCCCAAGCAAAGCCCTAGGGCTCCCAAGGTTTGTCCCCAATTTTAAGACACACCTACATTGATTTGTATATCTTCACGGTTGTGGTAACTGAACGCCAGGGACGGTCCTTAACAACGCAGGGCTCCTTAAAAGATATCCATGTTGCAACCATTTGAAACATCTTGCTTTTTCCACCAAAATTCGGGGAAACCACCATTTACAAGGCAGTGTTCAGGTGTATAATGTAAGGATCCCTGTTATATGGCTGTGGCTCAAAATTAAGCAGCTGGGGTTACGCAGGTGTTAGTCTTTGTTCCCATACACCATGTGCCAATTTGGGGTACATGTTTTTGAGCCACGTCCATCGTTTTGCTGGTGGTTTGCACGCCAGCAAAGCATCCGGCTGATGGATTTTGTGGCTTCCTCGTTGCGCTTCAAGGCCGGCGGCCTTGCCGGACGCTGGCGCAGGGACCCCGAGACGCCCAGCGAGGCGGTTCCTTGAATGTGGGTGTGTCTGGAAACCCGCAGAAAAGTAACAGGAATCCCACCTGGAATGGGCTTTCCCACTCTCAGCGAGGTTGCAAGGCCCCGAAGTGGGGGGTTCTGAAAGTAAGAATCGGAGCCCCTGCTTCTATGGTCTTCAAGGGAAACCAACAGGAACCCCAACCTGGAATTGGCCCATTTTGAGAATTACTTAAATCGAAGCAACGAAAACGGGGGTGCCTTGTCTCCGCACGCCTCGGGGCTCTGGGGGGTCTAAGGACCAGAGTTCTGAAGTCGTTGGGATGGTCAGGCTCGCGGTACGAGAGCGGGTGGAATACCTTGTTCAAACCCAACCTTGCGGCGGATTCTCCAAATGTGGAAATCCTAAGCATCATGGGGCCGGCGGGATTGAAGAAACCGAGGTGGGAAAGGTTTGTATGAGTATGAGTCAATCCATGTGTCATTCTGGGTTGGCATTCGTACTTCAAACGGCTAGGTGTTTTGTTTTCCCCGGACAAGGGAGCCCAAGAAAAGTTGAACAACTGGCTATCTGGCTTTTTGAGCAGATCCCATCCCGTCCATCAGTGTAACAAAGCGCGAATATGAAGGGGAATGCAATCATATTGTAAACAATGGTGACAAAGCTAAACCTAGAGAGTTGTTGCTTCCTTGTCAAAACCGCAAGGGGAACTAAAAGGAGGCATCTAATTGATCTTTCTCAACAAACCTTTCAATGATCTAACAATGATCATGTGAGCAGCCCTGTGACATGTAACAAGCCAGTTTCAAAACCTGCAAGGTTCCAGAGCTAAGCTTGTTTATTTGCTGGTGCTCAGCAGGGAATGAGACATGGAATGACCCCTATGAACCATCCCTTGTGGTTTCCTTCAAGGGAATTCCTCGGTTCGTTGCCACATGCCCTGCTTCTCGCACCAGCAACTCGCCTTTGGTCCTCAAGACGGGGGATCCTTCTTTTCATTGTAGCCCTCAAACTAGCAAGGCAACAGCAAATAATGTTTAGTAGGGCTCCTTAGATGCAGTTTGCCCATTTGAAACATGGCTTTTTCCACCAAAATACTCTCCAGCGAAAACCTGGGGCACTCAGTCCAAATTGTCCCAAACAATATCGAAAAGGGATGGATCACGAAGTTATTTTTCTCCAGGCTCCCTGTGTAGCAGGCAACACCTAAGAAACCCTGGAATGATGATTCACCTGTAAATACCAACAGACGTTATGGTTGCAACCATGGTTTGAAGGTGGGTGCGAAGTGGATTTTGTCCATCCACAGTATGTCCTCCATTTTGACCAATTGCCTCTTTTGCCGTTCGCAAATCGACCGAGTGCGACCAATGTCGAGGCTCTGGAAAGACTCCAAGGGGAGGGCGACATGCTGCGATCGCAGAATGCGGAGTTGAAGGAGGCGAAGCCAAAGGGGCGATACACTCCCCCAGACTAACATGGAAGCTCCCAGAAGGCCTTTGTAAATGGAACAAAGTCTTCCAAAAAGGTCCTGGGAGCTTCCATGTTAGGGGACGATACTGTCGATGGTTACGAAATCCGCTTCTCGCACCTTAGTAAGAAACCCTGGGAAGGATACGATTCCCCTGGAAATTCCAGCAAACCATGGTTTCCACCATGTTTTCAATGCAGGATTTTGTCCATCCACAGCAGGAACTCGACGTAAGTTGTAACGGAAACCGTTCGGCCACAACCCACCTATAAGTCCGCCGTTCAATGGGGTTGACCGAGTTTTCAGGGGGTTATACCTGAAAATAGCCAAGCAAACATTCGTGATACTGGTCTTTGGTTTTCCCTCATCCCCTTAGATCTTGCGGGTTTACTTAAATGGCTGTGGGTCAAAAATGGGTACTCAAAATGGAACCCTGGCAAATGGAACCCATGACTAAAACAGCCGGTCCCCTGGTGGTTTAATTTTGACCCACACCCAAATCGCCTTGGGGTAGGTGCATCACCCATTTTAGTCTATTTTAGTGGGGATTTGGATGTTCACTGGGGGTACGGGATTTTGACCCATGGCCATTTCGCACCACCTAAGAAACCCTGGAAGGATGATTGCCCTGTAAATTCCAGCAATGGTTTTTCATGGATTCAGTGTCCAGCCACAGTCACAAAAAGGATCACCAGGTGTCTATTTATGAGTTGGTAGACAGGTTGCGGCCATTTTGCGGAAAACCAATCAGGAAACCCAGAGCCAAATTTTGCTTGTCCAATGAACCAAGAAACGAGGCACCCATATTTGGAAGATTTGGGAAGTGTTCCATCCTCCCGGCCTGCCTTTGCCCCGCACAGGCCATTCACGCAGCTCGGGAGTCCTTGCTCCAGCGTCTGGCCGGGGCCCTGATGGCCCCGGAGAGCTCTGGTGTTGGGTCGGAGAGGCAAGCTGCTGGTTCATTTCCTGATCCCAGCTTTGGACTTTAACGTTTTTGGGACTTCGTTTTAGTTTGGATCATTTTGGACCATTTTTGAAACTTCATTTTTTTGGGACTTTAAAGCTTTTTTGGTTTGGATCATTTTAGTAGAGTGGTAATTAAGACGCTCGGACTTCTTTGGGCCTTTGTTTGTTTTTTTTCTCGGGAAGTGAGCTGGCAGGTCTTTTAGTGTCAGGGACGGATCGACAAGCGGGAAGATGGAATGACCATTTACCCACGAGCAAACGAGCAGGGGATGACTGTTAACCTTTTGGCTGGCCGGGTACGGACGTATCGCAAACGAGGACATGGATGATAATTTAGTGGTTTCCCCGGAGCTATAGTCTAGTAGTGGGGATTCGGACCGCCTTTAGAGGGAACACCCCCTACGGTGGATGGACAAAATCCTGGAATCCATGCGAAACCATTGTTTGTCGGTATTTCCAGGGGAATCATCCTTCCACAGTTTCTCAGGTGGTGCAGGATTTTGTCCATCCTCAGCAGTATGACCCCTACATGATCCAGCCACTCTTATTTCAACCGCTGTGTAACAAGTCTCCCTGGGGATTATTGAACATTGACCACGTTTCGTGTTGTTTCTCCCGGTTCAACCGACCATTGTCGCTTCGATGTGCTTTCTGCAGATCCATCCATGTAGGAACTAAACAGAGTATCAAACAAGGGGAAGAACGCGTGAAATCCGCACAACGATACCAGCAAAGAGAACAAAACCCTTGTGATATGAGTGTCCTTCCACAAATTTGGCCTAGGACCGACACAATGCCGAGAATATCGCGCTGCAAATCGACAACGAGGACTTTAGCAGGGCTATCTCGGGGGTTATGCCGACTCAACTTATCAGCTCCGATCACTACTGCTTTCTCCTAACCAGCTACTGACGCTTTCTCATGACAAGCTACTGAAGTATGTATATGTATATATTTATTTATTTTATACAATATAATATATATATATATACATATATATTCTGTGTTTGTGTTGTGTAGGGAACCCAACGGGAAGCAAGTTGGTTGACGGGTTTGGGTGACATTCCAGGGAGTACCATGTGGGAGGGTACAGTGTTCCAAGCGCACCAGGCACCCAGAAAAGCAAACAGAGGTGTTCCTGGAAAATGGGTTGTGTTCTTGCTCCCCTGAAAATTAAGCTGGGATCCACTTGTTTGAGCCCCGGCACCCGACCTGTTTTTGACTCCCCCTTTTTTTTCCACCCCTCTCTCTGTTGATTTGACTCCCTCCTCCTTTCGTTTGACCCCCCCGTGTTTCCTTCTCTTTTTTTAGAGAGTGAAGCAACAGGTTCCTCGATGTTTGTCTGCTCAAGATAGGGTGACCGGGCAAAATGTTTGGCTTCATGTTGGCCATGTTGGTGTCCCTTACCAATCCGGAAAAGGGAACCCTCGAAAACAAACAACAGCGCGGATTCTACCTGGAGTCTGCATGTTGGAAACAAAGGTGTCATCTACCCAAAAAGGGGTCACCCCTTTTTGGGGTCATTACCTTGTTTTATGGGTCATGCAGACTTCAGGCCCCTTTTTTGACCAGCCCTCGTGTGACTGATTGAGCTTCACAGGAGCTTTGCGAGCTTTTGCAGGAGGCGCGTTGCAAGTGATGCGGGTATCAATATTCCTCCCCCTTTGCTTGCCATTGCTTCAGAGTATGTTTTTTCTATTCCCTTCTTGGTTTTGAAAGATAATCTGTCAGTGCTGGAAGCACGATGATTATTGATTAGTTTTTCAGGAGCCTTGGGCAAATGGATGTTTGGGTGGTATGAAGCATCACCGTTTTGGCCGACCTAATGCGAGCTTCCCTTTTGGCGGGGTGATGTTCAAGGGAGAACTTTGGGCCGGCTGCATTGATTCGCCGGCACCCGCTTGGGCAAGTTATAGCGAAGGAACATATGTGACCTCGCCCATGTTCAACCCCAATTTAGGGTCGCTGTGTTTTTTTTGTTTTTTTTTTATGTTTCGCCCAGGCTGGAGTGGCTGGTCCTTTTACCTTCCCCAGAATTAGCTCCCCTTTTTGCTTTTTTGGGTTCCCTTGGTTTTCCACTCACCAGGCAACAAAGAATTCTATTTTTGGCTGGGGTCCGATTTTTCCAGCCTAGTGACAAGTAGGGCCTCCAGATTCCGAAGTCATCGTTAAGTTGTTGTTCGCTCAGAGTCCTTTGGGCGGAAAATATGTTTTTTTTTTCACACACCCCTCATTCCTCAAGTTTCTGGACTTAGACTTAGGATACATTTTACGTATTTTACCAGTGGCTAAAAGTGAAGCGAACAATAAAATATACATTTTTATAACCGGGCCAAACTCTAATCATGAAGTTTCTGGACTTAGTTGTTTGAGAAGTGGCCGTTCAACAAGTGACTGAAGCCTTGGAAGATCAACTCCTGATCGCTTTGGTGACTTGCTTCTTGTTGGCCCATCCACCTCAAAAACATATATATATATATATATATATATGAAGCAAACACTGCCCTTTGGACTTGGCCACTGCCAATCCAATTAGCTTCCGTTTGCTTTAGCCGCATGCTCCAAATGAAGTTCATGGGGGCGTGACTATGTGCATATATATATATATGTATCCACTATACAACTCTACAACTATATGGTTCATGAGGTGCCTAGAGACTATATAACTATATATAATTTCCTGGAGACTTCAGCAAATGGATATTAGGCAGTGAGCCCAACCGGCGACCCCCGTTGCCAGGTCCATGACTTGGCAGACCGCTGGAAGCAAACTTGGCATGCGCCCGGGTTCCCGGATGCGCCGAGCCGCGGTGGCTACGGCGGCTCGGTGTTCTCTGTGTTTTTGACGGTGCCCTTTTGTGTGGGTTCTAAGAAGAAGCGAAAAGCAAGAAACCGATCAATTCCTTTTTGTTTGGTCCTGAAAATGAAGGTAAAAACAAGCAACTACCATTTGGGGGTGTCTTGTTTGAGACGAAGCCATGTGGGTGTGTCTTGTTTTGGGAATTGAACCCTCCAAGACAACTGGTTTCCTTTTTGGTTTCCCTTTCAATACACTGACAAAAAGGGTGGAACAGGGTACCGAGCCTGGAAGAAACGCACCCAGGTGGATCTCCAATATTCGGCTTCTGGATCCTTGCAAAGAACCGTAGCCTGTGGAAAACTATATGACTCGGTTCGGAACTAGCAAATCCTCGGGTTCAACTTAGGTGTTAGGTCTGTTTTTACTTGGTTTAGCTGGGGTTTCCATTTAACCCACAAGTTAGTCACTTTTAAGGGATCTGAGGAGACTCAGCTTACCCCTGTGGCGTTTTGCCCTTTTGGTTTTTCATCATCTTCCTTCTAAACCAGGAAGCATCTTTTCGCAGAAAATCTAGGTCCGACCCAGTTCGGTTGTTGTCCTGGAGATATATTTTCTTTGGTTTGCCATGTATGTTCCCTCTCAATCCCATGGCACTTTGAATAACCTCTCGACGAAGTACAGATGAAGAGAGACCCGCACTTGCGGGTAGAGGCCATGATGTTGGCCTAGGATAGCACTGTTAACTTTGCTGGATAGTTTTGGCGAGATTTATGTGGAAGGGCGTGCCCTGCCAAGTCACATCGCTGAGTTTGCATAGTAATTACTGCTTCAAATGGCCAGACATAGATCATGGAGCATGTGCGATGGTGTTGCATGGTAAACCCTCAGAAGAGGCCCAAATGTTGCTTTCAGTCTGATTTGATCGTCGGCACCTAGCTTCATACATGCTATGGTTTCTGGAACCGCTTGCTCGTTTCCTTGCAGACTCAAGAGAATCAAGCACAAACTCGGTTGCCGGAGTTTGGCCTTTTGCCCTGTTGACCTTGCGTTTTTCCGGATTTGGCCCAATTTTGCCCTCCTAGGCTAACATAGAAGCCGATTTGGACGACGACATAACTTCCATTGACACTGGCTTTCTGGGATCGGGAGTATGGAATCGCGGTCAGAGAGGCCAACCTTCGAACAATTGAGTTTTCAGCGCGCGACTCCCAATACCCACGTTTTTGTTTCTTTCTCCGAGCATGATATTGAGCCCTGACCACCAAAAAATAGATTCCAATGGAAAACCATTCACTTTTCTTTCTCCGAATATATACCTACAAGCCTACAAGACCAAGCCCACATCCCCAAGCCCACATCCCCAAGCCCACATCCCCACCAGCCTCTTGGAAGTCTTTACCGAAAGCTGCCTTCCCGACCTCCGAGTTCATGGTACTCCAAAGCTGGAAGTGCTGGGAAGAATCAAGGTATCTCCAGGAAGTCCTTCGTTGGTGGTGTGGATTGATGGTTTCTCCTTTGAATGCAATGGGATTTTGGTACCACACTTCCAAACCAATCCAAACCACCAACTCGAGGTGATATTTGGAGTAGGATTGATAGTTTTTGGAGGTTGTTCCTTTGAAGCCAAATCAGGTTTTGGCACCCCAACACCTGGAAACCACCAGTTCAAGGTGATATTTGGAGTAGGGGGAAGTCATGGAGGACAAGTCGGGTGGTGAACACACCCAAGTTGTTTGGATAATTCCCTGGTCAGGACGCACTCGCAGGGGGTGGAAACGGAGATCGAGGACACCGACCGTCAAAGACGGGTTTCATGTCCTGAGGGCGGGACCCGGACCAAAGGTCACTTGTTGGGTTTGGGAGGGCCATTTTGTGGTTCCCTACTGTGGATGGACAAAATCCGTTCGCACCACGAGATGAAACCGTGGTTGAAACCAGAACGTTTGTTCGTATTTACAGGGGAATCATCCGAAACCAGAGTTTCTTAGGTGGTGCGAAATGGATTTCGCAACCATCCAAAGTATTTTAATCCACAAGAGGCTAGGCGTGGGCTTTAAGCGTTTTGGATGCCAGTTTAGTGGTACCCAGAGGCTCCTGGGGCTTTCAATAGCCGGAGCTGATTGGTCTCAAAAACAGGTTGTTTGAAGGCCCATCAATCGAATTGGAGCCTCTGGGTAAACAAAAAGTGTCAACTTGTTTATTACCGATCAGAAGTGAGTGCTGGGCTGTTGCCAGTGCCAACCATAGGGGCGGCCGCGGCCGGCCTTGTCGTAGATTTCTCACGTAGTGGGTAGACGTAGACTGCAATCAATCGCAGGCCTTGGTTTTCTGACTCACCTCGGTTGCTCTGAATGTTAACTTCGGACTCAGGACCAGAGCCTGAGGAGAATTCCCCCACTTGCAGGGAATGAGGGAATGACCCCTGCTGTGGATGGACGAAATCCTGCACCACCGAAGAAACCCTGGAAGGATGATTCACCTGTAAATACCAACAAAACATGGTTTCCCCTGGTTTCAAAGCGGCGCAGGATTTTGTCCATCCACAGCAGGAACCATCCTTTGTGGTTTCCTTTGAGGTAATTCCTGGGTTACACAATTCCCATGATTTTTGTTGGTGGGTGCATGGAACATATTGTATGCCTAGTGGGGGGCATGATTTCCACTTGGTGGGGATGTATATGCAAGTTGAAGGCAATTGACTTGTCTGGCTACTACTCTTGTGGAATTTGCAGGGGGGTAGGTACAAGAGTGGGTAGTTAAGAGGGGGCTGGGGTTCCTTAGGAAGCCTGAGAGAGCCCTCCCCGAGCGATTTGCCAGTACCCAGGATGCGAATCAAGAGCTTTCTGTTCATATTCAATCCTGATGGCAGTCCTTGTGTTGTCCAAGTGCTCTTCCCCCTCAAGGATCATTTGTTTGACATCAAACATTTTCAGTGATGAGTACGGAAACAGTGATGTTTAATACCCACAGAATGTACCCGCAGATGTGGTATGGTCCCATAAAGATGATTTTCTATCCCCCGCACCCCCAAATCTGTTAGAGGCCCTTGCAATGACCCTGGTAGACCACGGAAACGCTGTATTCTCTTACGTATCTTGAGGTCGGTGTACATGGGAGTCAAGGAACGAGGAAGCCGTATTCAGGCATCACATAATTGGACGACGAGGACTTGATTCTGAGCATGCCGAATCACAACTGAAAGGTGCCTATCGAGCAAGACTTGCGCCTTGATCATTTCTGCCCGCGTGATTGCTCTGCGCAGGATGAGGATTGTCAAACTCGGCCCGTGCTTTGGGCATAAGTGTATACTCCCTTCCGGATGTGCCGTTGCCGTGCTGGAAGCATTTTGGCAAGCGCGTGTCGTTTGCGTTCCTTGGAATACTCACAGGCTGTGGCAGCTGTGGCCCACGATTCTGGGGACAGCGTACCCCTGGTTCTTGTGGAGGGTAATGGGAAGCTATCCTTAAGCAGCGAACCACCGATTCGGCTCCAAACCACCCTTTCCGAGGGAAGACGACATATAATGTTGACCCCATGTTAATCAACCCCATTTTTTTTCTTGGGGAGGGGTTCTGCTCCAACAGTAGTTTGATTCCCCACTAGACCCAGGTACACTTGGGGGGAGCTGACATATAATAGTTTGGTCAGAAGGTGCCCTGTACCTTTCAAGGTGGCAAGCCATTTTACTGCAGCCATGGTCAAGCGTGAATATTTCCCACTTGGGTGTTCGGCCAACTTAATAAGTTCTTGGTATCCTTAGTTAAAACCCGTTCCGGGGGTTATTCTTGTTAGGGCCAGGGTTCTTACCCCAAGTGGCCAACCACTTGCTAACTTGGCAACGAACACCCAGCACCCATCCTTACGGGGTCTTTCTCTTCAAACAATGATATAATTTCGTGTGTTTTGGGGCCTGTAAACCAGCCCCTTTCGATGGTTTTGGGGCCATTTCCTGAAGATCTGGAGCCATTTCCCCTATGATTTCTCGCCCAGCCCCTTTGGATTGCCATTTCCCCTATGTTTTCCCCGCATTTTGGGGCTTCCTGGAGATTTTCCAGGGCTCCTTAAAAGATGCATTTTGCCCCATTTGAAGCATGTTGCGTTTTCCACCAAGATAAAGTTGGACACCACCCTTCACAAGTTGCAATGTTCAGGTGTATAATGTAAGGAACCCTGTTTTCCCCGCAGAGCCCTTGAAGCTGCCACTAGGAGCTGCGGGCGCTGCGAGCCTTGCACCGGCAACGGCTCCTGGGGCTTTTGCCCAGCGAGCGGCTCGGCGAAGCAAACTTTCGCCGAGCGTCGCGGCCAACACGATCCATTTGTGTGGCAGAATATGGTTTCGCTTGAATCTTTATCTTTCCCTTGGTTTGTAAGTATTTTTCTTTTGTGTTTTGTTTTGTGTTGGTTTTAAAGCGGTTTTCCCGGGTCCTCCGTCTCCGGGTTATTTCACTGTGACCCCTTAAACAAGTCGAAGTCTCCGGATTTTGCGTCAAATGTTGTGTTTTGTTGTTGGTTTTAAAGGGAATCGATTTCACTACTGGAAATAGTGGCTCATTTTCGACCCCTGCGGACTCTGCAACTGGAGGAAACCCACGGGGCCATCTTCGTCGCTCCGGTTTTCGACTTGGATCCTCACTTCCTGAGTTACCGGACGCGGACTTGAGCCACTTTTGTGGGTTTGGACCAATTTAGTGGTAAAGATAACTTTTGATTCGGTTTGTTTTCCTTTTTTTTTTTGGGGGGGGGGGGCAATGCTCTCGATCGGAAGTGATGATTGAACACACTAATTGTAGTAAGACCTATCTACACCTCGATCAGGGATTGCAACGGATATGATGCAAGTCCTTCCTTGTTTCCTCCAGATTGTGGGTTTGGGTGCACCCTTGTGATACAAGGTCTTGGTGAGCGGGGCTTTTCAATATCCCTTCATCTATATTTGGGGAGTCACCCGTTGGCCCGTTGGCTATATAGATGGAAATATTATGGGGAACATGCGGGTCTTGGATTGGTCAGGTTGGTTGAACATACTTCCCAGAGCATCATCTCACCCCCTCAGTTCGTGGGCGTTTAAGCTGTTTGGGAAGAAAGTTTGTGCGGTAAACAAAATGTTTGGACTTTTTGTTGGCCAGCTACGCAGGGAGTGAGACATGGAACCCAATAAGAAAAACAAGAAACTCCTTTTAGGTCCCATGGACCCACTTGTTGGGCGAAATGTTCCTTGATGTGCCACGATTTGCAGCATGTTTGTCTTGGTGGTTCCTGGCCATCCTCTTAGGCTTTTAGGTTTTTGGTTGGTTTAGTGGGGTTTCCATGTTGAACCCACTAAAAGTTAAACTTTTAGCAAGAGATCTGAGGACCGCCCAGTTTCTCTCTTTTTTCAAGGACGCGTACTTGGACGTTCGATCCGCCAAGTAAGTAGGGATCACCACTTGGGTAACCCACGAACAGGCTTGCCCCACATTCACGGGGGAAACGGGTTACAAGTTATAACCTACCCAGCGATTCCAGATACCACTATGCTCTTCATCCACCCTTTCAACTCCAAAGGGACAATGACTGGTTACCTATTATAGTGGTAGCTGGGATCCGCTGGACTGGGTGGTCAACCACCAACTTGGCGAATCGAACACCATGTGCGAAAAGTTGATATCTCTTCCATGTCCACTGGTTCGGTTTTCGACATGCCACTTGCCGCTAAACTGAATGCGAGGCGTCCATGCGTGACGCAGGGGGTCGGAGTCTGGCCCAGACATACGGTGGATGGTTTCGAAATCTGGCACCGCACTGTGAAATGAATCCATGGTTCAAACCATTGGTATGTTTAGGGGAATCAGGTGTTCTTGGGTGGTGTAGGATTTCGTCCATTCACGGTATGTCTGGAACCCTTTGTGCAAGGAACCCTTCGCGTATTCTTACCCCCCTCCCCCTCGCTCCACTTGCTTTTGCAACCACCATGCAAGCGCTAGGGCGCAGCGGGTATTGCCCGGCAAGGCGGGAACGAGCGAGGGGTTATGACACGCAGGATGGTGCACCAAACCAATTGTCAGGTGAGCCACAATCAAAGCCCGAGTAGATGAAGGTTAGTAAGGGACGATCCCAACCAAAAATAGCTGCGGCCGTCGTCTTAATCCTGTACATGGTTCTGGGTAGACCATTTTAGTACCAGGTTTTGATTATGACTCAGGTGCCTCTGAGTTGTTGGTTTGGATTGGTCAGGACCCCTCCTGGTTGTGGTTGCAGCTAGGCTTCCGCGAAGCTGAGCAACTGTGTGGTTTTAAGTTTGTTACTTGGCCTGAATCTTGGGTCAGCTTCCTTTAAGTTGGTTGTGATTGGTGGTTTGGGGATTTGAACCTGGTTCTTGAAAGTTGAGGATAAGTGGGCAACAACACGAAACGACCGCCAAAAAAAGACAGCAGGTGAAATTGCCTTGGTTTGCCTTTGTTTTCAGTGTTGTCCATTCAGTGTTTGCCTTTGTTTTCAGAGCCCCTTGCATGGCTTGGTGATTTGGACCTTCAGGGGTACTGGGGTACCTTCCCCATTTGGTTTCCAAACCACAAAGTCAAACCAAATCACCCATCAAGGGGTACTCATCTTTCTTCGGCTTTGGGCCCCCCAGAACCCGGAGGCCAACACAGAGGTGTCGGGAGATTTGTGCCCATGAAGAAGCCGCCTTAGAGCTATGGGCCCCATCCTGTTTGGGCTTGCCTGAAAAATGTAACGCAACACAGGTTGAGAACGGAGGAAACTCGGACACTGGATGTAACACTTCTTTTGAACATACCCAAAATAAGATTTCAGGGCTTCTCAAATTTACTTTGGGTCCAGGTGGTTTCCCTTTAGGCTACCGTGTGGAGGGTCGTTTTGGGGATGTCACTGTTATGCATAAGAATTGATTCCCCATTCGTTTCACCCATCGTTCTGTTCAGAAACTACCCATTTCAGCCAGCGCATTGGCTCTCTTTGGCTTTGCTCCATTTCCCCTTTTGGAGTCTCCAAAGGTGCCCAGCCACCCGGCCTCTTAGCTTTGTAGGTGTTTAGTTGCTCAGTTGTTCCGGTGGCTCCCTTTTTCCATTTTTTTTTTGGTGGCTGGCTGCCCCACGAAAAATTCGGTCCAAGCCCCAAAAAGGGTTCCCTTTTTTTCCCAGGGTCACTGAACAACTGAGGTTTAGTGGTAGTTTTCATTTGCCCACTAAAAGTCAGTCACTTGGGGTCTGACAACGGGCCCGGTTTCACGGGCGTCAGGACCTGGAGTCTGTCGCCGGATCACGGAGTTCCAGCTTGACGTCGCCGGAGCTGGTGCCAAACCTGGCGTGACCCGCTGCCTTCAAGCGGATTCGGCTCGGGTGGGGCGTGCGCTGTTTTCTTCACGTGGCTCCGACCTACATTTGCTACCCCAATGGAACACACAAGGGAAAGCACAAGGGGCTATATTTTCGAGGCGTTTCCCTCAAGACGAGGCCAGAATCCGGCGTCACAAACAATTGTTTTTTGGGCTTTTGTGGTGGGGATCGAACCCCTGTTCGCGTAGAGGGTAAATGGGAAACCACCCGAAATCAAGCCACCAGGCTCCAAAGCACTAATCCCCTTGTTTGGTGATCCGAATGTTCCTTTTTGTTGGAGAGGTTTCCCTTTAAAGGCAGACTAGAAAGAAGATGGGCGCTCTTCCTTCCCACTTGCCACCAAGACTGGGTTTGAGGCGCATTTGTGTGGGCAGTCAAGGGAACAACTTTCCAAGTGTCAAAGTACCAACGTGGGATGGGAATCCCACTTTGGTATCACAGAAAAGTTGTTTCCCTAACCATGGCAGATACAATTTTATGGCGAGCTTACAAGGTATAAGTTTGTAACGAGCTTACCCGTCATGATGGTCCTTTATTTGGGGACACCTTCTTTCCAAGCTTGGAATTATTTGAAACGCAATGCAACCGCACACGTTGTTCCTTGCCTGGTCAATGGTTGTCCATTAGGAAACCAATGGCTCTACCACTACACCTACAACAGGTGATTGAAATTTGGCTTAGGGGGGAAGAGCGTCCCGGGGTGGAAGTACATACCCCTTGTTCATACCCCTTCGCTTTGGTGTTTATAAGGGGTATATACCCCTTTTTGGGGAGAGGGGTATGAACATCAGCAGGCCTGTTGGGTTCATTTGTCCAAGGGGTATGTACAAGCACCCCTGGAGTAAGGCTATGGGGTATGATGTCACCCCTTTTTGAAATGGAGCCTGTTTTCTGCTCCGTGCAGGAGTTTTGCTTGTGTGCCCCGCCCAGAATTGGTCGACTTAAATTTGCTGAAGTCCTTCCAAAACCAACAAGGACAATTCACAAATTTTGTGAATTGTCCTTGTTGGTTTTGGAAGGAGTCTATCAGTATATACTGGAAACATGTTCTCAGTTTTCCAGGGGACTCTACTGCAAGTGGAGGTCGAGGTCTGTCAAACGCCCCAAAGACACAAAGGATGGTTACAGCATGATTCTGGCACCGGCCAAGCCCAGCAAACAAGAATGGACCATTTGGAGTAGCTTCACACCACTTTCATAGAAGTCTTTTTCGAAAGTCTTCTCGGCCAATCCACTCGATGGGTCAGTTTTCGACATTCGATCGCCACCCCCGGAACCGCCGGCTGGAACCGCTCGCTGGCTCGCTGCTTGATGGGTCACTCGGGCCTCCTAAAAGGATCCCCCGAGTGCGAGCTGAACCATTCCCGCGGCTGGTCTTTCTTTCTGGAGTTGGTACCTGTTGCTTGGCTTGAAAGGGGAGAAGGGATCACCGTTTTGCCATTTTGGGCACTGAACAAGTGTAAACTTCAGCTAAAACTGCCAAGACAATTGTTTTGCTGCCACTGCAGCTTCTTGAAATCATGTCTTGAGCACTATGTCTATTTCACACGGGTTTTCTTGAAGAAATGAGCAAGAAATTGGCGCTTTTCAGGCCCAACCAAGGTTATCAATTATTGCTTTGTGGTGTGGCAAAACCATGGAACCAAGAGACTTGACCGCAACTGGTCATGTGTTCAGCCTTTTCCAGGGAGCAAGTGGGAGAATCCTTAGCAGAACTGTGGCCAGTTGGCCAAATTTGGATGTATGCTGTTTTGTTTTTGAAAACCTCCAAACCAAAGGTGTCCAATTCATTCTGACAGCAAGCTACGGTTGCCGGCTGACTGGACACAGTTCTTGAGATAGCACGTGCTCCATGCCTCGCTGCAAACGCACGAGCAGCATGAGCAGAGATTGGAAGATGTTCGAGCAAAAAGAGCGCAGGATTTCTGGTGTTGGCTGGCTTGAATGTTGCTCGTCAAAATATGTTTTTTTTTGTTGGCTTACTTCTGAGCATATCTGAGCATAAAATACGTAGGCGTGTCTATATGGGAACCTCGGGGTTTTCGAAGGAACACCAAAGTGAAGCACACCTACTTTGAGGTTCCCAATTTCAAGCCACATCCATCCAACTAGACGGCAGTGCAGTTGTTGCGCTTTCGGAAATGCAGAAGAGAGGGATTTGGTGCCGCCCTAAGATGGTTACAAGCAAAAGGTCGAACTCTATTTCTCACTTCTCACGTGTCCTCTTTGGGCTTGTCCGTTGAAACTATATCACCACGCGGCTAGATATAGGCTAGATATGGGCTACATTGTTTAGAGCTAGAAGGGGTACGTTTTCGCTGTGGGGGGGATATGACCTTTTGAGCTCTTCTTTCCAACTTGCATTTTGCAAAACAAACATGACGGACATTTTCGCATCCTTTTGCCTGGGGGTTACTTTAGGACAAAAGAGCTTGACTATTTGTTTCAGGGCTCACGTAAGCTAAGGGGCTAAACAATTCAAACTCGTTTCTAGAATCATGCCTGTTTCTTTCTCTCTTTTTTTACTGGAGAGTGTCTTTAAAACATGGGACCCCCCAAAGGTATGTGGGCTACCTTTGTGTTGGCTTCCCTTTGGGCTTTCCCTTAGAAAAAGGGAACCACACCCATACCCCACAACTCCATCCCTGTCGGGGCCTCGAGCAGGCGCCTGCGCTGCCAGAGGAGTGCCTTAGCCAAAAGTTGGCTCGAGCTGTTTGCTCCCCTTGCAACCTGTCCCATGCCTTACTCAAGTTCCGCTTCAGACTGAATTGAGTTTTTTTGGGGGGTTGGACCATTTGGGTATGGGTCAAAATTAAACCACTAGGGGACCGCAGGTTTTGGTCCATGTTTCCACGTACCGGCGTTCCATTTGGGGGGCCTATTTTTGACCCACAGCCATTTTAGTACACAACATGTTTGGGCGGTTCTTGGGCCGATCGCAGGAAGCGAGCCTTCCCCAGAATGGGGGGGGGTCGGCAAGCTTGCGTCTTCCGTTAGGGTATCCCAAGAAAGGCGACAAGGTGCAAAACGGCCAGGGATAAAAAACAAATACCTAGAGTCTCCATGACCCCTTAAAAATGGGGTCATATTATCCCTTAACTTTGAACAACTGAGGGACTTATTTTTTGCCACCTGAAATGACCTTTTGCTCTTCCCATGTTGCCATTTTAGCCATGGCCCAAAAAGTGATGACCATTGATTCTGGGTCTTCTGAGCGGCAACCGAGTAATTGTGGCTTTCCCACGCAATTACTTTTCGAGAGTGGTTCTGAGGTTTTCCCTCACAAAGTAATTGTGGTTTTCCCCAAAAGTCTGAACTTTTTGAGTGAGGAAACGATGGTAGCATGTGTTTGGTCGATCGCGCCGAGGCTGGCCAGCATGGGGACCGCTTCGGGTTTCGCGTTTCGCTCCATCGTGCGCGTTTGGTGTGGTGGAGGGCAAGGGAAGAATGGATCTGAAGGCTCACGGCTTGCTACTCCTGGAGGGAGTTGGCTCATTGACTTGCTGAGTTCCTGAACTTGAGTCACTTTTTGGGAAGACCATTTTAGTGGTAAGTAACAAGTTTGGGCTTTTTTGGGGCCATCCACTCGGGAAGTGAGATTATGCAATTAAATGAACCCGCTGAACAGTGGTTGGTTTCCGGCAAAGGGTCCCCAATCAAGACTCTTTCTCATTGTTCTTCTACACCCACGCCCGCTTGCTGAGCTTACGATGAGGAATGAAGTAGTGCAAGTCTGAGCTGGCACGCCCGACGCAACTACACTCTATTCCTAGAACGGAGGGAGTTCCTTTGGTTTGTGAAGAAACTTGCTCCAAGCCTCCTCCATTTTCCTCCTTTCCGAGGGGAACGCAATTCTTTCTTTCTTTTGGCATGGTCTTCGATGTGACCGAAAGGCCTTGTTCGACCGTTTGAAAACAAATAGCTGTGGGTCAAAACCACTAGTACCATTTTGGGGTAGGTGCACCACCCGACCCATGGCCAAATGGCTTTCCATGAAACGTTTGCTTGGGGGGCTTGGAGCAATCTCGTGGCACTCAGATCCCTTTGGAGCGTGGGGCTCTTTGGTGAAACCGCCGAAGCCGGTAATTGTTCAATGCTTCAGGGGAGTCGTTTTTGTAGTTGGCAATTTTGGCCGAGTTGAAGTGACATCCTCACTGCTCTCTAGATTGGGTGTTCACCTCATGGTCACGTTTTGGGAAGACAGTTTTAGTGGTAAGTGAGGAAGTTTGGACTATTTTTGGGCCATCCACTCAGGAGGTGAGTTGTAGGGACATCACCAGGACCGAAAAGTGTGGACTCCGTGGACCACCCCAAAAGTTGAGTCTTTAGGGGGCCATGTTTTCGTCAAGGTTCCAGATGGCAACTTGTTCTTAATTAGGTCCTTTGCGCAGGCGAGGCTGGGGATTGCTTTTCAGGGAGTAGCCATGTGGGTGGCTGGTTCTTTGGGGTACCCCCCAAAATTCTGGCCTTTTGGTTTCCCTTTATAACCAAAGAAGGGGGGCCCCCTCAAAAGAAAAGACGGACCCATGTGCCCCTTTTTCGGGTGAGCCGACCTTGCAACCACAATGGAGTAGTTGCTGTGCAATACCCTCACAAACAGACACGTCCCTACCTGTCAAAAGTAGAGACCATTTCAATCAAAGGGTTAGGAATATTGTGAGTATTTCTAGCATGCATTACGGGTCCCTGGTTTTGACACAAAGCTAATACCTGGACCCTAAACTACCCATAAAAAGGGACTTCACCCCATAGTTTTGGGGTAATAACGGGAATTTTGAGGCTCCAGGATATGGAAGCGACCTTCCAATCACAGGTCACTCTCAAACATGATCCCAGCCTGCCTCCTGAGCCCAGCCAGCCTCCTGTAGGGCACGGAAGCCCAAATCCCATTTTTTCCTCAGTTATCCCATGCTAGGTCCCCAGTAGTGCCCTTCTCTCCCCTTTTTTGGGGGAGGGTTCCCCTACTAAAATAGA